GGCTTTGGGCAAGATTTTTCGGTCTAATTTGACATGTCGATCCACCAACTAAGGTATTAACGTCTGTTCACGGGGCACCCTGCGAATTTTTGAAATATCGTGTTTGGGTTTTCCGGGTACTTTTTGAGCATCTAGTCTCTTACGATCTTCAGTCTGTCTGTACGTTTTTCTGTTTATCTCCGATCTATGATTTCTATGATAGTGCGATTGGAACAATCCAAGGAAGCCATTATGGAATGCGAGATGAGAATGAGATGGAAACAGTCTCGCGCATGAAAATGGCGACTCAGCGCCGCCCCACGAATGATACACTGTAGCATAATGGCAGCGCTCACCCCCGCCCTCGGACCGCCTCGTTTCGCCCTTCAAAGCATAAAATTAATGTTTATGTTAATCAATGTAAAACAGTCCTTATTCATGACAATGTCGTCTTCGTTGCTACAATTTATCATTTTTATTCATTTACATGACAAAGCTGTACGTAAAGTACGTACTTATCCTAAAATATTCTCTAATTTTTGTAAGTACAAACTAAAAAATTTACCTCATCGATTTTAGTACTAAAAACTGTCTGAAACACTTGCAGAAATATTGGAGGTAATTTTTAAAGAAAATTTTAAATTAAATTACTTTCTTTTGCATTATGCCAATCCATATTTTCTCGCCGAATTTTAATAGCGAACAAAAAATATATTTTGGGCTGGATTAGCCGGGGATTTTTCCACGAACATTTTTTGGTGTTCTACTTAAAAATTTATAACTTCTCTAGATTTTATCCAAATTCTACAGTATTACAAACATCCAAAAGCTGGATATACACTGACAGGCAAAAAATTTCACCCACTTGTTATATAACTTGATTTGTATATATTTTTATGTATAATCAAAGTTTCACGTTTTTTAATGTTTAATAATTGAGTCTTTGTCTAAAAAAAGTATTAAAAAAAGTGAATTGCTAAGGAAAGAAGACAGATAAAATTTGTTTTAATTTTGTTTCAGATTTTTAATTAATATTTCAATATCGCCTATTTCCTCCTCTTGCTTTAATTACATCTCGAAGACGCCTCGGCATACTTTCAATCATTGTGGAAATGTCTCTTTGCTGGAGCCCATTCTTCACGAAGAGCCCTTCTAAGATCGTGGAGTGTATCAGGAAGTGATGGACGTGCTCTTGTTCATTTTTTGAGGTTATCCCATAAATGTTCGATGGGGTTCAAGTCTGGAGAACAGGCTGGCCAGGCTAAGACCTAAGACCCTGATGTTATGCTGTTGAAGGTACGTTTTTACAATGCGAGCGACATGTGGACGGGCATTATCGTGCATTAGAATAGGATTGTCGCTGATTTCATCGAATGTAGGCAACGCATCTAAAATTTCATGCACATAGCGAGTGGCCGTGAAAGACCCCCTTGAAAAGGTTGGCTCTGGGAAAAATTACAATCGTTGTACCTTTCATTTCGCCTTTTTCAAACTCTTTCACGCCCATCTGGAGGTTGTAGAGAAAATCTACACTAAAAAGTACAGCAGACCAATCGTCTTTATCAATGGCTGCATTCTGGAGCAAATGCGAATCGTGCATCTCTGTGTGTTCTGGTCAATTCTGGTCCTCTTACGGGGCGAAAAGCCATCAGTGATTTAATCTTCTTCGAGCAGTGCGTTCAGAAATTTGGTCACCTCGAACTTCGTGGAGCTGATGAATCGCTTGAACAACTAAGGTGCCGGTTTCACAAAATTCTCCAAGTCAAAAAACAGTTATCCTGTGGTTCTGTTACCCTAGGGTGTCTATAACCGGGCCTTCTATGATAGGACTCAGTTTCTCAAAAACGTCTGACGGTGTCTCGTAGTATTTCGTATAGAACTCCGATGGCAATAGCCGCATACCTGATGGAACGTCCAACGGACAATTAGACAACTAAACATAAATGGATTAATATTTAATAAGTAAAGAAGTAACACTTCTCTAACAGCTCCCGGACTGAAAAAGACGGACAGATAAAATTTGTTTTAAATTTTGTTTTAGATTTTGAATTAGCATTCCAATATCGCGTATTTCCTTCTTTTGCCTTAATTTCATCTCGAAGACCTCTCGGCATACTTTCAATCATTGTGGAAATGTCTCTTTGCTGGAGGTTAGCCCATTCTTCACGTAAAGCGTTTTCAAGATCGTGGAGTGTATGAGGAAGTTATGGATGGGTATTCCCAAAAATGTTCGATGGGGTTCAAGTATGGAGAACGGGCTGGCCAGGACCGACATGTGGAAGGGCATTATCGTGCATTAGAATAGGATTGTAATTGATTTCATCAAGGATAGGCAACGCATGATGTTCCAAAAGTTCATCCACAGAGCGAGTCCCTCCACGAACAACAACCAACTCTGTGCTACTCTCCATTGAAATTCCCGCCCACACCATCACTGAGCTACGTTGAAACGGTAGCTCTGGGAAAAATTACAAGACTCGTACCTTTCATTTTTGCCTTCTTTGCACTCTTTCACGCCTATCTGGAGATCGTAGAGAAAATCTACCCTCATCGGTAAAAAGTACAGCAGACCAATCATCCAAAGACCAATGGACCTGTATTCTCGAGCAGATGCGATCCGTGCAACTCTTTTCTGGTCAACTCTGGTCTTCCTACGGGGCGAAAAGCCATTAGTCCATACTGATTTAATCTTCTTCGAGCAGTGCATTAAGAAATTTGGACACCTAGAACTTTCTGGAGTTGATGGATCGCTTGAACAGCAGTAAGGTGCCGGTTTCACAAAATTCTCAGTCATCCTGTGGTTCTGTTATCCTAGGGCGTCCATAACCGGGCCTTCTAGGTAGGACTCAGTTTTTCAAAAACCTCTAACGGCGTCTCGCAGAGTTTCGTAGAGGAGTCCAATGGCAATAGCTGCATACCTGATGGAAAGTCCATCATCAATAAGTGCCACACCACGCTCAACATCCTCAGCACTACGAGGCACTTTTAAGTTTAAAAATTGAAATTAAAAAAACAAAGATGAAAACTAAACGGTTTATTGATTCAAAATTCAAATGAGACTGCATAAATATTTTAAATTCCATAAAAAGTAAACTTTGAAAAATCCTTTATCCTTGCTTTGGATTAAGGATTATGTTTGTTTACCTCTAATTAATATTTTCAATTTAAAACAAAGCACCAACAAATATTTATCGGTAAAAACAATGAGACAAATTAAGGGCAGAATTTTCTTTTATCGAGAAAATGAAAAAAAATCAATTGGATGGAATTTTTTGCCTGTCAGTGTATTTTCTTTCGGCCTATGTTGACTATGCTTAGATTTTATGCCTCTCTATGCCTCGAACTCTACCACTTGAGCTATCGTGACTTCGATTGAAAAATGGCAAAAAGGAGGGAAAATTCAAAAGGTTCGGCAGAGATGGGAAGTTGGTGTCCACATGGATCGAAGTCACGATAGCTCAAGTGGTAGAGCAGCGGTGTATTTAGCCTGAAGGTCGTGTGTTCGAATCCCGCTTGTGACACTGACTTTTTTATCTCAACTAAAAACCTTAATTAATTGTAATGTTTTAATTTTTTTCTTAAGAATTCGAGGGAATTTTCAATGTTTTGAGGAATTTATTGCGGGTTTCAAGGATTTTATTGACCGTTTTCAACATTTTATTATACAATTCACTAGTTTTTCTGGTCCGCTTGACCAATTAATATCTTTCAATTAATTAAGGTTTTTAGTTGATAAAAAAGTGTCCGAGTGGATCGAATTCACGATAGCTCAAGTGGTAGAGCAGCAGCATATCTAGACGAAGGTCGTCGGTTCGAATCCCACTTCTGACATTGACTTTTTATCTCAACTAAAAACCTTAATTAATTGAAAAATTTTATTATATGTTTTCCATTTTTGTTTATTACATGTTTTATTTAAATTCCCCCCTTTTTTTTCTTCGTTTTGTGGTTTTATCGAACGACGGAGTGTTTGTTGTACATTTAGAGGTTTTTATTGCATGTTTCTGCATCTCTCCAGGTTTTTACAATTTAAGGCTTTTATTGCATTTTTGCTGGTTTTATTGCAATTTTAAGGTTTTATTGTTTTTTTTTCTCAGGTTTCTATTGTATGTCTTGAGGTTTTCATTGCACAATTTTAGGTTTTTATTGCAAATTTTACCGGTTTTATCACATGTGTTGAGGATTTTATCGAATGGTTTGAGGTTTATTTTTCCCCCCACTTTAACGTTTTATTGCTCCTCTCATGGCCAATATTTCTTTCATTTTAAAATTCCTAATCATCTTGTACAAGTTCTCATCTTGGTTTATTCTACTTTATATTCTGGGTCAAACAATGTTTTATATTGTACTCTTTCTCCTCCTCTTGTCCTCTTTCTTTCAAGGCCTGGGGGTAATACCTAGAAAGATAGTTCTAAACGCCCTTGATGCTAGGCATTTAAAATTGTTCTATAATCTCATAAGTTTATGGACCTTTTTGTTTAGGTTGCTGCACAATATCTGTTGTTTCCATCAAAGTCAAATATCAAGCCAATATTTAGTTATTAGAATATCATATAGCTCAAATACAGCTAAATAAAAAAAAATTATAATCAAAGCATTATCAAGGAAAGATACACAAGCCATAAAATAATAAGACATTTTAATATATAACAAAAATACATCCATGAATAAAAGATTTGAGGGATACATTTATTGGCACATGACCAAGGATATGTTTAAAAAAAATAAAATAAATAAACCAGAATTTAAAAATGTTTCGTACATATAAGTTCAAAAATAAACAAACATCTACTAACATGATGCTTTTCGTAATGAACAAATATGAGACTGAACTCTTATAGAAAATATATTTTTTCTAATTTCCCATTTTTCATAGAATAATGAAAAATGACAAGTACATATTAACAATTTATTATGTACATTCATCTTATTAACCATACAACACCTTTATTTTTACATATAATTGACATGATATTTAAACAATATTTTATGTCAAAATACTCAGATTATTATTATTATTATTTTTTTTTTTTCAGGACAGATAAAGCAGACAAAAATAAGTGACGAAATTTCCATCAATTTCACAAGATGCGCATGTGATACTGATCCGCCATGATAAATGCAGAGCGCATCATTTTAAAAAACTAAGTGATGAAATTTCATTTCACAAGATGTATATATAATGTTGTACCGTATGATAAATACAGACCACATTTTATTTTATCCCCCTTTTTATCATAATTACATTTAGTATTGTAGAATAAGTAGAAAAATTAAAAACAAGTAAAACTGATACATCGTATGGAGTATTTATTTTGCTGAAGTTGAAGATAACCTCTCGACAGGAGCCGTTTCTCGCTTTAACCATTCATAAACATCGTTAAGTTTATTCTTCTTTAAAATAGGACCCAACGTGTCATGAACAACAGCATGGTAAGAATTTAAAAATTCCAACTAAAACATAATACATGGTTAAGTACAAAGTTACACAGTTATATAAGTATCATAGGTTAATAGTATACCTCATGTTCCGTCAGCATGTCGAGAACTAACATTTTTGTCTGAATTGGGCACATAGTAACAGTCGAAAATGTTAAGAACCCCCTGTCTTGAAAATTATGAGGAGTTGCAGCAGGTGTTATTTGAACGATGTTTTCAATTCTGATGCCGAATTCACCTTCACTGTAGAATCCAGGTTCTAAATAAAAAAATATATAAAAGAACGATCACTTATACGGGCAAATAATACCAAAGGAGTCATTTTTGGATGCCAGATATTTTGAATTGGAAGCCTTAATGTATAAACTATCAGTGGTTGTTTTCATTAAACAAACACCCAAAAATTGCATGTCTACACAACACGATAAAAATTATTTTTAAAAAAATGCCAAAGGACATTAAAATAAAGGTTTTTTTGGCCATGAATGATAAGGTGTGTGCATAAGTTTTTTCGGTTTGGGGGAAAAACGTTAAATGGGAGTTTTTTATTTTCTTACATTTTTTCTCGAGCGTTTTGAAGTTTTTATTGCTTCTTTCTAGGTTTTTATTGCACGTTTTGTATGTTTTTATTATACATTTTTGCAAGTCTGTTGTTATTGGACAATTTGAAATTTTTATTGCAAGCTTGCCGGTTTTATTGCACAATATGAGGTTTTTATTGAAAGCATGTCGGTTTTATTGCGTGTTTTGAGGTTTTTAATGCACGTTTTTCATGTTTTTATTCCATGTTTTAATGTTTTCATTGCACTTTGCTTATTTTATTCCATGTTTTGGGGTTTATAATACTAGTTTTGATGTTTAATACAGGTTTTGAGGTTTTAATACATTGTAAAAGTTTTTTATTATATTTTCAGGTTTTTATTGCATGTTTTGAAGTTTTTAATGCAAAGTTTTGCTTATTTTATTGCATGTTTTAACGTTTTATTGCATTTTTAAGGTAGGTGTTAATTATTTTAATTAACCTAAAACATAATTTCCTACTTAATTATTCAGAAATCGTGAGTTGCGCTCTGGTGTGACGTAGGTTTCAGAAAAACATTTTCTTTATCGTGCCAACGTTTCAATCTTTATTGAGATCATCTTCAGGGCCTGGGAAAGATCGAAATGTCGGCACGATAAACAAAATATTTATTTAGAAATCGTGATGCGGTCTGGATAAAGAAAATATTTTTCTGAAACCTACATCACACCAGACCGCATCTCACGATTTCTGAATAATTATCGATTAACGGTCACTAATCACCACACATAATTTCCTTTTTTTTTTTTGTAAAAAAACTTGGACATGAAGAAATCTCTAAGGATTACTTAAGTCTGATTTTCAGAGCCTTTTCATTCAAAAATTCCCTACATTTAAAGTGGTTGTCTAGTGAGCAGAATAAGTAAAAATCAAAAACAAGGACAGTATGTAGGCTGGGGTTGCAATCCTCTTTACATCGTTGGCGTTTCGTTTTTCTTGCAAACGTTCTTTCAGCATTTAACATTTTTATAAAGGACCCACTTCTCAACCCAGTGGCCAAATAGGAAATAAGCCTTTCTTCTGATTTATTCCTATTCAAGTGTGAAACGCAACAAGCCATACAGTCGTCCTTGTTCCTGAGGGATGATGTTTGTAAATTTCACAACGTAACCCAGAGAGCGATTCTTCTTTCTACTGTAGCGTGGTACCTGAAATCTCTCTGATAGCTCTGCTACAATTAATTTGTCCTCATCCTCCAATGCCATTAAGTCATCATTTTTAAACTCGTTAGGCCTTCCACAACTGCTGATCTTTGCTTAATCTCTTCATTATGAAAATATCTGAACCACTGTTGACTCATGTTCATCACCGTAAATTCAACATAAATTTGAACATGCATCTAACACTCTATGCCAAGATGGAACTAGCAAACAATGGCTTGAATGTATTTTTTCTGTTTCCACGTCGTAAGACCTGCAGTTTCTTTTAGACCGACTTTTTTTTATTAACAACCCCTTTCCTAACTATCTCTTTCAATAGGGCTTTTCCCACTCTAGAGCAAACGGGTTAACCTTTATAAGAGTGAAAGTTGAAATTTGAAAAAACCAAAAAACTTATGCACACTCCCAATACTTAAACAATTATTAATAACGATTTATTAATATTATATGAATAATATTCCTTAGGTATTTGTGAATTTGTCTATATTGAGATGGACAAGCAAAGACCCCATTCAATAGGAGAAAAGTAGAGTTCATTACAATGAATATGAGTTAAAAATGTTACACAAAAAAAAATGAAAAAGAAAACTTGAAATACATACAATGACAGTCTAATACTTAAAATATAGTTTTAACAGGTGCAGAATTAATTTCAAGAAACCCTCTGAGACCATCAGAAAAAACATTTGGTGTAATAAGTGCATTTCTGAACATGATGGTTAAAAGTATTTTAAATCAAAACGTTATATTTGAAATATTTCTTAGTATTTACCATTTGATAAGAACATGTTTTCCTGTAAACCAGGGTCATCAGGATAAGGCCTCCAAGAAATGCCCATCGGACCTTCGTGGACATTTAGAAATGAACCGATTCCATGACCAGTGCCATGTCCATAATCTAGCCCAACATCCCAGAGATACTTCCGGGCTAATACATCCAACGTATTTCCCTATGATTTGGTTTATTATTACAAAGGATAGCAATTCATAAAATATAAAACTAAAAATAATATTACCTTAATTTTAGTGGGGAATTTACACGTGGTCAAATGAGCCAAACCTTTGAAGACTCGTGTGAAGCACTCCCTTTGAAAATAATCAGGGTTCCCAAAGTGCATGGTACGAGTAACATCAGTTGTTCCATCTCTGCACAAAAGTATTTTTTGTTTTTCATTTTTAAATTAATAAAATTCTGAATCTATTTTTTAAAAAATTAATGTGTTACATAATACATTTCAAGGATGACAAGTTTGATTTAATTATTGAAGGTGGGCTGTAAATTAAGGTTAATTGGATCCTGCGTTACCAATATTTGCCCAGATAGTCGGAAATAATTACTGAGAAATACCACCAACCATATCCATGAAGACCTCAGCCTCATTAGATAGCTTAAACTGGGGATGACGACTCCTGTTTTTTAATGGGGAATCGAGGTTAAGGGAGACAACGCCCGGCATCTGCTAAAAGCTGAATGACCACAGGAGGCCTTGAGGATGAAAATAGAAACAATTTCTCAATAGTAGCAAGTAAAAATTATAATAAAAATGAAAATCCTAAGCACACCTAATTATTTAACATCTTGAATTTTAAAAATACAAACCGGAGAATGTTTGATTAAAAACAAATTCTAAAATTAATAGCAAATTGTAGAAATGTTGAGAATTTACGTACTTAAATTGTGCACCTGTGTCACAAAGGTAAATTTCATCAACTGATAGAGTTCTGTTGCTCGATGGATTAGGGGTGTAATGAGCAATAGCTGCGTTTGGGCCTGAAGCTGATATTGTTTCAAAACTTGGTCCAACGTATGAATCGTCGAGCCTAGAAATAATGCAAAAAATATATTTATTTTATTTTAAATATTGACATTTTTAAAAAGTCGCAGTTATTGTGTAATCTGAAATTTGTTTATCACTGCACATTTAAACACAATTAATATTTTTTACCTGCGGAAAGTTTCTAATTTATGTGCAGCCTCTATTTCCTTTACAGTACCGCTTTTAATTTCATTTTCTAACCAATGAAAATATTGGCACAGTGCTATGCCGTCTTTAATATGAGCATTTTTCATTCCTAAAAACATTGAAAACGTTACAATTCTAAATTAATTAATTATTAAAGGATTACCAGAGTTAGAAATGGTAAAATGTCCAAGATCAATTTTATGCAAATATGGGAAGAAATTAACCGAATGGCCAAATAGAAAACTAATTATATAAAATATATAATTTTTTTTAATACCTTGTGCTTCTACTTCGTTTTTAATGGCTTTCATGAGGGCGATAGGACTACACTCGCAAAAACGTTTTTCAGACGGAATCGAATTATAAATCCAAAAGTTTGTTGAACTTGGTAACCAAACTTTAGATATTCCACCAGTCTCAGACTCGACCTAAAATAAGAGAAAAATTATCCAAACGTCTAAGCATAACTTCACTTTACATTAAATTTGGTAATCATTAAAGACCAGATTTCCATGCAATTGTATTTTTTATTGCTAACTCCGATTATAATGAAACCGACACAAAAATTCAAATCGTGGGAAGGATGTGCTTTTGACACTACTCTTATTTTCCACTTGCATTTTTTCTACATGAAAACAACATGAAAATATGTCATTTTCATGAGTTAACAGTGTCGAGTAAATGAATTGAGGGTTAAAACCATTTTTGCAATGCGCTTTGTCAAAGTTTACAGCTTCTGATGCCTAGAATTTTCCAAGAAAATGTTTTATGTGCGACAACCCCTGATCAACTCTGTTTCATCACTTGAATTGAATCAATTTTCATCACTTAAATCTATTTTCATTTTTTCTTCGGGTTAAGAGCAACATGGAACCACATAAAAAATAATAATGCCCGTTAATTTCTTAGTACCTAAAGCTCAAAAGTAGTAGGTACAGGGCTACCTGGAATGGAAGACTGATAGGAACGTTTTAAGAAAACATTAGGTCTTTTCTCTCTTGAAACACCTTCTGGACAATCACGAGATATAACCTGATAGAAAAAATCTTGTGATGTATTTGTACTTTATTGTTATTAATTTTTCAATATTTAAAGCTGATGTGTATCGTGTATTACACTGTGATTGTATATATAAATAGAATAGTTAATCAAGTTTAAAACTTACTTTATTGTGGTTATCTAGTTGTACATGTTTAAAATGTCTTATAAAATTTAATTGTATATTTGAATGTATTGAGTATAAAAAATGCGTAATTTTTTACTATGTTAAATGGGAGTTTTTACCTTTTACCCTTTCTTTTGTACTATTGAGGTTTTTATTGAACTTTTGAAGTTTTTATTAAACATTTCAAAGTTTTTATTGCACTTTTTCACATTTCAAGGTTAATAGAATTTTTTATTGTAGGTTTTTCACTCTTAGATGTTTTTATTGCACTATTGAGGTTTTTGTTGTATTTCAAGGTTTTTATTGTTCCTGTTGTTTTCGCGTCACAAAGTTTTTATTGCACATTCTTGCACGTTTCAGGGTTTTTGAATTTTTATGGGTTTCTATTGCACTTTTCACATTGTTTTTTATTACACGTTTTGAGGTTTTTATTGCACGTTTTTCACAACTCGATGTTTTTGTTGCATGTTTTTATTGCGAGTTTCAGGTATTTATTGGGTGTTTTGAGGTTTTTATTACCAGTTTCAAGGTTTTTTATTGCAAGTTTTGAGGTTTTTCTTGAGCATTTACAGGTTTTCATTGCAAATTCGAGATTTTCATTGAATATTTTTGCTTGCCTCGAGGTTTTTATGGCGCGTTTTGGGTTGTTTTAATTGAATGTTTTGAGTTTTTATTGCATGATTTGTGTTTTTGTTACAAGTTTCAATGTTTTTAATGTAAATTTTTGCACACCTTAAGGTTACACACATTTGAAGTTTTTATTGCACATTTTGAAGGTTTTGAGGTTTTCATTGCACATTTTGGCACATGTTGAAATTTTTATTAACATTCCTAGATTTTTATTCCACGCTTCAATGTTTTCATTCCACGTTTTGAAAGTTTTGACTGCATGAAAATCCAGTCTTTTTTCTAATCATATATAAAATGGAAATAGATTAAAAAACATTGAAAATTCATACCGCTCTCTTAATAAATAAGTAAATGTTGTCATAAGGGTGCAGACTTATAGGGAGATCTTCTTTATTAAAGTGATTCCTCACAGCTAAATCAATTTTTTTCTCATCAATAAACAAATGAACCTTCCTGTTTGATAAAACAACAAAAGCGAAGAACACCGGATTGTAGCAAATGTCACTTCCTCTCAAGTTTAAGAGCCCTAAAACATTGTTCAAATTAAATGTTAATATGCATTTTGTTATTGGTAAAAAACATTATACTAACACCTAGGGGATTGAAACAAAATAATATGATTATAGCCATTCTTCCAATTCTCTGGTAGTTAGATCTGATTCCAAATCTGCAGACCAAAGATCAATTTGATCAATACCTTTAATATTTGTATTTTTTAAAGATGAATGATCACTTTATGGCTGATTAGTATTAGTATTGCTGGATTATTTACAATCAAAAACTTAGGTATAAGTGTCAAATCTACCAAATAATAGAACAGCAACTTTCAAAATAAACTGGTAATTAATCACAAATGTAACAAATAGTTTATCCACTCATAGACACTTTGCATATCCTTAAAACATAAATTGTACAATAAACAATATACTTACAGGCTATGTCATCCAGAGCAGTGACAACTAGCAGATCAACTCCATTTTCCTTCATTTTGGACCTAACCGCTTGAACCTTTTCACTGGACAGCATGCCTAAAAATTTATTAGTGTCATAAAATCAATTTATCAAAGAACCAATTAATTAATTTAAACAATAAACACCCCACAATTCTGATCCGTTTTGTTGCCTTGATATATGTTTCAACAATAAAACACTTCCAATTATTTTTTTTAAATATTAAAAGTGCATCTTACCAGAATATTCCTTGGGCAATGTTGTTATCATGCCTAGTGGTGCTTTGGGCCTGTCACGACTCCATACTAAGTCGACAAGGTTTCTAGTGACTGGAATCAAGTTTATTTTGAATTTTTCCAATTCCAGCTTCATAGAAACCCAAAGTGTATAAGGAATTGTTTTAGGGTCTGCTCCTACAAAAGAATCTTCAGGAAGATTTGCACATAACCACTGGGCTTCATTCGGAACGCCTAGGACACCTTCAAACAAAAAATGGTTAATTAAAACTCTTACATTTTCTAGAATTATACTCATAGTTACCCATTTTCATAAGAGTCCATTCAGGTCTAAGTTCTTTCTTCGCTTGAATAAAGTACCTAGGATCTGTCCACATTAAAGCAGCCTTGTCAGTCACCACTGCAGTCCCAGCGGAACCAGCAAAACCTGTTATAAATTTAAGACGCTTGTCTCGCTCAGCGAGATATTCACTCTGAAACATAAATCAGACTTTTTACTTTTCACTACACTATAAGCAATATTTATAACAATTATAACATGTTATAAACATATTAATTATGTGTACTGGTAATTAAAATAGGGCTATATCTGTACCAACAGGTACAATACAAACAAGACTAACTAAAACTGGAGGAAAACATTCTTCAAAAAGTTTGAATTATGGCAAATTTGAAAAAAAAAAAACAGTTAAAAAAACAAGTGGTTAAAATTAAATGCCTAAGAAATCAGAGCTGCCCATGGAATACAATTTAAATGCTTCACTACAGACTGCTAATAAATAATACTGATGCTTATTCAATACATGTAATTTCCTGTTATGGGGCAGTGATAGGGGAGTTGGGTTAGATTGGTGTAAGGATTAGGAACTGACTTAGTTAAGTAAGATTAATGTTAGGTTAGGTTCATGTAAGGTAAGCTTAGGGACTTGTTAGGTTTAGGGCTAGGCTAAGTTGTAAAGATAAGAGTTAAGTAAGGTTAGGACTGGCAAGGTTTAGTAGGGTTAGGTAGCTTAGGAACTAGTAGGTTTAATAGGATTAGGGTTAGGTTTGCTTAGGGAGTGGCTTGGTTTAGTAAGGTGAAGCTAGCTTAGTGTAAAGATAAGGGTTAGGTAAGTTTGGAGAATGGTTAGGATAGGCATTATGTTACGGTAAGAGTTAGAGTTAAATAAGATTAAGGACTGGTTAGATTATATATTACGCAGGGTGGGCGACCAAGAACCGAGGGATTAAATGCCTGGGTAGACTTGTACCCCATCCCTAAAAGGTCCGGGACTTGGTCGGCTCACGTGTCCTGCATAAATCTCTTGGAATTGTTCACAAACCCCAAGATTTTGGACCATTTTATCTCGGGGAGTGATTTGGTGATGTCCGATCCTTCAAAGATTTCAAATCTAGACCTAGCATACTTCTCACACTCTGCGAGGTGGTGCCTTGCCGTTTCTTCTTTTATTTCGCAAAAACGGCCAAAAGGATCTGGTAGAATACCCATTACAGAGAGGTGTCTTCTCAATGGGCAGTGGCCCGTCAGGACACCTATCAGCCTCCTAATTCCCTTCCTTGGGATAGAGAATAGCCATTTCGATTCTGCTGGTTTGATCGCCTTAACAAACTCTTTCGATTGCCTGTGTCCGAGGGATAAATTCCACTCCTAAAATAATTGTTTCATGCCCCAGTTTTTAATACTCTCTTTTGCTGTGCTCATAGGGTGAGGTAATACCGGTTGTGGCCCGACAAATACAGTATTAGAGCCTACTTTGGCCAGGCTGTCCGCCTCTTCATTGCCATAATGTCCTTTATGTGCTGGTATCCACATAAGGGTTACCTTGTTCTCAAACCTGGAAGAGATCCTATTGATAAGATCTACAGTTTCCTCCACCAGTCGTGAGGTTGACAAATCTTTTTGTAGTGACCTAAGACTAGGCTGACTGTCAGAAAAAATTCTAATATCTTTTCCCGTAATTTTATTTTCCATAAGTGTTCTACAACACACATTAATGGCCCAGATTTCCGCCTGAAAAACTGTGGTGTTATTACCAAGAGAGGAGGAGATGCTGATTCCTAATTTTTGGACGTTAAGTATGACTTACAGGAATGGCTAGGATGTACTAATGTACAAGGCAAAAAAAAAAAAAAGTATGACTTGACTTTGACATTATTGCAGGTGATGGATCTGATAGCACAGAGAATTGTTCAATTTCAAATTCTTCATAGTTTACTGCAATATTGTAGAAATGAGGTAAAATACAAAAACTCAAATTAAATTTTTTAAGTATGAGGAATTTGTTCACTTTGTTTAAAAAAAAGATAAATATCAATTGTTATTTATCTTTGCACAGTTTGGTATTCACCAGCAAATCTTAAACTATGTTTATTATGAAAAAAAAAAAAAAAAAGAAAAGTAAACACATATTAATTTCCATGTTGAAAGGTATGATCAATCATTTTGAATATGATTGATCTGAAGATGTCCCCCCAACAAACTTCACTTAATGATAATGTCAACATTTGCCCAAATCATTCGGCCAACAGTTAATTATTATCGTTTCTTAAATATTATTTGTTTAAAGTTTGTTTAATCCCAAACAAAGATAAATGTTGAAATCAATAATAATCTTAATTTTCGTTTAGAAGTTAATTTGTCATTTTTCCAAATTTATTTTACATTTAACAGAGATTTATAGCAAATCAATTCTAGCACAATAATTGGACAGTTATCTCCTATTACAAAAAATCATCAAACACACAACATGGCCATTTATGTTTTATTCTTTTATTTTTTGGGATAAACAACAATAAAAATGTCAAACAATATTAATAGAAAGATTACTAATTTAATTTTAATATGACTTAAATCCTTTTAAATTTGTGGAAGGAAAAAATGCAAGGTATTTGGGTTTTATTGGCCTTTGATCAACACAAAAATCTTATCTCTGAATTGTGAGATAAGTTCTAGACAGAGAATAATGAAATGATTCTAAATAAATGAATTGCTTCTGTTTAAACTTGGAACAGAAAACCTCTTTGTTTGTTCTGTTTGAATTTTTTATTCCCACATTTCTCTGAAAATTCAATAATATGGACTAAGCGATATTTCATTCTTGTTCAGTTAAAAAAAAAGTATTCATTATTTAAAAGAATGCAACTTTTGTAAAGTTTTAAAAGTTTGCTTAATCCTGGTTTATTGATCTGTTAAAAACTATTAATCTCCAAGGAAGGATAAAGTTTCAAAATCCTATCTCAAAATGACTTACTACCACAGACTCGATTATTAAAAGTATCCAAAAATTGACAACTTGGGAGGGGAGATTATAAATTAAATACAACCGTTGGGAATAAATTAAATCCTGTCATACAGGAGGGTTTAAGGTCCAACTTTGGAAATCATGGAGAAGATGTGAGAACCATATTACATTTTTCTTTTTCAAATTAATCTCATCGCCAGGATTTGAACCACTAGATAGGAAATTGTGAAAGATGACAAGCTTGCAAAAGAAGCTGCTATTAAAATACATACTTAGTCTAGAACAAAATGATAATTGGTCCAAATTGGGACGTGAGAGAGAAAAACATATGGTTGCAGTTGCAGAGTATGAAATCTCTGATAACTGGCCACATCGATACAGATACAAGTACAACTGTTTCAACGGATTGCTAGTAGAAAACGAAAGTCCTGGTAGTATTTGCGTATTTTCATACACATGTAATGGTTGAAAAGAAGGGAAAAAATTTCTATTAGATCATAGCTTGATTACAATTCCAAGTTTTAAAACTATAAGCAATAAGAAAATTGTTCTCTGTTATCTCAAAGAATTTCAATACTTCAATAAAAGTACACTGATTTTATGCCATTTTTGAATAGAAACAACCTGTAGTGCCTTATTAACATTTGCAAGAATACGTGAAATTGTAGATACTTAACTCAACAGTTTAATTATGATTGATTGTAGAAAAGATAAGGTTTGAGGGGACCACGGTGGCTGAGTGGTTGGGAGTCTGACTAGTATTTGCCACCTCTAATGGATCTGGATTCAAATACCGGTGTAACTCTTGGAATTTTATTTGAGATTAATTTGAAAAAGAAAAAAGATTGTAATATAGTTCTGACCTCGCATCTGAGACACGTAAAGTTGAACATAAGCCCACCCGTATGACACGAATTACTTTTTTTACTTTAAGCTTTTATACTACTTTAAATTTAAAAGATAAAAAATCGATGGTATTCAGTTCAAAGAATCCTTTAAAACTAAGTTTTGTGCAGTGCTATGAATTTTGTAATGTTCATACTACAATGCTTTACAGGATAGTTTATAAGACAACTCAGACAGATAGCCATTGGCCATGCTATTTTTTTCTTCCTTTGGCTGGCCTGCTGCCTTGGCTATTGCTCGCACTTGCAATTAACAAAATTTGCCTCTCCAGTAGGTCTGGTGATCTTTAATTTTTTATGGAACTTCTGGGACTATAATTTTTCTTAATTAGCCCTTCCACATGTGGTAAAAAGGCTCTGCAACTCATGTTCATATTTATATTGTGGCCTAACCTAAGTTTCGTGGGTCTCAGGGTACCAGATACTCTGCTAAGGACCTGCCATCATTTACTCTAATAAGTACATTCACACCAACTAGAAACTTTCATATATAAAACTAAAATTTTGGGAGGCACCGGGGCTTTACACACTCACTCACACATCTCGCTACTAAATACATCAGGATAATAAAATAACCTTGTTTGGTGAGTCTAAGGGGTACTCTAAATCTGCCACAAACCGACCAATTCTCTCAAACGCTCGTGCTGATTGCAACTAACATTCATTCTAGAAAAACCATGTAAGGAAAGCCAGTAGGAAGCCATCAAATGTGACCATATGCATTTATCCATGATTGGATATGACCATGTTGTTCTGTTAGTCTGGTGTGGCCAATTCCTAGTCAGGTCATTACTACCTTTTATTTTTTGTTCCAAGTTCTCCATGGTTTGCCAACCTTCTCAACAAATTTTTTTAAAAATAAATTTTGGCATCTGCTGAGCTCACAGAAATCTCCGAGTCATACAGCATTGTTGCATTATTCTATGCCGAATTGGCCCAGAGTCCAGGCAATAACGATTTAATTCATTAATTTTCTTTTGTATTGCCTGGATACAAAAGGTCCACGGAGAAGATTTTAGAAATGGCTGAGATTGCGCCAAGTGAGTCCATGCAGATAACATATTGGTTGTGGCCCATATGCCCGATCTCACTCTGCGCTTTATTGTTTATATTTAATTCTGTGCATGTGCACATGAAAGATGTATATATACATTTTTTCATTTTTTTAAATAGTAAAAAACACATTATTATGTTACCCCAAAAATTAAGAAGCAGTTCAATAATGAATAATTAATTTAAAAATCAAAATATTTAATCTAAAATATTAAACTTAAAATTAGGAATCTCTGAAATACTCAGAACAATTAATATTGTTTAATAATAGGAATTGGGGGCCGCAGTAGACGAGTGGTTAAGGTGTCAGACTCTCGGCTAGTAGATCCCGCGGACGTGGGTTCGATCCCCACCGTCGCCTCTGGACTTTTTCTGACGCCTAAGGGGACCGGTGGCCGCAATTGAAAGAAACTGACACGGCACTCATCAATGGAAGGAGTGGGATCAGATCTCAGCGACCCTGAATTTGGTCTTAACCCTCTTCAAAAATGAGTTTCTTCAATGGAAGAACACCGGGGGCTCAAATTCACACTTGTGTTGCGAGCCCCCAAAAATGGAGCCAGGGATAAAGTACAATAAGCTGTACAGCTGCAGTGCTCAGGAGGTAACTCCTCCAGTTCCTGGTATCCATTGGGGAAAAAAAATAGGAATTAGAGATTCCCATGCCTATTCAAGAATGAATCCCTCAGGTTTATTTTATCACACATGATGACCATAGGACCAACTTCAAAATATAACCAGAAAATGCAATCGTACACTAATAATCATAACTTCGAGAAAGATTCTAAATGATAAAATTTAGAAATTGGCATTTTAATTATTGATGAAAGCAAAAACCATAGTTTATAATATTATATATAATATATAATATTTTTCAAGAATGTTATGAATAAGAAACAGCACTGTTAGGGGAAAGAAATGCACAGCTATTTATTGACTCAACATAGTTTTAAATACTGTTAATGAATCATTAGTGAAATATGTGATAACGAAAGATTAGAGGATAAAAAAAACTGCCAGGTAGCAGGAGAAATTACATCCTGACTAAGCGGTCATGTCACATTTTTAAACAGACAACAGTTTAAATAATTTAAATTAGCAAATAAGACAAAGCAATAAGATATATATATAAGTAAAAAAACACCCCAATGGGAGGATGCATTTTTATGTAATTTATACACAGACGTAAACACTATTTTCTATATCCCACATTGATAATGTTTTAAATAGAAATAATAGCATAAAGTAAGCATTCAAAAAGGTAGTCTGGAGTCTTTGGCACATTATTGTAGCCATTTTTGAGTTTACGGAGCCATGTATTTGGGGTCGTCATGCAAAAAATATTAAGTCCTTTCTATACACAATTTAATAGTTCTTTCCTTTAAATTCTCTTTTAGAACATCAATGTAGGCATATTGGTCCATGATCCCATCTATTTTATGTAAATTGCCACTCCTCTATAGCCCATACGGCCTTTAACCGTTGGTAGTGTCTTCTTTAATTTCAAACGCTCCTTTGGCTCAAGCCACACATTCTATTAGATATCCAATGACTTATAAGAAATTTGGAAGTCATATTTTGGGCAAAACAGTAAGATGTGAGATTTCCTCCTGTGGTCTGCAGAGTGATAAACCTATTGTTTGATAGTAACCTATACCGACTTAATCCATCAAACACTGACGAACAATACTGACACCTACACAGCCCTTGTCCACAATCCACGACCTTGTAACAAAAACTAAAACTTTATTCCACAGTAATCACCCAAACAATAAAGAAGGCAAAATAAAAAACTAAATCCTAAAATATGTTCAGCTCTTTCTTCTTCCTGTAATATCCAAGTATATACATTTGCGCCCACAGTGTCCTACTGACAGCCCTGCTATCATTCTAGTCCTAACACCAGCAATTTTGCTGTTAATTTGTGTGATGGTCCTTTGATGAATTTTTTCGCCAGCCTCTTCCAATGCTACATTCCCATTAAACAGAGGAATTATTTTTAATCCACTGTCTGATGGATCCACGTTTTTGGCAGTTTGGTATGCCACAACAGGCATAAAAGATCACAGGGCCAATAGGTGTCCTAGATCTTTTGCTGATAAGTAGCTGCCCATGGGTTAAGGTATGGCCAAACCTCAGGGGGTTAACACTATGCTATTCCTTTTTTAAAGATTCTCCATGACACACATTTCCCATTGAACAATCCATTGCCTAATAGATTTTTGGCATTTTTGTAAGCAGCAAAAGGATTCAGGGTCAATAAGTCATCAAACTTTCCTTGTCCAATTTATAAGCTTATTCATCACCCCTCTGCCCTTTGTACCCTGGTACCCAGAAAAGGGTAATTTTATTTTTTGCCAGTTACTTATCATCTTGGTCTGGAAATTAACATAAATCAGCGATAGGCAGACCAAGATGATAGGTAACTATGAAACAAAACAGTAGGTGCTCAGAGCCTTTTTTTGACTTAGTTAAGAAGTGTGTAACACTGTCCCATTGCCATGAATGCTACATGTGAGACTATGAGCAATTGTTATGGCCTGGTATCCGACATTGTAGGGGCAGAGGTGGAGAACGATAAAGTATGAACATTATAGAAAAGGTTTTTAGTTGAGATACAAAAGTCAATGGCACGAGCGGGATTCAAACCCACTATCTTCGGCTAGATACGCCGCTGCTCTACCACTTGAGCTATCGTGACCTCAATCAATTTATTTCATAGGTGACAATGCTGTGACTTAGATTTCATGATTAGGCCTAGAGAGAAAAAAAAGAGGTTAGGATAGAGACAGTGGAGTCTAGAAATGAACAAGTGCATTCCGTGTAGATGAGAAAGAGAAAGAAGTATGCGATCCTGAAAAGAATTTAAAATGTGTTGGAATCCCTAAAAAAGAGTGCTTTGGTCCACAGCGGATTGACTGTAAATAGAGAGTACCCTTATTTAATAGACTGGCAAATGGTTTGCATAAAATTATTGTTTATTTAAATTCAAAATTTTTTTTTGTTTGTTTAAAATCTAAAAAATAAATTGAACTTGTGTTAATTGTAGGTTTCCGGCGTAATTAATAAATTGTTTTAAAACTTGAATTAAATTTTATTATAAAAAGGCACCTGATCAGTTTGTATTCAGGTTCAATCAAAACCTCTGGGGCTCTGTTCCTAATAAAAAGGATTCAGAGTTGGGCCCGTCTTGTTGAATCAAGAATAAACTGTAACATATACACTGACAGGCAAAAAATTCCGCCTGATTGATTTTTTCATTTTCTCGATAAAAGAAAATTCTATCCTTAATTTGGCTCATTGTTTTTATCAATAAATATTTGTTTATGCTATGGTTTAAATTGAGAATACAATAAGGCGTAAACACACTTAATCCTTAATACAAAATAGAGGTCAATGATTTTTCAATGTTTACTTTTTACGGAATTTAAAATGTTTATTCAGTCTCATTTGAATTCTGAAGCAATAAACTATAGTTTTCAACTTTGTTTTCTTAATTTCAATTTTTAAACTTAAAAATGCCACTTAGGGCTGAGGATGTTGTGCGTGCTGTGGCACTTACTGATGATGGACATTCCTTCAGGTATGCGGCTATTGCCATCGGAGTTCTCTACGAAACTCTGTGAGATGCCGTTTTCATTTTCTAGCAACTGGGTCCTACCATAGAAGACCTGGTCCTGGATGCCCTAGGGTAATAGAACCACAGGATAACTGTTTTTTGACTATGAGAATTTTGTGAAACCGGCACCTTACTGTTGTTCAAGCGATTCATCAGCTCCAGGAAGTTGGAGGTGTCCAAATTTCTGAATGCACTGCTCGAAGAAGATTAAATCAATATGGCTTTTCGCCCCGTATGAGGACCAGAATTGACCTGAATACACAGAGTTGTATGGCTCGCATTTGCTCGAGAACACAGCCATTGGTCTTTAGACGATTGGTCTGATGTTCTTTTTACAGATCCATATAGATTTGCTCTACGATCTCTTGAACGAGGGCTTGAAAAGGTGTGAAGAAGACGAAATGAAAGGCGCAAAGCCTGTACTTTTCCCCAGAGTCAACCTTTTCAGCGTAGCTCAGTGATGGTGTGGGCGGGAATTTCAATGGAGAGTCGCACAGAGTTGGTTGTTGTTCATGGAGGGTCTTTGACGGCCACTCGCTATGTGGATGAACTTTTGGAAAATCATGCATTGCCTATCTTCGATGAAATCAGCGACAATCCTATTCTAATGCACGATAATGCCCGTCAACATGTCGCTTGCATCTTACAAACTTTCCTTCAACAGGATAACATCAGGGTCTTAGCCTGGCCAATCCTTTCTACAGACTTGAACCCCATCAAACATTTATGGGATAACCTCAAAAGGCGAATAAGAGCACGTTCATCACTTCTTGATACAGTTCACGATTTTGAAAGGACTCTTTGTGACTAACCTCATCAAAGCGACATTTTCAGACTGGTATAAAGTATGCCGAGGTATCTTAGCGATGGAATTTAGGCAAGAGGAGGAAATACGCGATATTGAAATGTTAATTAGAAATCTAAAACAAAATTAAAACAAATTTTATCTGTCAAACTTTTTTTTTACTTTTTTAGACAGAGACTCAATTATTTAAACGTTAAAAAACGTGAAACTTTGATTAATACATAAAAATACATACAAATCAAGCTATACTACAAGTGGGTGGAATTTTTTTGCCTGTTAGTGTATATTAAAAACTGGTTAAGATAATTAATAAATAACTAATAAAGTTTTAAAGGGTAAATGAAGAATAACAATTACCATGTGTCCATCGTGATTTGAGATGATGTAAGCCTGGATGGCTTCTGTGGCAGTTTCAGCAGGGTCGGACATCAGAGACCTGAGGAAGGCCAGATTTTCGCAGCCCGGTGGTGGCTGGTGCACCTCGTCGACCGGTGCCAGGTCGCTATTGCTGCTCGAATCTGACAGGAACGAATTTTCAATTAATACAAAAAATCACGCTTTAAAGATTTTGTTAAACAATTTTAATTAATTTAAGAAAAAATAGACAGCTTTTTTACCTGATGAAGAGTGGCTGATGCTCATTTTTCTTTCTTTTATTTCAGGCTATAATTGATGGAGAAAAGGGCCGGGTCTCTGTCGGGCGGTTGAAGATTTAAAAACACGAGAAATTGGAAACTCTAGGCGGCCCAAATGGCATCCTAGGAGGATGCGGTTCAAATGGGGAAAAAAGGACGAGAGGAGAGGAACGGGTGTCAAAAGTCAAAAAAATTGGGTCGGCGACTCGTTGTCAGTGACAATCGACAACCACCTGAGACTTGAGAGTCGTGAGACGTGAGTAGGACGGGCTGTCGCGACTACTCGCTCGCGGTTATAAACCACCGAAATATCGATCAACTCGTGTCAAGTGGGGACGATAAGCTGAAAAGGTCCGATATTTGTTAAATCGACCCCTACAAATATCAAAAACGGACCTTTTATCGATATTCTCATCTCCCTCCAATTTTATTCAATAATTGAACTTTCTGCCACACTAAAATTGGATCCTTGAATCTCTATTACTTGTAGAAATAAACTGCTCAAAAATGAATAGAGAAATTTGTAATTTATCCTTATTCTATTAATTTTAGTTAAATTAACCGTTATATTCTTGTTAGTTTGATAAACAAAATAGAAAATACAAACCCAAACCAAACGAATGTTAAACCTCACTTCTAACATAAGAATAGTATACTAGATTACTCATTTTTTAAATAAACTGCTTTTGTCGTTTTTCTCCATTTTAATCCAGTTGTATTAATCATGGAAAGACATCATCCTGAACCAGAAGTTCAAATTATTATTGTAAGAATGAGTCACCAAGTGGATATCGCAGGGGCAGTTGACGTTTATCAGAGCGTGGTCACAATTCTGAAAGACTGGAAGTTCCAGGAGGCCTGGTAGTGGATCTCAGCGCATTACAACGCTAAGGCCTCTTTCAGATGAAGCTGTTTGGTTGATTTAACTAAGTTGCCCACTTGATTCTCAACTAGTTTACTGCCGTGTGAAGGCTCTTTCTTTGCTGGTTTCACAGAAGGCAACTTGTGGAATCAACCTCTCTTCCCAACGCGAGGTCATTATGATGTTAGAACCCGAGGAAGCAGGAGCATTTCTTGTGCTTGCTCTTCTGCACAAAGAGAAGCAAAAAAGAAAGAAGCCTAGTAAAAAAAAGTGTGGGTTTATCCGTTGTTATAGAATTGGGAAAATGGGCGGCGAAGGACAAATGCCAAGCAGTGTCTCTTGAGTTGTCAACCAGTGGGGATGAAAATGTGAGGGGCACTTGTGCCTGCTGGCCACCCTCTGGGCAGATGAGTTGACAGCGTATGAAGGGGTTGGGGCGATTCCCAAACATTTTGCTACCATGTTACACTCCTTGACACCTGTCCGTTCAACTAGTTGCCTCATTTGAAAGAGGCCAACTCTCATTTGTGACGGACACGATCCAAAAACGATTCCACAACTTCCACTCCAAGACAGAAATAGTGTCATTGCTGCAAGAAACCTTATTTTTAATACATTGTCTGATGGATCCTCATTTTTGGCAGTTTGGTATGCCACAAAAGGCAAAAAAGACCACAGGACCAATAGGTGTCCTAGGTCTTTTACCGATAAGTAGATGCCCATGGGTTAAGGTATGGCCAATCATCAGGGGCATTTACACTAGGCTATTCCTGATTTTAAGATTCTCAATGGCATGCATTCCACTTGAACCTAGGACTTATTTTTAATCCATTTTCTGATGAATCCACGTTTTTGGCAGTTTGGTATGACACAAAGGCAAAAAAGACCAGGGCCGATAAGTTAGGTGCCCATGGGTTAAGGTACAGCCAATCCTCACTCATTAACACTATGCTACATCTTTTTTTAAAATTGTCTGAGTCATGCAATCCCCTTAAACTGAGGACTTATTTTTAATATATTTTCTGGTTGAGTTTGGCCTTTTGGTAAGCAACAAAAGAGTTCAAGGCCGATGAGTGCCCTCATCGAACTTCCCTTGTCCGATTTATTGGTTTCTTCGTCGCCCCTCTGCCCTGGAATTAAGTACTCCAGCATAGCTAGACTAATGGACACTGATGTTAACACTTTTCCTCCAATTGATGATCTTTTTAATTTTTTCCTTAATCGACTTAATCATGATCTATGTAATATTGGTTTTGTTAATTAAAAATGCATGTCTTTCATCACAGATGTAAATATGTTTTGCCTTTTTTTAATTCATTTTCTTCTTTTTTATTAGAAAATTTATTTATGAAATATTATTTATTTGTTACTGGGTTTTTTGCTCTTAATAAAATAAGCGTTGACTTAGGAGTACGTTAGGTAAGAAAAAGAGCGGATCGTTCATTTCATTCGTCGTTCTCGTTCACGAACGATCTGTTTTCACTTCCGTTTGCCGGCGTTAAGCGAGTTTCTCTGACTGTTACAAGTACACTATACAAGTAAAAAAAAATTTTGAAAATCCGACCGTAAAAATCAGTAAAGAAAAAGATCACGACGATGGAAAAGGCCGAAAATGAAAATACAAAAGCGGAAACTCATCATAGAAATGGAAACGATTCGTCAGACAGCGAAGATAAAGAAATGGTAAAAAGGAAAAGGAAAAAGCGCAACGAAGACTTGCACGAATCATCTCACAAAGAAGATGACCCTAAGAAAAAACGTAAGCACTTTTACAAGAAAAAATGTTTTGTTAAATTCAGCTGTTCGTCTTTTAACTGACCTATTTCAAAAGGTTTATGTAAAAAAAGTGAGATATAGTAGTTTGTTTATAGTAGTTGTAGTTTATTTGTACAATGGTTGTGTTTGATTGGTGACATTCTTTCAATTTTGTCTCGCACAATTTGGGTTCTTTAAGTACCCGTTAGTTCTCCCTTTCAAGGGTTAGAAAAGTAAATAAACAAGCGATACGTTACAAGGATGCCGCTTGCCACTTTGCCCTGTAGAGTTTCTATTCAAATCCGTCAACTAGGACTAGTCTGCAATACTACATTAAAAATAACAGAGCAGTTCTTTCGGGTCTGAATACTGCATATTTTGCCAATATATACACTGCTATACTATCCTCTGCTCCCCACCCCCGTAGAAGATCTGCATAGACACATCACATGTTTAGCACTTTGATGTAGATAATGAAAAATGAAAGCAAGTCCATGTCATAATTACACTCCAAAGCAAATCTCTTCTAACAATCTGCTATGACGATGTTCCTTATCCACATCATGGCCACTCCTGTGGCATCGTCTATACTGACTCCCTAGATAAATTAACCCTCTTATTACAGAGATATGCTGAGTTGGAGTGACTCGGAAAAACAGTGGTTGTCATCTGGATACATGGACACATCGAGCTGGAGGGCAACAAACGTGTAGATGAGGCTGTGAAAGCTGTGACGTCGCCCTTCAGACCAATCCACCGTAATATGGTGACGCTGGACTAGCAATAAAGAATACAATAAATGAAAATTGGCAGTGTCAATTATTCGGATTGTCTGAGAAAACTAACAACTGCAAGTAAGGGATTGTGCTCACCTGTTTGAGGATAGGCCATACAGGATTGACACATGGACACCTGCTTTTGGAGCAAATCCTGCTCAGGTGTACCACTTGTAGAGAAAGGTCGCTTAGAGTATTGCACTCGATCAAAGAGTGCCAGGCCTTGGCCCATTACAAGGAGCGTGTAGGCATGGCATTCCTTTGACATAAAGGCAGTGGTTGGGCATGAGACACTACAAACTTATAGGATGACAATCCAAGCTATCGACGAACAAACTTACAATTTATAAAATATTACTATTTTTTGGTCAGAATTGCTACTAGATTTGGACGGAATAGAACTATCGGGAACCACTAAATCTTACAATATTCAACGTAGGGGCGTCGATGGCCGCAAGGTTTAGTCTTTGACACGGCGTTCATCACTGTAAGGTAAAGGTCCCGGGTTCGAATCCAGCTGCCCTGCATTTGAACCCGACATACTTACAAATGGGCTTTTTTTCAAAAACACCAACACCCTGAAGGTTTATATGACCTCTGCTGTTGTGAACCCTCGTAAAAAAAAAAAAAAATTCAACGTCTCCAGTTCTTTCAGTCTAAAGTTCTCTGATCAATTATAAATGCTCTGTATTATGTTATGGTAGTATCTACTATCCTCCACAATGACCTTAAAATTCCATTTATCAAACAAAAAATAATTCCCAAAAAATTTACTAATAATCTCTCCCATCACCCCAATAGTCTCGCCCAAGCCTTGTCCAACAGAACTCAACACTACAATTCCATAAGGCGTCTCACGATGAAATGGACCCATGACCACCTTTCTGAGGAGTAGTCAGTGAAGTTTAATTAGTGAAGTGAAGTAGGAGAATAATATTATTTGCTCCTCTCAATGTAAATATGTAAATTGTCATAAATATTTCTATGTATCCTCAAATTATATGTGATAACAAAAGTTAGTAATAAAAATTTAAAAAAAAATCTACACCTCTAAAAAGACCTATAGATTTACTTCCTCAACCTCTGAATCATTACCAACCAATTCATATTTGTCATGCCAGTTGTTCTGGATTTGAATCCCAGCATAGACTTTTTTAAATATTTTTATTATAAGGCTTATTAATGCATTAAAAATCTAATTGTGACATTTCTACAAGGAATCTTCAGGTCTCTGAACCTGTAGGTTGCCCATTTCTGATCGTTTTTGGTGTGATGGACTGAATGAACCAGCTAGAATAGGCAGTTTAAAAATAAACTACATGAAAACTAACTGTTTGTATTATTTTAGATGTGCTAAGTGATGAGAACTTTGAGATCTATTATAGAAATTTGCCTTCATCAGAGTCATACGAGAAAAGTTATATGCACCGAGATGTGATTACGCATATTAAGTTTACAAAGTAAGTAGCTTTAAACAAATTCTTTTTGACAATATGCAATGAGGATATGTTAAATTTTTTATGTATTGACCCAACCCCCAGACTTGTTATTCTTACTAAAAATTAACAGAAGCACATCATACACATCCAAAAAATTAAACAAAAACACACGGAAAACTTACTCTTTCCAAAAATTCAACCAAACACGGTTGCAAGGCTTACTACGGATCTAATGCAAGCATATGCAAGACTTATGCATCATAACAATTAATGGAAATACATGCAAAACTTACGCATCCTAAAAATTAACGCAAGCACATGCAAGACTTAAGCATCATAAAAAATGGAAGCACAAGCAAGACTTAAGCATCCTAAAAGTTAACAGAAACATAGGTACGACTTACTATATTTTGCATGGTCAATAGAAAATCAAAATTGAAAACCAAATTAAATCCTTATAGTAAAATGAGTATGAGAAAGTGCCACATCAACTGAACTTAAAAGTACATATTTCAAAATATTAAGAATATCTATAAATGCACAATGATGCATTCAGAACAGGCAACTAAAGAGTTCATAGAAGTACACTCCTGGAATTTATCCACCAAAAAAAATCATTTCAAAAACACCTCTTGTTGTAACCAGAACTGCTAAATTAAAAATTGGACTACCTTCTCAGCACCTTTGTCTTAAGCCTCTTCTTCTTCAAGTTTTAATTAAAATCTCTTTATCTGTAAAAGTGTATAATCAAATAATAATGATATGACGACCAAATTACATGTTCATCACACCGCAGACAACATAGATAAATCTCACAATACAATTTTCTGTTGTAGAACAAATTTCCTGATTACTGCTAGTGTTGATGGTGCCATAAAATTTTGGAAAAAAATGGAACGCGGCATCGAATTTGTAAAGCATTTCAAAGCCCACATCGGCATGATAACATCAATAGCTTCAAATTATAACGGCAGCCTTTTGGCATCAGCTGGAGTCGATAAGGATATTAAAATTTTTGACATTCTGAGTTTTGGTAATAACAAATTATACATTTTCTTGGAGTTTTTATTTATTAATGCTTTACAAATTTCAGATATGATCAATATGATATCACTCAATTACACTCCTGTATGGCTTGAATGGAATCACGGGGGAAAAGATTTACAACATACAATTGCAGTGTAATCATTCAATTTTAATTGTTTCTTTTAAAACATTTTAGCGAGGGTTTGATTAAGTTCTTTTATTAATATTTCCAGGTCAGACAAAAATTCATCACTTATACGGATTTATGATGGTAAAGGATCAGATGCGACTATTGCTGAATTGAAAATACATGCTAAACCAGTGACACTTATTCAAGTAATTATTTTTGGTTTTGGTTTTTTAACACATTCTTAAAGATTTCCATGAAAAAAAAAAAAAAAAAAAACATTTGAAATTACCTATTTATTCACAACAGTGGAGGGCAGGATCCCCTCGCTAGGGGTGTTTCGGGGGGAGGTGGGAAGCATGAAAATCTTTGTCTTATGTGTTTATTTTTTTCTTGTTTTCTTAATAGCAATTTGATAACCTGAGGTACCTTCAAGTGGTTAGCAAGCTAAGAAAACTTACGACAAAATATGAGAGACATCAGCAATAAAGATGCACAAGCAGGGAAACAAAAAAAATTTCCATTTAAAGCACAGGGCTGATGACCACTTGATGTTTGTCAGTCCATAAATAATTAATATATACACATACAAACATTGTATTGTTGATTTATTTAATCAAACTTTTATGGGCCAAGTTCGTAGTTTATACACAGTGCAAATCAGCTCAGTTGTTTGTTGACTAGAGCTTTATCTCACAGAACTTGATACTTAAGTGTCAAAATGTAACATGTTTAAATTTTCTTTTATTTTTGTTTTAGTACAATGCCACATTTGATGTTTCCATATCAGTGGACACATCTGGTATAATTGAATACTGGGCGGGAGCGAAGAATGATTACTTGTTTCCAAAATGTGTAAAATTCGAATCAAAATTGGACACCGATCTTTACGAGTTCTTCAAACGGAAAACCTCCGTAACAAGTGTTTCAGTCAGCCCCAATGGAATTTATTTTTCGACTACATCCACTGACAGAAAGGTTAACTTAAAAAGGTTACATGGAACTGTAGTAGTGTGTGTTCTGTTTTATTTTAATGGTTGTAATTCCTGTTTCATTTGTTCAGATAAGAGTATTTACCTTTTTGACTGGAAAATTATTTACTGAAATAGATGAAAGCTTACATCAGTTAACAAGCCTACAACAGGAGGAACAACAGGTATCTAATATGGAATTCGGCCGAAGGTAAATATATACGCATTAAATCCTCATAAGCATGAAGGAAGTTAGGCCCTAGACGATCAATTATATTGCACAATATTTTTGACCGTTTAGGGTTATTATTGAAGTTCACTCAATGATTGAACAAACTTTTGAGCGATTTTAATTTTTTTTGCACCTTGTAGAGTTAATATTGCACAATATATCGATCTGACATCTGGCAACACTAGGTTTTGCTCACGCAAAAACAGTGACATTTATAGGACTTCAATATTATTGCATGATAAATTGGGATCGAGATGTCATTCAATATTATTGCACAATAAATGTATTGTGCAATCTTATTGTAGGCAAGGGTCCACCTTACAAATTTAAACATTTTAACTGCTAAATGGAACATTTCTTTTTACCTTATTTGAAAATTTACAAGTCATTTTGTATAATTTTTATTTAAACAGAATGGCAATTGAGCGAGAATTGGAGAAATCTGGAAATCTGAATTTCTGCAATGTCATATTTGATGAAAGTGGTTTTTTCATAATTTTCTGCACCATGCTCGGCATTCACGTTTACAACATAATGACAAATAATTGCAAAAGGATAATTGGCAAATCTGAAAACTTCAGGCCCATTCAGGTCGCCTTATTTCAGGTAATAATAACTTAATTTTAATAATTGACTAATTAATAATGTACAGTATTTCAAACAGTTGACCATAGCGATAGGGATAGGGATAAAAGAGTTGACCACAAGGCCTTCTGCACCTAAACCTGAGTAGATTTAGTGTGCTCATCTAATTGTATAACTCACTTGCAAGCTTCAGGCTGTTAATCAACCTCCATAGCCTTGTCAGCTTTGTATAGGATCTTACATAGACAAAAACATAAAACAAGTTCTACGGTATCCTCGTCTTCCTGGCAGTATCTGCACAGTGTTTCTTCTGTCTGTAATCCTATACGGTGCACGTGCCTTGTCAGGAGTCTAACCAGAATCAAAGTTCTTTGCGTTAACTTTCCAGTAATTCCTTAGTAAGTCTTGAGGAAAGCCCTTCTCTGATCTCTTCGAGTGTTGCTCCACCAGGTATTGGACTCATTAAGGATCCATTTTTGGATGTGTCCTTTTTTGTGGCAAGATGCTAGGCCACAATAGGGTTCATAGCATAGAAAATTTATATTGGCTCTTTTTTGGCCATGTCCTCTTTATCATATTATTTTTCTTTATTGCCTTTATGTCCCAAATGCCTAAGAACCCATGCCATGGTCAGATCATTGGTGACCTGGTCTCATTCAAATCTGAAAATTTCAAGCCCATTCAGGTCACCTTACTTCAGGTAATAATAAATAAATTTTAATGATTGACTAATTAATAATATATAGTTAAACCCCAAACATTTGAGCATTCAAAATATCATTTTTTTTATTTTTGGGGCTTTGTTTTATTTGTGTCCGACTCTTATTTGCCATGCTAGCAGTTCTGGGTTTGAATCCTAGCATAGCTCATGGAATTTTAATTGATAATGGTTTATCCCAGTGAGTACTTTCTTGTTAAGCCCTCCTGTATGAATGAGAGGAATTATTTAAAAAAAAAAAAGCATTGACTTACGGCCTTTGTAGCCGGAGGCCGAGACCCGCTCTACCTGCTCAAAAAACTAGCACACTCAGGAGCATCCCCCGGCCAGGTAGCACTATTTCTTTGTTCGAAAACCTAATCTGGTTACACTATTTACCTGTTCTGTAATAATAAAAGTAATATAGTAATATGTGTTTACATTATAAAAAATGTATATCTGATATAAAAATAATAAATACTATTCCCTATAATAATCTCTATAAGTAAAAAAATTTGGGTAGTCAGAATGAATTAGATGAAATGTATTATAAGATAAGGTCAGATAGAACTGGTAGAACATTTCCTCACAAAGGTGACCAATCGTCCAAGAAAATAAAGGGGGCTAGGACACACCTGAGCGTCTTCTGTACTATGTTAAGTGTTAAGCATAAAACATGGATCTGTTTGTACAGGGTAAAATTAAAATAACGCAAGCATCGTCTTCATTCGAGTTGGAGGCTGCAGTCAACCCGACACTCCAGTCAGTAGCAACAGATCCTGTAATTTATTCTACAGCGTATAAGAAAAACAGATTTTATTGTTTTACTCAGTAAGTAACTTACTAATTTTTATTTATACTTGTTTTAAATAATCATATATTGATCCATTACAGCTTTGAGCCTCTGAGTATTGACGGCGAGTCCGATAGGGACATTTTCAATGAAAGACCAACAACAGAAGACGTCCTTGCAGCAACAGAGCCGACCGGTATACATTTCATTTATTATTATTATTTTTTTGTCTTATTTAGCTTGGCATTTGACTTACAGTAAACTTCAATGAAACTTTTTCTGCAGTGTCGTTTTCCACTCAAAAATTCATACCTCTTATGGATTTTATCCATTGCCCACAGTAGTATGACCACTGAAAAGCTTTATTTCTCTTCTTTTCGTCTTTTGGCTTATATCAACAATGGATGGATTTTTTTATTCATATTCTAATTTAGATAAGCCCAATTCTGCGCACAGATGTACACATGTGCCACACCCTAGGTACAAAACTGTCAGTACTGTATACAGTAAAACACTCCTTTTTTTCCTCCAAAAATCAGAACAGAGGACCCAGATATTTGTTCAGGCACAATTGTCATATTGGTTATACAGAGCCAAGGAATGGCACCATTCAATCGGGTGAGGATTCTACGAGTTAGATCCTCTGAGGGCCACCTATATTTCATTTTCTCTTAATTGAATTTATTTGTGTTATTGTATTACATGAATCATTTTGATATTTTTTCCAGGCACAGCATTGACATGTGAATCAGCAATAATTCATACAACATTTGGAGACATTCATATAAAATTGTTTAACGAATGTTCACGCACTGTTGAGAATTTCTATGTCCACAGTAAAAATGGTTACTATAACGGTCACATATTTCATCGCGTTATAAAGGGGTTTATGATCCAGACCGGCGATCCTACAGGTATTTGAATTTCACTGTTACAATTTCTTAATTTAGGTGTAACCTTTTTTTTTAACTCCAGGTACTGGCTCCGGTGGTGAGAGTATTTGGGGAGGAGAATTCGAGGATGAGTTTAAACCGAATTTAAAACACGACCGTCCATACACCGTCAGCATGGCAAATGCAGGTCCGAACACAAATGGAAGTCAGTTTTTCATAACTCTTGTACCAACCGTAAGTGAATTTTAAATTTTAAATCTTTCCTACTGCTAAAAATACTTGATCATAAATTCAACTTTAAATTGTCATCCATGAATTTAACTATTGATCTGATTTTACCTCAAAGGCTTAAAATAAGAGAGTAAATATAGTTAAAAGATAGAAGGTTTGAATAATAGAAACAATTAACTTTTTTAAAAATAAGAAATTCGATTAAAAAAATACACAAAGAAATTTGTTTGATTACCATCGAGCCAATGTTCACTGTAAAGTCAAAATATTTACAATTTCCTTATGTGTCTTTCTTTTTTAGCCTTGGTTGGACAACAAACATACTGTTTTCGGACGAGTTGTGAAAGGAATGGAAATTGTACATAATATCAGCACGGCAAAAACAAATCCCAAAACTGACAAGCCGTATGATGAAATCTCTATTATAAATATCACACTGAAGTAGTTCCATTATGGTTCAGAATTGTGTTAATATTCTGTGTGAATATGAATTTGTAATTACATTAAAAGAAACAGGCAAATACTTGATTTGTATTAATATTGTTGATATAAATAAAAGTTTTGTTAATGACAATTTTTATTGATCCATTTTCACTAATTTTAAAGTCGATGTTCAATTGGGTCTTTATGAAGTGTATCTTAACAAAAGACCAATGTAGACTGATCTAACAATTCTATTTTAATAATGAAGAAGATTCACTGAACAAAAGAAATTCTCAAAAATTCATTTAGTCTTAAGATGGTTTGGTCTTTCATATGTCATTTCATTCTCACTCTTTCTTAGTCACTTTCTTTCTTACTTACTCTCTTTTCTGCTGTCTTGTTTACTTATTCATTTGCTCTCTCTCTCTCTATCAGTATCTTACTCACTTGCTCTCTCTATCACTCTTAGTCTCTTACTCACTATCTCTCTCTGTGTTGCTGGCTCACTCACTTTCTCTTTGTTATTTTACTCACTCACTCCTCCCTCCCTCCCTACTCTCTTACTCTCTCTCCCCCATCTCTCTCTTCTCTCTCAATCACTTATCTATCTCTCTCTCTCAAAATTTTGACTACTTAATTTTTTCCAGTTCGGAGTACCAAGGTACAAATTAGGGAGAGAGCACTGTAATACAAAAGTTTATTGTACTCGTGTTTAAAATGTGGCACTTCAACATCTTATTAATTAACATCCCTTAAATAAATTGAATAATAAAACAAACAATGGTAAAAAACAATATTTAAATTACTTGCATCGAAGAGAAATCCCACTAATATAAAAGTATTAACTGCACTTTGTCTTATAAAAAAGAATTAACACAAAAATAAAACGTTAAAAGCAGTTATTTTAAGGCACACTAAATGCAATATGTATATAATATAAATGAATAGATTTTTTTTACAAAAAATATTTGTAAATTAAAATGGCACACAGCAATCCAAGAGTATACGTACAATTTCAATATATATATTGAACGGCTAATTCAGACGTTACTTCATTACCCTCTAATATAAAATAATAAACTACAATAATGATATCATAAAATACATAAGCAAATAAAATTTAACATAAAATGAACTAACAAAAATGTGCCTGCCCTATGAGAATCATATAGCAGTTTAGTAGGAACTCAGATTTGGCACAAAATTTTAGTTTAACAGTAGATATATAACTATGTTCTTTTTAATTAAAATAAAAAAATAGGCAAAGTTAGTAGGCATAAACAGGTATAGTTGTTTCATATTCTAAGATTCTTTACATCAGATGTCATTTTGGAGCAGTGCTGTTGGTAAATATTTGGATACAGATCTTTAAACTGTAAAAAATAACGTAAATAATCAAATAGAGGTTTTCATATATACATTTGTGTATACATTAAAGTACAAGTGTAAATTTCAAAGAATGTGGTATACAACAAAAATTACCTTTTTCAAATATTTTTTTTGTTCATTTTTCGGGATTTGATCGTTCTTCATTATTTGCTCGATAAGCTGGTTCAAAGCTATTGACGACTGCATTTCCTTTTGTTCCAAAAACTTGTCTTTGGTCACTTGTTCACAAAAGCTGAAAGGCTAGAAATTTAAAGTAGTATCTTTTAATGTTTAATTTAAATTGTTTTCTCAATTTGATACGTAATATTTTAATTTTTGAGTCTGAACAAATTTCCAATTATTTTCTGTGTTGATCTTTAACCCGTTTATGTTACGGATATTGTCCTGGAACCATGCACAAAACCCCTTCCCAGATACAGCTGTTGTTCCAGAACCATGCACCTATACAAGAAAACCCCCATTTTCCAAAGCTTGGGATTCGTATTCCTGAACCATGGAGTTGGGGGTAAATAATGGATTTACAGGCCTTCAGTATTGCTTTGTCGACCTTAATGTGAAGGTCAGGTTTGGTTTTCATATTTGGAAATTTTTTTTAATGATTTTTGAAAAACCAAACTTTTTCCACACAAAAGATAAGTGTAAAACCACATTTTATCAGTGTGAAATACATTTCTCTTCATTAATTAATCTACATTTTCCAATTTTTTAAATTAGGTTTACTCAAGGACAATTCAATAAAACAACTGTCACTTGTTTCGACTTGAAAAACAGTTCTTTTTTTTAGATTAGGGAAGGGGTAAATTGTACTGGTTCAACTGTACAACTTTATAGAGAAAGGTTGCTCACTCATGCTTTTCACTCTAGAATAATGTAATCTAACCCTAACCCTATCTGTCCCTATCCCTACCTCTAGCTTAATCCATCCTTAACCCTAACCTAATCCATTTTAACCCTAACTCTACCTAACCTTACCTGCCCCTATCCCTATCCCTACCTCTAGCTTAATCCACCCTTAACCCTAACCTAATCAATTTTAACCCTAACCCTACCTAACCTTACCTGTCCATATCCCTACCTTAATCCACCCTTAACCGTAACCTAATCTGTTCTTAACCCTAACATGTTGCCTTTCCTAACTATAACCTATTCCATCCTTAACCCCAACCCTACTTAAGTTCACCTAATCCTAACTTAACTAGCCCTTAACCCAACCTAACCTGTCTCCATCCCTAACGCAAACCAAATATGTTCTTAACCTTAACCCTACCTAACCTGTCCTTAAACCTTACTCAAACCTAATATATCCTTATTAACCCGTACTTTAATTTTATACTTTAATTTTAATATTTATTTATTATATATTTATATATTATTTTTATACTATTATATTTTCCTTAATTTAATTTTTTTAAATTCTGCATCCTTAATTCTAACCTAATCTGGCTTAACTTAACCTGACCCCTCTCATAAACTAATTCATCCTTAACCCTACCTACCTGTCCCCACCCTCAACTCTTATCCTAATCTGTCCTTAAGCATAACCCTATCTAACTAACCTGACCTGCCCCCATCCCTAGCTCTAACTTATTCTGTCCTTAACCTTGACCCTATCCTACCTAACCCAACCCAACCCATGCACAATCCCCATTGATGTGAAAATAGTCACACAAAAAATATTTGTACTTACAGGCCCCAAAAAAACTGAAGTAAAAATAAAAAATTACACCTAGGCCAATTACCCCAATAAGTCGGCTTATTTGCAGCAAAGCATCACAACATTTGGCTTATTTGTTATGCTACCCACCGAGTAAAGATTTTGAATTGAAATCTTAAGAAAGGGCTTTATATTTCATCGGGCACGCACAGTCATACCAGACCAAATAATAAGATACCATACCTGCATTTTGTTCCTTGCATCAATTTGTGATTCAATAGCAGAAACTACAATATCTGAAAGCTCTGAAAAAATCAATTCATGATTTGTCGCAATAAAAGTAATTATTTGATCGACTAATTTGTCATTTCCAAGATGTGATTTCAAAATACTGTTTCTCATTTTGTTCAGCATCTAAAAAAAGTAATTAATTTTTATCAATATATAAAATATGTTAAACAGACTGTTTTAAATGTAAGCCGAGGGCTTTCTATATATATTAGTTTTATTGCACTAACATTTGAAAAAGAAAGTTCTTCAAGACTGGTGTTAGCTGATACATGGTTTATAGTCATAATTAAAAGCCTAAGTTGAGCACGATTATTCGGTGGAAAAAGCATGAAAATGAAATGAAAAAGAGAAACGCCCAATTTATTGAAAGTTTCTACCCATTCAATTTTATTGTCCACGTTTTCGCCAACTTCTGAAAATCACAGTTAAGTAAAGAACAATTAATAAAATTCCAGGATAAATATTCATTGCTAAAAAAAAATTACCTATAAAATCTTTACTGTAATTCTTCTTCGCAGTCAAATCTGCCAGAGAATGGGAACAAGCTGAATGGAATGATTGTTCATCAGAATCAGAGCTTGTAGATTTTCTCTTGTATTGACTTGCTTCTACTAATCTATTTACACTCTTAATCGCGTCAGCATAATCAAGTTTGTCTTCAGCCTCAAAAGAACAGTTCAATCCATGGTTGACATAAGCATATGGATCTATGTCATCATGACTTCGACTCCTTTTTATTCTTTCTATCCAATATTCGGTGCCTTTTTCTAGTTTACGCTGAGTTTTATCGTCATATAAATTTTCTCTTTCTAAGGGATGATACACAAATCCCTCATTAACAACTCCTTGGCTACATAAATGGTCATTTTTATTTAAATAATCATCAGATAAATTGTCATTTATTCCATTGTGTTTAACTTGTAACGGACGTCGATTTGAAATTAAACGATTCTTTGAGTAAGGGTTTGTTTGCATTCCATAAATATCTCCAAGACTGCAAGACGATTTTAATGTGTTTGCAATATTTTGGTTCGAATAATCTTTCTGATTTTTCTTTAAGTGAATAATATCGAACGAACTTTGTGGGACTATTCTCGTCACAAGGTGATCTGAAGTAAATGCAGTTTCGTAGCAAGAAAATGGAGGGAGATCACTTATTATTGATTTGTCAATTTCCATCACATCATCCTCTGCACATGGCATGGAAATGTGGAATAACAAATGCTCTTGCGATAAACTCGTATAACGCTTTACCTTACTTTTCTCATTGAGATAAGTTAATTGGTTAAATACGGTACAAATCAAATTGTTATAGATGGAAGGTATCAGAGGATTTTCCAGTGTATCGAAATAATCGGCAATAATTTTGAACAATTCTAATCCAAACATAGGATAAGTGGTGGCTTCGTTTTCAATTACAGCACCTAAAATTTCATTAAACCATTTTTAAGATAGTATGTATATTTTACAGCAATAATCTATGTGAAAACAATATTGTCTATAAAATAATAATTTTGGAAAGAAATGTACTTACATTTCAATAAATTTTGAATTGCACCAAGAATCCAAGGTGGCAAATTGGTATTCCACCTTATTTTGGCCCATTTAGGGCAACAGTTTATGGTAACCCATTTAGCATCAATTTTATTCACGGATAAAAATTGACTGACATCAGTTTTCATTTCAACCAATTGAAGACATTTTTCAATTCTAAACATTGATACTGTTATTTACAAAAAAGAAGTCATTTAATCACAAAATAAAATTAAAGGTATCCATACTTTTTCATTATCTCTACTTTCCACATTTCTTCTTGGTATCCTTTTTTGATAAGAGATAGCTTTTCGGACTTTTTTCTGTCGTACTCATATTTATTTGCCAAGGGAGTCCTTTTTTGTTTAACAGGATTGTTAACGACAGCTGTCTCTCCAGGGATATTCATTTCAAAGTTGACTAAAACTTCTGTAAATCTAAAATTAACAATAACAACATATATTAAAATTTAAAAAAGCAAAACTAGACAATTTAGTTTTTAGTATGGATTATTCTCACTCGTAAAAATATTTTGAACTGTCTTGGAAGCTTTCGACACTTCTCATCGGACAGTTTCTCACTTGTTGGATTAAATTTGCTTTCATGAAGTGATTCAAAAGTTGGTGTACTTGTTTCCTAGTTACATCTGGTTTGAACAAATTATTATCAAGTAAAGCCGAATGCAAGAAGTTCACTGCATCTTTTCCTGTAAATGAATCCTTGTGCTTGTGCAGCCTGTGACGATTTTCTTTCAGTTTCATTCCATCTCTGAACATGATCACAGCTTCATTCCACTATAAAATAAATCAATAGCAAAGGTTTTGAAGGGTGAAATTAATTTGAAAAATTGAGAAGACATTCGTAATCATGGAGTTAAATAATTCTTGTTATATATGAGGGCCTATCGTTAACGTCCACTCGGGTGATGCGGAAGAGGATTAAACTACTGTCTCTGCTGAGTGTACATTTAATAATAAACTTTAGTGGTTAGGCCGTCCGACTCTTATTTACCACGCTAATGGTTCTGGTTCAATTTCCTGGTATAACCCATGGAATTTTAATCGACAATTTTTAGTCAAATTTAAGTGAACATCAAGCTGATAAGCGAAAAGCATCTTATGATCTTGGGGTCTCAGTCATTTTAACATAATTCTTCTGACAAAAACCACTATTCAAAAATTATGCTGATTATTATCAAATTAATTCAATCAATTAATAATAGTTTAAGGGCCTCAGGTGTTTGTTGACCCCTTAACTTCCCACATTATATATAGTGGCCACGGAGTTAGTGAAGTGATTACTTTTTACTTATTATATATTAATCCATTTATATTTAGTGGTCTTGGCTGACATGAAAAAGCTAGCGTCATGAGTGGGATTCGAACCACCCAAAAAAGGTAAAATGTGAAAGGTTGTAGGTTGAGATGGGGAGTTGGCGTCCGAGTGGATCGAAGTCACGATAGCCCAAGCGGTTGGAGCAGCGGCGTATTGAGCCGAAGGTCGTGGGTTCGAATCCCGCTCGTGACACTAACTTTTTTATTTCAACCAATACCTTACATAAAGATCAATCAAAAAAAGCTATTTAGGCAATCGGACCACGAAATATAATGGTTTTATTAATAAATTACATTTTACATAAATTATAATAATTGTAGGTGTATATCTAACATAAAACATAATCTGTTTTTATGGTTTTTTCTCAATAGTGAAATAAACACTAAATAAAATGATTTCATGCGGAGCTTCTTTCACAATAGATCACAGCTTTTCAGATGTGATCTTGGGATTAGACTCGCGGGACAGTCAGGCCACAGGCAGGCTATGGTTTTATCTCTTTACCACGGCTGCCTCTAATAAAGATACTGACAGCAGTGACACACAACACACACACGCGCGCGCGCGCACACACATGCACGTGCATGCACACACGCATGCGCATGCACCACGCACACACTTTTTCTTTCTATCTACATATCTATTCATCACTTTTTATCTGTCTCCATTTATTTATTTATTTATATCTCTCGGTTCCACTCTTTCTTTCTCTCTTACAAGCTCCCTCTTTTTTGTTTCCCTTTCTCATTCATTCTGTTTTTCATATTCTGTATCGCTCACGCTCTATCTTTTTACTCTTGCCTTTTTTCTTAATATTTTTATTAATTTATCTATCTAACTATTTATCAGTCTTTGTCTCTCTACATTTATTTATCTATATATCTCGCTTCCTTTCCTACCATCTTTCTCACAAACTCCCTCATTCTCACTTTCTCTCTTTCACAACACCTATATTCTCTAATTTTAATTTTCTTTAAAAGCATCTTATGATCCTGGGGTCTCAGTCATTTCAACATAATTCTTCTGACAAAAACCACTATTCAAAAATTATGCTGATTATTATCAAATTAATTCAATCAATTAATAATAGTTTAAGGGCCTCAGGTGTTTGTTGACCCCTTAACTTCCCACATTATATATAGTGGCCACGGAGTTAGTGAAGTGATTACTTTTTACTTATTATATATTAATCCATTTATATTTAGTGGTCTTGGCTGACATGAAAAAGCTAGCGTCATGAGTGGGATTCGAACCACCCAAAAAAGGTAAAATGTGAAAGGTTGTAGGTTGAGGTGGGGAGTTGGTGTCCGATGGATCGAAGTCACGATAGCTCATGTGGTTAGAGCAGCGGCGTATTGAGCCGAAGGTCATGGGTTCGAATCCCGCTCGTGACACTAACTTTTCTACTTCAACCATTACCTTACATAAAGAGAATTATTAATTGAAATAATTAATATAGTCAATTAGACCTCTAAACAAAAATAGTTATTACTTTAATTTAAAACGTTTTATTCTATTTCACTAAAGGTTTTTGGTGACTTTTTTACTGAGTGTATTTGAGCCTCGTTACCTGGGGAGGTAGTTTATTTAAATTAAAAAAAACCTAGTATACTACATACTACAACAAATGTAAACACTAGATGTATTTGTTTTACAATTCAATAAACAAACAATAAACGCAAAATTTGGAATCACCTATTAATTTAAAAACCTGACGTTGCCTAAATTTTCAAGGATTGTAGTGTCTGATTCCAAGGGTGCAAATATTTTGATTTTTTATGACCTTTTGAAATTAAGAAAATTCATTTATTTATAAGAGTTGATATACAGTAAAATTATTAGCACAATGTTGTTTTTATGCCTTTGCAATACTAAATAGAAGAGACAAACAGAATTCAAAACGGCTGGGTGGAAAACAAATTGTTTTTAAATTAAAAGTCAATAAACAAGTTCAAACATTATTTTAATATGTAAAACAGTATCATATTAAATATACATACCAAAGCTGTTGCTCTGTATGGTCCGAACGTGTTTTCCGCCATGAAGTCTGTTAAATCTATACAAATGTCCAACTTAGTCAAATAATAATATTGCACTTATAAACAGCCGAGATTTGGACTGTTGGAAATGACGGGATTTGAATTGGAATGTTTCACATGTTTCCAATGCGAGGGCGACACTTGAGTCGAAAACGGATTTTATTCGAATAGATGGAGCCTCCAATGGTACAGCGACGTCAGAAGATGTCACACGTCGAGTTTAGTTTCAAATAAACCAACGACGAAGAAATTAGAAACATCATTGGTGAAAAAAAAAACCATCAGCAGATATTTCAGCAGTTTCTAGTAGTAACGGCTGATACTGCCCAGTATACCCAAATTTCCCATCACCTGGGTACAATATTCTAGGAGTTTGTAGTAGTCCCGATTGATACTGCCCATATTTTTCATCATCTGGGTACAATATTGCAGTAGAATCTAGTAGTACCAGTGCAAAATGCCCAGTATACCCAAAGTTTCCATCGCCTGGGTACAATATTCTAGTAGTTTCTAGTAGTCCCAGCTGATACTGCCTGGTATACCCATATTTCTCATCATCTGTGAATAATATCTAGTAGTTTCTAGTAGTCCCAGCTGATACTGCCTGGTATACCCATCTTTCTCATCATCTGGGTATAATATTCTAGTAGTTTCTAGTAGTCCCAGCTGATACTGCCCGGTATACCCATATTTCTCATCATCTGTGAATAATATTCTAGTAGTTTCTAGTAGTCCAAGCTGATACTGCCCGGTATACCCATATTTCTCATCATCTGTGAATAATATTCTAGTAGTTTCTAATAATCCCAGCTGATACTGCCTGGTATACCCATATTTCTCATCATCTGGGTATAATATTCTAGTAGTTTCTGGTAGTCCCGATTGATACTGCCCAGTATACCCATATTTCTCATCATCTGGGTACAATATTCTAGCAGTTTCTAGTAGTACCAGGCCAGACTAACCGTACAATATTCTAGTAGTTTCTAGTAGACCCGATTTATACTGCCCAGTATACCCATATTTCTCATCATCTGGGTACAATATTCCAGTAGTTTCTAGTAATACCGGACCAAATTGCCCAGTATACCCATATTTCTCATCATCTGTGTACAATATTCCAGTAGTATGTAGTGGTACCAGTCCAGACTGCCCGGTATACTCAAATTTCCCATCAACTGGGTACAATATTCTAGTAGTCCCAGTTGATACTGCCCAGTATACCCATATTTCTCATCATCCAGGTACAGTATTCTCGTAGTCACAGTCCAGAAAGCCTGTTATACCAAAATGTTAAATCATGTGTGTACAATATTCCTGTAGTTTCTGGTAGTATCGAGTTTCTAGTATTGTAGTCATAGTCCAGACAGCCCAGTATTACGAAATTTTCTATCATCTACATATAACGATGACACAATTTTATGGTTTATAAATTGATGAATTGGTGTTTCAATAGCCAATATATTCTCATGAGAAATGTAACAGCAGAATATTGTACATCTCTATTGTATGTATAATGAGTATTCAATATTATGTAAATTCTTTATCATATATGTACAAGGATATAATGCCAGCTGTATATTAGTGTATTATTAAAGGTCAAAAACACAATTATCAATAGATAATATCGCATAAACAATTTTACAATACAAAATGTTTATAAATTTTAAAATGTAGAATCGGAACTAAAATAATAAAACAGTTGTAGGTTAAGTGTGACTGTCCATCAGTCATTCCAATGTAATTGGAAGAATGAATCTTTTTAGTGAAAATAAACTGCTGTCTGATGTTACGAGGTCTCACGGGGCAGAGTGGCAATGAAGGCTAAGGTAACATCAATGATGAACATCAATCAGGCCTCAACCCTTTTTGCGGATTACCAAATTGCTAACAATCCATAAGGCAATGTAAGAAGATTAAGTCCTCGGTACAATGGGAATGTATCTTAAGACAGAGGTATGTGAAAAAGTTAATCAGAGGGCCATTGCAGAACTGGACACTGCAAACTATGGAAGCATCAGTCTTGGAGCAACAGAAACAAGCCTGTGCAGGTATTGCCATGAAAAAGAAGAGACTTATTTTTACCAGATCTGAAAGCTTTGTCAAAGATTCCGGTGTATCCCTCAGACTTGGGCTTTTCCTCTCCCAGGATTAGGAATCTCAGCCTACACAAGTCTTCTTACCAACAGAAGTCATGTTCAAAACTGAATTTAAGAATGTTAGGTAATGTACCTAGAGCAAGCGAGTTATTAAATAATTTTGTATATTTTTCAGTTTTCTCCTGCACTCATCCTAGCTTCCTTTAAATAATTTGTTAAAGGAAAAGCTCAATTTTTATGAAACTAAGGCAAAAAAATAAAAGTAATGTTTAATGATGTAATTAACTGAATTGGCATGTCAACGGAAACATGTTATGGTCCAATAATTTGTCAAATGTAGCTCATTTTCTCAATCTTGACTCTAGGGTTTTGTTCCAATTATTTCTTCACAACTTGAATGCTTTATTGATTATTACTTGATGACTAAATGAGAAAGTACCAGCCTTTACATTTTATTGTTGTCAATCTTATTAACACCTAAAGTGCCATGGAGCCTGCAAACCTCACCCTTAGACCAAAATGAGATATTTTTTGTACCCTTAGAATATAAAAGAACAAAAGCATTGATTTTTTTCAACAATAAATATACCAGTTAATCGCAAAACTTTATGATTACTGCTGTCTCAGTCAACCCTCTTGTTGAAGAGATACTGAGAACTGGAATGTCTCAGCAAAACGGTGGTTGACTGGACACTAGGTCTGAAAGGTAAAGCGAAGGTGTAGACAAGGTGGCTAAAGGCTGGGACGTCACAACCTCTGGTCTTAACCATTACGATCCGGCCCTCTGACACTAAAAATTAAAAGAAGATAGCCACAAAGAAGCTTTCATGTATCGAAAGCACTGCTGATAGGAGGATCACAGGATCTACTCATAGAAGAAGGGTTATCCTCACCTGATTAAGGGTAAGCCATGTGAGGTTTACACATGGACACTTACTTTTGAGCTGAAGCCCGTGTGTTTGGCATGTAGAGAAAGGATACTCGATGTGTCCCACTTAATTGAAAGGTGTCCTTGGCTCCATATATAAAACGTCTAGGAATGCCACCCAATAGAGATGCTTGAGCATGGCAGCGAGTATCTGGGTACCAAGTTCTGATTTTTGAAGGTAGTAGGACTGTTAGATTATGTATAAATTAAATATAATATTGATATTTTTGTGTACCCAGCACGTGTTGAGAATGAATTTAGTGACATGAATGTGTAGTGTGAGAGGGTTGATGGCTGAATATTGAGTGCCCCATTGACCCTCAATTAGGTTAGTTTATAGTTATATAAGTGGTGTATAATTATATAATGGGTAATGGAGGAATATGGAATACTCCACCACCCTAATTGAGTGAATGGTATGTAAAGAGGAAAGAATGTGTGAGTATGAATGGGTTTGGATTTACGAACTGCATGCGTTAGGTGCTGAATTAACCTAGCTGATAACAGCACTCCCCAGCCTACCTAGATATATGATATCTAGGATATACCTACATAGAACTGCCAACACCTCGGGTGGGTGATTCTTCTTGATTCTGCCAGTGATTTATTGTAAATTACTAAAATTGGAATAGACTGCGAGAAGTGACAGACTCAATTCTGTACATGTGAGTATATATGTGCATACATGTTTAGATTTGAGCTTACATAAATCCAGACTTGGCATGAAGTGCTGATTTTTTAAATGTTCTTGGCACCAAGCACTTGAGTGAATGGTATGTAAAGAGGAAAGAATGTGCGAGGATGAATGGGTTTGGGTACCTGGCAAAAAGGTTTTAAGGATTGCGCTCACATCTCTTAGGAATATGATATAAGAAATCTTTTAATTATTAAACCTAATACAGTGGCTGTAGTTTATAATTGCAAAAAAACCATCTGGACTGAAAGAAAGCTGGAAATTTATCTATTTCAGGGTTTTGTTTAAGCCAGGGCGGTCCGAAATGCATAACTGTGGCTAAAATGCGATCTCAACCACAACTCTGACTGCTATGGCTTGAGGGTTCAATTGGGACCGCTGGCACTTGATGAGATCTATTTCTTTTTTTTATGAGGAAATTTAAAACCTTTTTGTATTTCCTACTTTGCTATATTTCCAAATACTAAGTATAAGCCATATAATAACAAAAAGGAACTGTTAAAAAAGTTTTCTTTTCAGTGGCCAATTCAATTTTTTATTTTTTTTAAAAGAACAATTTGGGACATCTCTAAAAATTGAATTTTTTTTCCAAAATCCAGCAATCACGTTAAAATGTTAATACAAAACCCAAGACAACACTGCGATAATAAAACGGGAAATTTTGTGGGGTGGTAAGTAAAAAATTGAAAACAAGGAATAAGTTGAAATGAAAACAAACAAAATTTAATGGTAGGTAAATCAGTCGCAAAAAATTATTTTTTTTCTATTACTTGTTGAAATGTAATAACAATATTTACAATAACTTTTTAAGTATTGCACAATTTTCTTTCTTATAATTAAGCAAACAAATATTAATTTTTTGCAAATGTTGGTCCACTGTTACTGTAATTCGTAAAATGCATTTTTCAAGTCAATTTTTCTTTTTGTTGGTAATAAAATCATAATAAAATTTGTACTGTAAATAACAAAACTAAATTTCTTTTTTTGAGCAAACTTAAATGTTGAAAGTGAATTATACCAAGTGTAAACAAAAGACTAGTTTGGATATATGTAATTCAATGGTATGAATTGTAAGTAAATATATTTTAAGTCTGTACACATTGAATAACAGTTTCGTAAAACAAATATTCATGTGGAGTGGGTATTTAATGCTATTCATATGTTTTCCATTTTTTTTTTTTTAAATATCTCACAAATAAGAGATATATCAAAATTAAAATTACACTGAAGGCACAATGTTAAATTTGTTAATACTATACAATATGTAACAATTAAGTTTTTGAACTAATCACAATTTTATACACACCCTTGATATAAAAGATAATAAATTATTATTTTTTCAACAAGACCATGAACAAGTAATATAATGTACAAAATTTTGCACAAAGTTGTTTCTTAATAGCATTTTACATGAAAATTAATTAATTACAGGCCCAATTGTCTTCTTTCTCTTTAAGAATATCAATTTTCCTTTAAAAACATTATTTACAAAATTATATACAGAAAGGTTGTTCACAATTAATAAGAACTAGGTTACTGTTCTACTAGTTTGCCTGTCATCCTCAGTAAAAAAGAATTTGACTTATACAATTTTTTTTTAATTTTTAAATTTTTATATTTAACAATATCCTATATTCACTAAGGCAATGTTTCTTTGGACAGAATATTAACAAAATTTACAAATTAACAATACAGCATTATAAAGCTACAAGAGAAAAATATCACTTTGGTAAATATATAAACAAACGCATTTATAAACAAACTAAATAGATAATAAATGGAACTTAATTTTTCTATAACTAAATTGGAGAATCGTCTAAAAAAAAAACAATATACCCATCTTCCACAATGAAACATTTTCTATGCATAACAAGCAATTTTTGTACAAATCCTACTTACTTAGCATTTCGAGTTTTATCTTCATCGATCACAAATAAATTTTTAAAATAGTTGAAACTGTCTTTTTTTGGTAGCATTTCTTTTAATGGCGCTCGGAAAAATGAATATACAAACAAACAATTTTCGCTTGGAGAAAAAAAAAAAGAAATCCAGTTTTCTTTATCATTATTAAACTTAAAGAGAAATTACAAAATCACAGAAGTTATTATTTAATACTAAACTTAAAGATACAGACTTTAAAAAATGTTCAATTATAAATGAAATATACATAATACATGTTATAAAATTTACAATTAAAGTAATTAATCACAAGATTGTTTAGCATTAGAGGCAAGTCAACTGAAACTATGCTCAATTAAAAAAGAAATAAAATAAATAAATAAATTAAAAAGTGAAATTGAACAATGAGAAACTAATAAGACCATTCATTATTATTATTAGTAATGAAAGAGGTAGATGGATAGAAAATTATATTGTATACAACTATCTGTTAATACAATAATGAACCTTTCTTTTTTTTTTTTTAATTCAAGTTGATTTTGATTCTCAGTCATTTACTTAATTATAAAAATCCTTCATTAATTACAGAGCAGTTATTTTATTATCATCTACCTTTTATGTTGTCATTTAAAAAAAATCAAAAATATATTTATTTCCCTGTTCAATGTTTTTTTTTATCAATTTGAAATCGTGTTGAATTTTTTTACGATGTCGAAAATATTGATGGCAAATATACCACGAGTCTACTGTAAAGACCCGTCTTTGCACATACGTGTATATATACGTGTTGATTGCTCAACAATTAACAATTTGGTTATTGATATTTTCCTAAAAAACGTGCTACCTGCAAACCTGAAACGACATAATTTGATCAAATTATGAAAATCTCCAGAACAATTATAATAAGAGTCAATGCGACATTATGGCATTTATTCTTAAAGATAAATTCCTTAAATAAGTATATATAATAAAATTAAATTTAAATTGATTAATTAGACATTATCGAGAGTATGTACTTTATTGTTGAATGTATTGTAAACACAATATTTTAACTATGATTTGTCTCTTACAGTTTGCTTTCAACCAACACTTCGTTATATACTACTGTCAGAAATAAGCATATTTTGTAGAAAATTGTAAAACATTTTTTTTTTTGTACTTGATGTAGGCCAGTTATTCGAAAAATTTTAAGTGTTTATTGATGAGCTGTTTGTAAAGATGTAACAAATGGAACAAAATTTAAGGCTTTTTATGTTTTGACATAGCACAAATATAAAATGGCAACTAAGAAAAAATAGTTTAATGTCCTTTTTCAAAATTCTCTCTCTAATTTGATTAATTTAAAACTATTTTCCCTTAAAGAGTTGTTACCATTTATTGTGTTTAAATGTTGTACATAGATAGCCTGTCTTGAAGCTGTGCAGGAATATGGCTTATAAACTGTTTCCAGTTTTCTTCTCCCATGTGTGTCCTGAAACCATGTAATATCTGAAAACAAAAAATCAATGTTAATTGCAAATTTTACTTTTATGCTGAATCAACATGAATAATTTTCATACTCAAAAAGTCTCACCTTGGTGAACATTTCCTTTAAATCTTCTTTCGGGTTTGACCAAGATGCGACAGCATCGCAGAAATACATAAATTCAGGAACAACACCACCGGGATTAACTGTTATCATTTGACACATTCCTCTAAAAGCAGAATCTTTCTCTTCGTTATCCCTTATGTTTCTAAGAGAGGTACACCTAGACACAAAGAAAAAAGAAAAAAAAACATTTTATTGTAAATTCTCATATTCTAAATAAACTATTGCTTCATTAAGTATTATTGTAATATCTTCTAAAAAAAAGTACTATTTTAATTTTAGTTTAGAACTTTAACATTATTTATATATACATGTTTAAAATGTGGTGTTAAAATAAATAAATAAAAGAATAAGGTTCAATTAAATATATCAATAAATTAAGCTGGAAATGTACATACAAATAATGAAGTACTAAACATAAACACAGCATGAAACAAAAATAACCTATTTATGAAATAATAAAAACCAGAATTAAATAATAACTCAATTTTTCCCTGCATTCTTCCAACTTATAGAAAGAAAGTCTTAAAACTGAATTTTATTATTGTCATCAACAAAAAGTAACAATTAGAAAAATAAATTAATAAAATTAGTAAATACGCAGTAAAATCAATATTTAAAAGTGAAAAATTATGTATGAGTCTTTTGTCTGCCTCGTTTCTAAGGTGCCGCTCAACTAAGTATGAGGCTTTAACTTGATCCATTCGGCAATTGTTCTTTTTCTGTGGCAGTTTAAAATTTTACTGAAGGCTTCCTGGAACTACGAGTGTTGTTTATGGTCCATATTTTTCCACTGCAAGACTTATAAACACTCAATCGCATCGTGGGCAAGTTAAACTATAGTATAGTCAATTTCCTTTATTGTAGATTTTTTGACATATAAGTTCACCGCCGTCTTACTAAACCTTAAAAATGGGGCTAAAACATGTTTAAGTATTTTTATAATAACAAATCACAAAATGTCTTGTAAGAAAATAAAAATGACTTGATCAAATATTAGAATGCAGGGGAAACTTTAAAATTAAAATACTGAACTGAAAACACATAAAAACATTCTAGAAATTGTTTGGGGTTAAAATAAATTTAGAAAAAAATATTAAGTCTGTTTGTAAAGTCTAGAAGGTCTTTATGTGTAAAGATTAAACTTAAATTCTAGTGTTAGTAAAATAAATAATTATAAAATAAAAAAAGCAATAATTTTGGTGGAAAACTGAAATTTTCAAAATGTGCAATTATTGAGCAATCACTAACTTCACTGTAGTTTTGTTTATATTGAGTGCATTATGTACTGCTAAAATTAAAAGAATAATTAAACAAGAAAGAAGAGTAAACACAAGAAAATATCAAAACTAACAAAAAAAGAAATGGCTAATCATTTCCACCAAAATATTTGACATATTAAAAATAATAAAATAAACATAATAAAATGATTATTCATAATAAATAATAAGAAAAAGTGAAGGGATTACACACCAGTGTCTGACAAACTGTTGCAACATGGGAGCAACGTCATGGGGGCACACATATCCTAGGCGGCCAATCGTAATTGCTACGTATCACAAGAAACAAAAAACCAAACCTTTGGTCACAACACAAAATACAACACAACATAAAAAAAATTAAAAATATATTTCATAATAATAAATATGTAATATTAAAAAAGACTTGGTTTTATCTTTAAAAATTCAAAATGCCAAACGTAAAAACTTAAATAAATAAAATTATAAAAATAATATTTTACATAAAATTATAAAGTTAATTTTATCTCTACCACAATATGCATTCATCTATAAATTTAGTCCAATACAGAACGTAACACATTTCCATAATGGGAAACTTATTAAAACTTTAATGCCTAAAACTTTATATATTTCTAATATATATAAGTATAAATAAATGCTTCTTTTCCTATGAATTATGGCCCACATTTATTTGTGTGAGAAGGATTTGTTAGTGCTTTATTTATCATGGGACATGCGAGATAAAAAAAAAAAAAAAGAAGAAAAAACATAAATATGACATGTAATAAATAAAAACAAAAGTTTTGATAGTAAATAATCCATAAACCCAAAATGTTTCTATTTTTAATTTGATTTTTTTTAAATATATAATTTTGTTTAAAGTAATAAAATCTCATATGACATTGAATGCGAGGATTAATTTGTGAAATGAAAAAAAAAAAAAAAAAAAAAAATTTAATCGCCAGCTGGAAGTAAAAAGTAAAATTTAAAAAAGTAATAGCCACTCTAATAAATTTTAAGCTCACATGCAATAAATAAATTTGTGTTTACACGTCAGTCAAATAGTCTTATTTAATCATGTCATAATANACACTAAAATTATATGCATAAAAATAAATTTTAAGCTCACATGCAATAAATAAATTTGTGTTTACACGTCAGTCAAATAGTCTTATTTAATCATGTCATAATAAAAATGATGAACTCAATTTTGTTTTATCGTATATATAAGCAATGAATAAATTAAAACATAAACAAAACAATCATGGCAATATAATAAAATATAGAGGAATTTTTATGGTATAATAAAAACCTATTCACTCAGATAATTTTTAAAGTCAGAATGCACTTTTAGATAGCAACGTTCATTCTTATCTTTACTTTGAAATGTAAAATATTAATTTTCATTTATAATTCTCTTATGTCATACTGGCATAATTATTGAATAGTTAATGTGATAATTCTATTAATATTTAACAAAGAAAACTGTACAGTTAATCAACAATGAAACCAATTAATTTAACACCCAAAGGTGTCGGCAAATTTGTATCGCATCAGAAAATAAAATAAACAATAAATGGATAAATAATTCTGGAGGAACCTGTGCAATAATAAAAGAGAGTATTACATGAGAATTACAAATTTATAAATAATAAATCTGTCAAATATGTCATATTGATTATGGTTATAACCAAAACATCAACACGCCAGGAAGAGCCACGAATTGACATGTTTTCTTTTTGGAATACACAGATCACATAAAAACTAGCATTTCGTATCAAAACTGAATGATGGAAAAAGAAAGAAAAAAAAAAAACGCTGTCTGTTTTCAGGCAGAATCTAGTTACAATGTGCAACAACGATAGAACAAAAATTAGAATAATTTCTTTATAGTTTTTCTATTTAATAATAGAAAGAGTACTCTGAAATTACCACTTGATCAACTGTTTTATTCGATTAATGATTAAATTTTCCGCATAAACTGACTAATTAAATCATGAAATTACAATTTTTGGATAGAAATATTAATATTCTACAAAGGAAGTTTATATTTAAATGAAAATGACACCATGCTAGGTATTTATTATTTTTATAATAGTTCCTTTTCCATTTTAGTTGACATTAAATATATACATAACCATTAATTTATGATTAATTTGCAGTACAAACTTGACTCACTGACATGGAAACAACCGGAGTAGAGAAAGAAAAAGAAAATTAATTATTGGTTAGTTAAGGGCGGACAAAACAAGATAATAGAACATAGATAATAGGGACTACAAGCCGAGAGCCTATCACACCAACCACTCTGCTTCTGCCATCCCCAAATTAGAGATTAATCATATTTTTGATTGCTGTTTACAAACAAACAATCTATGTTTTTCTTGGTTCATTTCAATCGATTTTTACCTCTTGTTAGCCCTGATTTCTATACTCTGTTAATTTTGTTTATGTCATAATGAATCAAGAATTATCCCTCTTCATGAAGAAGGGAAATCACACTACATCGCTATCACCTTAGCATTCATAATTCGTTCGTTTCAAGTGCCATTAAAAGTTACAGGGAAACTGGATTCTCTATAGGAGACCAAAAATTATTGGCATTCCAAAATCACTAGTCCTATAGGCTACCCAGAAGTGCAATTCAGCAGCCTTTGGCATTAAAAAAAACTTAAGAAGACCATGAAAAGCTTCCTTCTTACCAGGGAACACCGTAAAGAGACAGATTTGCAAGGAAACACTAATGGGGAAAAAAGTCCTATTCAAAAATGATACGAGTGGCCCATAACAGACAGATGGCTGAGAAAGAGTCTGGAGAAGACCTGGAGAACAGTACAATCATACATGAAACATGTCATGTTCTAAGGAGGCATTTCTTAGAACGACATTCACTGAATTGGTACCAATTTACTTTGAATGCTTTTTGCAAAGAGATGTATGTACAAGATCATGAAGTAACTTTTACGACTTTCTTAAAATATGAATAATTACTTATGCGTGATAATGCTCGGCCACATAAGGCAACATGTTTCTGAGTACCTGAACACCACAGGTATCCATACGCTTGAGTAACCAGCAAGAAGTTTGGCCTTTGCCCAATTGAGTATATTTGTAGAAGTTTGGTCGCAGAATCAACCCCTATTACCCTTTAAATGCTAAAAGTGGCCGTATTGGAGGAGAGAGACATTGTATGAGTATGCTAGAATGTTTGGTTTAAAAAATAAAACTGTTTTATTTTGTACTTCTGAGCATTTTTGGTTTAAGTCAAACCAGATGTTCTTGGAAAATGCAAAAATCTCAGGGAGTTGCAATTTTTTTATTTCTACAAGAAGCATATTTTCTAATTAATGTTGGGTGTATGCATAAGTTTTTTTTTTCAAATTTTGTCTTTCACCTTTATAAAGGTGATCATTTGTTAACTGCTTACCTCATTAGCTCTAGGGTGGGAAAAGCCCTATTGAAATAGGTTGATAAGAAATGAGAGTTGATCCCGAAAGTCAACCTAGAATAAACTGTGACGCATACGACTGGAAGCAGATAAAGTTCATTCAAGGCTGTGCTTGCTATACAAGTTTGATCTCGGGTACAGAGTCACAATTTATGTGGAATTTAGGTGATAATGTAGTAACTGAACAGGAGAGCCAACATGATTAAGGTATTTTCTTAACGGTAATGGCGAGAGACAAATCAAAGACCAGCCTGCCAGACAATAACTTAAAAGATAGGGAATGTTATTGTTATCTGTTTCATCAGAATTTTACAAAATATTATATATATTTCTGCTACCAGAATGTTGACAACAGTATGCTATAGAAAACGAAGGAAATTATGTTTTGGATTAAAAATAATGTAAATTTATATTTTGAAAATTTGACTTTTTTTCTGAAAACCAAAAAAACAAACACACCAAAAATTAACACTTGCTATGTTTGAAATCAAAATGACCAGAATTGTTAAAGTAAAACAAATGGTTTAAAGAGATTTAAACTGACACCTTTCATTCTGACCACACATATTGAAAATGGGACAAAACATAATTATTATGAATAAATTTAAATTAAAGCTCTACCATTTCCTAGTTAATAAGTATCTGTGTATTATGTTGAAAAATAAAAATAAGGCTCTTCTGAAGAAGAAAAAAAAAAGGTGCTTGTTTCCCATATTATATTAACCGTAATATGTAAATTTATTTAGTATGTATGCAATTAAAAAAATTTAAATTAATAACAGAGTCAAGAATAAAATAAAATCACAGTAAATGTCAGTATTTAAATGGGGCCAACTCAAACAAAATTTAAAAAATTTAAGCCAGAACAAAATACAAATTTATTTAAATCTAGTGTTAATTTTGAAATTTTAATTATGATATATTTGTTTAAAAATTCGCAAAATTTAAATAAAAATAACATTCTTATGTTGATATTCAGTACAAACCATAATAAAAGTATTTTTTGTGTAAATCATGAGAAAATAAATGATAGTACTAATTACCTGTATTCTCCAATAGAGTTTTGGGAGTATTTGCTCTATTAATTATAAGTGTTAATTGATTGAGGACCAGAGGTATGTAGGGTCTCATTTCATCACCTTCTAGAATAAATAATCATAAGCAAAGAAGAAATTTATGATAAGTAACATACAGGTTCGTCTAATATGAATCAGAATATAAAGAAAAACTGCATATGGATGCACCACACATTCAAGAACCTTTTCTTAACAATTTAATAATAATCTTGTAATTTGCACGTTAATATAAATTCCCAAAGTTTATCGTATTCTATGATAGTTATCGTATGATTTCAGTAGATGTGGTTTGAAAATTGTAATGATTCATATTAGCTATGCCATTTAGTAAAAGGCTCTTAAGAACTCAAATTAAATAAATTCTTCACATTGTCATACTAAACTCAAAATGAAATGCTAAGAATAAACTTGTGGCAATATTTTATTGCCTTTCTTCTTCCTCCCGTAAGAAATAATTGTTTCAATAATTACTGTAACTGTACTTGTAGCACAGAAAGTACGATACATCAAATTAGCATAGAAAGAAGAAAAATCCTAAACTACACTTCTTACCTCAAAAAATAAAATAAATAAATACAATTTTACGAGAATGAAATAAATATTAGATATTTTTTCAAAGGCTTTAAGTATGTTCAGTAATTAGAGCTCGAAACACATTTCAAATAAAATTTCCACATCACCATCTGTGTATTTTGACTGTACACGTTTATTTTACTTAATATGAATGTTACTTAAACCTTCATTTCTGGACAGAACAAAATACACTTACTCTAAATTTAAAAAAATTGAGTTTAAATATTTAGGTAATACAGCCCCCAATGCACTATGCAGTTTTTGTCGTCCGGTCAGGCAGCTGCGGTAAGAAGTACAGAGCATCAGATTGGTTAGCATTGGCACTGTCCAGTAAATATTTTTGACATTTTTTCCCATTTTTCCCTCTAGGCCACAACAAAATCACTGTGGATCACCATTTTGAATGTCATATGCTGCCTATTTCAATTCTGTAGTTATTGTTCAGAACCTCTTGTATTGGCAGAGGAAATTGATGTCAAGTTAGACAAGAAGAAAATTACCTTTTAGTGTGAAATGTTAAAAGTTGAAAATTTTGTCTATTTTGTTTGTAAGTATACTCTCTTTATAAATAAGGTGAGCAAAAATGTGTTTTCTATGGAAGACATCCATCTAGGCAATCGTACGCATGCTGGTGGTATTTGAAATATTTCAGTTGCTACGCAACCAGATGATAAAAAAACCACATGTGTGCATCGGGCCTAAAGAAAAGAAAATTTAAAACTGAACAGGCTATACACTACCCATAAAGTTGTAAAATAATCGCAGAAACAACATAAATTTACATATCCAATTGTGTCTACAAGTACATTAATTTTATAGGAAAAATCATAAAGCCAATTTGAAAGAAAATAATCATTTCTTTTGTCGAGCTGTGAAAAAATATCCTCTCAATCAGGACTTTAAACTTATTATTATTAATTAACAAGATTAACAAAGAATGAACATCTATTTACAATAATGAAACTTTAATGAAATCTACACTGAATGAAATCGAACACCCATCCATTCAATATCAGAATTATAACCAAAACAATGTAATTAATAAAAAATATATTTCCTCACCTAATTTTATGGAAATTTCACCTATTGCCCATGTTGCATTGTTACAAACAGATATTAAGTCAGGATTTAAATTTTGACTCAAAATTGGAATAAAATCATCTGAAAAATATAATGTAGATAGGACAAGGAATTTTTTTTTCTTCTATTATTGAGAATGAAATCAGAAACACTCACTAATACAAGGATGAACGTGTTCAAAGCAAGCTTTAGTTAAATCACCGAGAAGAGCAAAACTACTTTGTCGGACCTCGGGCATTGGATCTTGCATACATTGATATAAAAGTTGCATAATATTTGAACTATGCACTAATTTTTCGATCTGCCCATTCAAACCTTCAGCAAGACCAGAAAGCAAGTCCAATGCAACTATCATAAAGTCTTTATCTGGTGCTTCAAACTGATCTGGGTTTTGAGTATTTGCCTGGACAATTAAAAACACATAGTTGAAATAAAATGGATAAATTCTTGAATTTTGGTAAATTAGTACATAAAAAAAATCCTTTTTTAGAAGAACAATAGTTGAACACTTACAATGTGCTGATTCAATGTTTGTTCCACTAATGAGACACATCTTTTGTATACTGGTTCACAATATGGTAAGAATCCACTCTGGAGAGCAGTCGCTATGCTCGATAAACACTATCAATTAAAACAAGAGTAAGAAAAATCAATTATACATGGCTAATGTTCTCCTTTCTGAAGCCTAACATCGTCACCCAGTGAATCACTAAGGAGAAACAAATTGAAATAATAAAAGGGAATTTTTAATAACAAACCTCAAGCAATGGAAACAGATCTTTATCCTCATCCTTCAATATATTCCATTTGTGTATTAACGGTGGCATCAACATACTTATGTAATCTGGTTTATTTAAGTGATGACCTACTGAATCAGCTAAAGTTCCAATCGCGTCATATAATATCAACAAGTTTTTATGCTAAAAAAATTAAAGCAAAATAAATTTTGTTTTAAAACAAATGTAATTTTTATATAATGAGAAGGGGTGAGTAAAGAAATGACCATCTTTAACACTGCTAAACCTCTACTGAATTCATTTCCAACTATGTAGGTTAGGTTAGGTAGTTAGGATCAGGTTAAATAGGGATGGGTTAGATAAGGTTAGATTAGTAGAGGTAGGGTTAGAATTAACAATAAGTTAGGTTAGACTGGATTAGAAGAGGTAGATGTGAGATAGGATGGGTTAGGAAAGGTTAGAATTAAAGAAAGGTTAGTTTAGTAGAAGTAGGGATGAGTTTGGTTAGGTAGTGTTAAAATTAACAACAGGTTAGGCAGCATTAAGGATAATTAGGTTACGTAGGATTATGATTGATGGGTGAATATTACGAATGAATTAGGTTAGGGCGGGTTAAGACAGATAGGTTAGTATTAGGGACGAGTTAGTTTAGAGGGTAAGGTTGGAATTAACGACAGCTGAGGCAGGGTAAAGTACAGGTTAGGTTAAGCAGAGTTTAGGATTGATGGGTTAAGACGAGTAGGGTTAGCATAAATGTGGCTCCAGGCATGCAGGACTCACTGGATGCTGAGCAAAGGTTTGCCAAAGTCTAACTAATGTGGATGGGTGCTCGGTTATTTCCAAGCGGCAATATTCAATGCTCGCCTTGCTCAGCTAATTGTCGGTTTTCTTGTCCACTTCAAAGTGCAAAAACATTAATGAAGTAACCAAACATCACATCCACATATTCGGGGACTGCACTGTATGTATATCAACTATAATCATCAATCAACAATAATTATTTTTTAATAATAAACAATTTCTTACTAGTATAGATGCATTAATCAAAGAACAACATTATTCTGTTGGTTAGGAATGGATTGGCCCTAACAGGGAAGTCCTTGATCTATACAAAGCTGAACCAATAATTTGGAACACTTCTTTTTCAAATCACAAAAATTGGAATGAGTTATTCGATGTAAAGGAGACGGATCAATAGTAACTGAACTTAAAACTAAGTAACTTAAAAGTAACTCTGTGACTGAGTTTGTAGCCACTATACAAAACAGTAACTGTAGATGAGTTTCACTGTTGTCCATCACGATTGGTAGTAAGTTGAGGATTTGCATGGCACTTGGTAAATACGATTCGCTGTTGCTACACAAACTGGGTGGTTGTACAAACCCGTAGTAGTAGAAAAGTAGAATTAGAACAGATGGGTTAGCATTAGGGGTGAGTTGGTTTAGGTGAGGGTAGGGTTAGTATTAAAACAACAGGTTAGGCAGAGTTAGGATTAGGTTAGGTAAGATTTAAGGAATAGTTAGAGTTATGTGCAGGTTAGGTTAGGTAGGGTTCGGATTAGGTAACATAGGAATGGATTAGGTTAGGTAAGAATTAAGGAATAGTTAGAGTTATGGGCAGGTTAGGTAGGGTTCAGATTAGGTAACAGGAATGGATTAGGTTAGGTAAGAATTAAGAAAGTTAGAAGTAGGGTTAGAAATTAGGGGCAGATTAGGTTAGCTTACATGCTCACAATTCAATGTTTTACTGAGACACATAAAAGCATGCAAGTGCAAAATCATAGTTATTTTAATTCAATCTTTTATTATATTCCATCATTTTGTAAACCCTAGGCACTGATTTTATATGTACTTGTATCTGACAAACAAATGAGGCATGCAATTCGGGTCTGCACAGTTATAAACCTGTAGTTTGGTTTTTTATGATCATTTTTTATGCCTCCCTGGTTTGGTCTGTCAGACCCTTTTCAGCATTTTGCTATCTTCAATGATAGGCGAAGATGGCGAAATATAAAATAAATTTGATTTTACCTCTTGAAAGTGTCATTTCTTTAACTCACCGTAAGTAAATTATGCTTTTTTGATATTTTAAATTATATAAATCTTCACTTATTTGAGAATAACATTATCATAATTAAAATTTGATGTACCTGGTATTTAGTAAATGCATAAACAAGGGTCTCTAAAATAAAACCCAAATATGGGACAAGTTCTGTGCAAGCTTCCTCCTCCAATGTGGCAAACGCTGAGCAAGCTGCCTCTTGCACTCGTTTATTTGGATCAAGTATTCTATTAAGAAGCTAAAGTGAAAGAATAAATTAATTATTCGTTTGCAACCGAAATAAAACAATAAATATAAGGGGATAAAAACTGACCTCAGTCAATAATGGTTTTAAGTAATTTTCGTGTGGTTGAGTAACCACCCAATGTGAATAACGAGATAATGTCCAACAAGTGATAGCTCGTACTAAGGCTTTCTTGTCAGATAAACAACCTATGAGGTATGGTATCAGTTCTCTCAAATGATGGATCATGCCTGACATACATCCTAAAAATTTGACAAAAAAATTAGCTGTTGTACTCTTAAAAAACATATCTTAAACAGCAATATTGATTTGAAAATCATCACAGTAATTTAACTTTGTAGGGTACGATCTACAATAAATGATTGAAAAAATATTTAATTCATTTAGCATACATCGTTTTATTGATGACTAATTTTTTAATAACCGCAAAACACACTTACCTTCAGCAATTGCCCCTAAAGCCAAAATACCAGATTCTTTAACATTCCAGTCTTGATGGAACAGAGTTACTTTTAAAATCGGTATTAGTACTGGTAAAAGATCGTCTCTGAACACATTGGCCAAAACATCCAAGGCTGCTGCACTACATTTTCCTTTGAAAAAAGAACAAAAGGTCAGATTAGATAAAAACAACACATATAATTACATTAATAATAAGGAATTTAAAACAATCTTACTGAGATTCCAGTCTGAAAGTGATGTATCATCTTCTGAACCATCATCGTCAATACTGGTATCCCCTGATACGCCAGACTCGGTGCCATTATCTGTAGTATGTTGTCTGACTGTATGTTTTGATCTGTAAAACCTAGGTTTTATATCTTCTTCTCTGTCAGGTACCATTTCATCATCTTCAATATCACCCTATAAATAACACCGAGATATTTCAGTCATTTATGGCACGATATTTTTTTATATAAAATTTATAATAATCTTAAGTGTTTTACGATCTAGATTGATATGTATATTCTTTGTACCTTCAACAGAATTATATCAATTTCAGAATATTTCATCCCTTTCACAAGAACAGGTATGAGCGTGGATAAATATGGAGATAGGACTTCACGAGATATTTGTTGTTCTGCTAGTGATAACCAAAATTCACAAGCTTCTAAGGCAACACCTTCATCTTCATCTTGTGTTCGAGTTAGCATGTACTAAACAAATAAATTGAATATTATTTAAAACTTTTGAGATACGAGAAAGTAAGGAGAAAAAAAGTACCTCAATAATATTATGCATCTGAGGAATAAGCCGGTCTATTCTCACTTCGAGTAGCCCAACTAAAGCTCTACAAACATTCTTTCTAACTTCTGGTTCTGTGTCATTTGCTAAACTAAATAGTCCCTAAAAACAAAATGTATCATTAAAAAATTATTAAATCTAGATTAACTTAAAAATAAATAAAAAATCATTGGGGTGCAAGTAAGTTTTAAAAGATTTACAAGATGAGCATTACTAGTATTAAATTGGCCATGGCCTAACCACCAAATGCAAGAAATTGCAGAATCTTTGGGAATCAACTAGCAATTTCATTAAGCCTCAAAAGCGATGGGAATGGTCCAAAAGCAAAAACTTTGTGCCACACAAATTAAAGCCAAGACAGATGGAAAGGAGATTTACACTTGTAAACAGCTTCCTCAAAAACCAAAACTTTTTTAAATAAAATTGTAACTAGTAAAGCAAAGTGGATTGATTACAATAATCCAAAGTGTAACAAATCATGGAGCAAGCCTGGCCTTGCATTAACATTAACAGAGCCATGTACCCTGACAAGCAAAAAATTGCACCCACTTGTAATATAACTTAATTTGTATATATTTTTACATATTAATCAAAGTTTCACATTTATAACATTTAATAATTGATTCTTTGTCTAAAAAAGTAAAAAATAAATTGCAAAGGAAAATGAAAAGAAAGAAAAAAAAGATGGATAGATAAAATTTGTTTTAATTAGATTTTTAATTAACATTTCAATATCGCGTATTTCCTACTCTTGCCTTAATTACATCTCGAAGATGCCTCTGCTTACTTTCTAGCAGTCTGGAAATGTCTCTTTGTGGGAGGTTAACCCATTCTTCACGAAGAGTCCTTTCAAGATCGTGGAGTGTATCAGGAAGTGATGGACGCGCTCTTATTCCTCTTTTGAGGTTATCCCATAAATGTTTGGTGGGGTTCAAGTCTGGAGAACGGGCTGGCCAGGCTAAGAGGCATTGAGGATAGGCGATTTAATCAAGGATAGGCAACGCATGATGTTTCAAAATTTCATCCGCATAGCGAGTGGCCGTCAAATACCCTCCACAAACAAGAGCCATTTCTGTGAGACTCCTTTGAAATTCCCGCCTACACCATCGCCAACACCATCATTGAGCTAAGTTGAAAAGGTTGGCTCTCGGAAAAATTACAAGCTTCGTACCTTTTATTTCACCTTCTCCACGCTCTTTCACGCCCATCTGGAATTCGTAGAACAAATCTACACTCATCTGTAAAAGGTACAGAAGACCAGTCGTCCAAAGATCAGTGGCTGTTCTCGAACAAATGCGAGCCGTGCAACTCTGCATGTTCTGGTCAATTCTGGTCCTTCTGGGGCGAAAAGCCATCAGTCCATACTGATTTAATCTTCTTCGAGCAGTGCGTTCGAACTTCCTGGAGCTGATGAATTGCTTGAACAACAGTCAGGTACCGCATAATATTTCGCAAAATTCACAAAGTCAAAAAACGGTCATCCTGTGGTTCTGTTACCCTAGTCCAGAACCGGGCCTTCTATAACAGGACCAAGTTTCTCCAAAACATTAAACTGTGTATCGCAGTGTTTCATAGGGAACTCCATTGGCAATAGCCACAAACCTGATAGAACGTCCATCATCAATAAGTGTCACACCATGTGCAACATCCTCAGCACTAAGTGGTATTTTTATGTTCAAAAATTTAAATTAAGAAAGCAAAGATATAAACTAAACAGTTTATTCCTTCAGAATTCAAATGAGACTGAATAAACATTTTAAATTCCGTAAAAAGTAAACACTGAAAAAGTCTTTATCCTTGTTTTTGATTAAGGATTAAGTTACCTCTCATTGATATTCTCAATTTAAAACATAGCATAAACAAATATTTATTGGTTAAAACAATGAAACAAATTAAGGGCAGAATTTTCTTTTATCGAGAAAAGAAAAAGAAAAACCAACTGGGTGGAATTTTTTGCCTGTCAGTGTATGTGGTAGTATCAGCTGGTAGTATGAGCAACACAAGCTGCAAAGACCGAATGAAACCATCATGGGAGAATGCTACCAGATACAATTGATGCATTTGGGCCAAGTATTGAAGGAGAAGCAGTCGGAATATGAGCAGAAACATGACAAAGTGATTTTGAACCACATATTACAGTGCCAGTCAGAAACGACTTGGTAACTATAAAATGGGATATCCTAGCCCGCCTGCCATATCATACAGACGTTGCTCCTTCAGACTATCACTTGTTTTGATCAATGACTCATGGCCTGTCTGTACTGCACTTCTGTTCTTACAAGAAATGTAAAAAAAAAATTTAAAAAAAATAAATGGCTAAAAATGGACAGACAATACTTTGAGTTATCAATTTGTCACCATTTTTGTATTATAAAGATCTAAATTTCACAAAAATTCCTTTAAAACTTACTTGTACCCCCAATTAACCTTTTGTGTCAAATTTTTAATTATACTTGAGATACAAAATGATCATTATAATTTATTTGCTTATAAAATTTCAAAGGAATTAAATTTTTTTTACCTCTATGAATGAATCCAGATGAGTCATAAGTGCTTGTGACCGATGAATGATAAATTGGTTCACACATGCTACAGCATGAGATCTAGAGAAAAAATTTTATTATATAGAAAAAAAATTGTAAGTATTTTTTACTCTCTATATATGGAATGGAAAAAATTAAATAAAAACAGTGAAATACCTAATTTTACAACTGGAGTGTCCGAAAAACTGAAGAAATTTAGGAATAAGTATATTTAAAGGTTTATTAAATTCTTCAAATGAATTCATCGAGTCTAGTGTTTGACATGAATCCTCACAAATCTTTTGCAATGCACTAAACGCTCCCTGAAAATGTAACAATCACTAGCTTAAAATGCCCTTTAATAAAAAGAGAATTACAATAATACGTTATGTAAGATTAGAATTTTGTATGTGCAAACCTCGCAAACATTGTAATCCTGAGAGTCCAACATAGAACATAAAGTAGGGAGGAGATCTGGCCAAAATGGAAGCTCTCCTTTGGATGTTATCGTAGTTATGAGTATACCTACAGTAGCCCTTATTAATGGCGAAGGGTCTCCAACAGCCGAAAGGCATGACTGTTTAACAAACTCTAGAACCTCGCTGTCAAGTTTGTCAAAATTTGCTTTGACATTATTTTTTAAAATTAGCCCACTTAATGACCGTGTTGGTTCATCTATAGACAAAAATATATATATATCAATATTATGCATATATTCACAGAAAACTTCCTTTGAATATTTACCTTCTGTAGTTACTTTGGTTAGGACAAAAATTAGATAATTATTAAAATCAGGGAATTTATTTAATTCTTCCAGTTTCTGAATATACGTTGTTAAGAAAATTTATAAATAAAAACTAGAATTATTTTAAATAATAAATGATTTAAGAAAAAATTTAACAATTAACATAATTTGGTAAATTCCTATCATTTTGGTCTGCCTGACTTCACTGTTTTGATCTTTGGAGGTTGTTTTAAGTTTACTATGATTCGCGGGAGAGATGAATTGGATGAATTTATCCTGGATGTCACCGAGTGGTAAATGGATTTCTACGAATAGTACCTCATCGCTAATGAACTTAACCTTTGCTAGATCAATATGTAAACCAGCATAGAAGAGCGGGAACGGATCTAAAAGATAATTCTTCAGTACAACTTGTCTTGTTTGTCTGTCTAGGTTCAGAAAAAGAACCCTTTGAATTTAGCAAAATGATCTGATATAAACCAATATTATGTGCAAGGAAGTAAGTGAACTTTTTAACAGTAGGACGGCCTTGAAAGTGTTATATTATTCAAATGTGAGACCAATCCTTGAATATGGTAGTGTAGTTTGGGCCCTTTGTTTCTAGAAAGAGTCCAAAAAAAGTTCTTAAGAATTGCAACATTTAAATTAAAAATTAAAAGACAACCTCATAAGTATGGTCCACTTTTGAAAGAAATTGGTATCCTCTCTTTGGAAGATAGAAGATTTCTCGTTGACTTGCTGTTCCTCCGTAACTTGTTACATTCTAAAGTGGATAGTCCCAAGCTGCTTGAATGTGTAAGAATTCATGTACCTCAATTTAATTCAAGGATAATTAAGACTTTTTGTCAAACTACTAGTCAAACCAACTATATGAAATACATGGCAATAAACAGACTAATGCTGGAAGGGAATGAAATTAATATTGATTGGTTTTTCTCTACCTTACATCAAACTAAAAACATCATAATAAGTGAGAAAATAAAGCTTTATGCTAGTGGTGTTTTTTATAAATAAATATAAGCCTTTAGTTCCAGCAGGTTTATTTACATGGGAAGCTTTTCAATTATTTTATAAACATCTTCAGACCCTTAACTCACAGCCTTGTTATTCATATTTTTTCATATAACACAGCGTTATATGAAAAAATATAAATAACAAGGCTGTGAGTTAAGGGGCTGAAGACGATTATAAAATAATTGAAAAGCTTCCCATGTAAATAAACCTGCAGGAACTAAAGGCTTATATTTATTTATAAAAAACACCATTATGGAGTTACACAGCAAGAATGGTGCCAACTCAACATCTTTATGCTAATCACAAATGTTAGTCACAAAAATGTATTACTCTATGGATTCTCCTGTAAATAAAATAAAATTTTAACTGTAGAACTCTGGATTTTACTATTGTTTACCAAATAATTCCCATTATAACTCAACCGCTGGCAGATGATCCAAAACATTAGTATAAATACAAACAGAAAAACATCTAAATGAATGTAAAAGAGTAATCGTGTAACTACAGCATGACAGAATCAAACCCAATGGGTTACATTAGATATTTTTAACATTACTATTAGATTAAACCATTATTAAACTACATTTAGCTTAGTAACTCAAAAGAAAGAAGTAATTTGTAAGTTTCAAATCATTATAAAAATTCCATAAAGCTCCTGTCAAGGGGTTTAAAGTCAACTACCCATCGAGTGTTGCGTCAAAGTCAAGGTGTCAAACCAACGATACTTTTCCCCTATTATTATCAACTAAAATAACTTATTTTAATGAAATATTTGAGTGAATTAGAAGCTGTACTAAGTCAGAAAACTAACAAATTCAATTTGCCAATAGGTAACATGAGTGAACCCATACGAATTGAAAAACGGAAAAAGAACTTTTGATGACAAATCGTAACCATCATGGCTATCAACAGCTAGGTAATTTCAGCCAACACAATCAGTTCCTAAAACCAAACTCATTCACTCTTAAATACATTATTTCTTATTTACATACCATGCACTCAGGATGGTGTACTTAATTTTTTTCTCATACTGGACGGCATTCCTAAATGCTCTCTGCATAGAGCCAAGGCACCCTTCAATAGGGCAGGACATATCAATCAGCGCTGGTCTACATGGACACATACGTGGGTTTGGGCCCAAAATTAAGTGTAAATATCCCATGGCCCATTCTTAATCGGGTGAGGATGACCCTTCCGCAATGAACCAGTCCTGTTCCTCAACGTAGAGAGATTACTGATCCAGCCCACCGATGCTGCCACTTTCCTTCATAATGTTTTTCATTGAATTTTTAGTGTCAGAGGGCCGGATTGCAGGAAGTTTGGAGATTAGGACAGACAAAGGAAACAAAACTTTGTGGTATTATAAAATAAAAGCTGCAAGCAGTGAGTTTCAAGTAATTGTAGCCATGGATCTTTAAAATTGAAAAAAAAAAAAAAAGAAAAAAAAAAGAAGGATAATCCACTGAAGGAAGGAATATTCCAAGGGTGTAGGATTTATATACATTATAAATTAGTCATATATTACTTATCTTTGGAGACCAGTGCACTTCTTATCATGTGTCCTTCCATTCCTCCCTCAAATCCTTGAACACTTTTTCAAGAACACAATGGAGAATTTTTTTTTGCACTTTCTCAAGAACAATGGAGGTTTTACAAGCTGATGTTTTAACTTTTTCCAAAAAGAAAGCTATACAAAACTCAATCTTTGTACATAAAATATGATCACCCCAGAACAGTGTTAATGATAAAGAACTAAGTGTTTCTTAGTGACCTGTTGTTTTAAAATTTGTTGAAGTCGTGAGGAATGGTCAAGACCTCTTCTCGACCGCTCCTCACTACTTCAACAAAATAAAGAACGTGTGGTGTTTAGTGACTGTTAGTCAATGATTATTCGGACATCGTGAGATGCGATCTGGTGTGACGTAGGTTTAGAAAAATGTTTTCTTTACCATGCCAACGTTTCGATCTTTATTGAGATCATCTTCAAGGCTCAATAAACATTGAAACGTTGGCACAATATAGAAAATGTTTTTCTGAAACCTACTTAACACCAGACCCCGCATTTCACGATTTCCAAATAATCAAAATAAAGAACTATTTTTAATAAATTTATAAAATAAATAAATAAATTTATGTCCAGGTTTGTTAAAAAGTGAAATAAACATTACGTATGTTGCCATAAATACCTTTTTTCTGGGGAAAAAAAACTGAAATAGCGTGTGCAATGTTGTATGCTCATACACAAAATTGACAATAGGCCTCACAATACAAAAAGCTTCTGATGGTAAGCAGAAAATGCTTTAAAGACTGAAATTCAGGATGGTTCCGTAGCGCTACTTGGTACAATCACTCGTGGATAACGAGTAATGTATATGTATTTTATTTTCCTCCTACATTTTCTTCCAGCATAGCCAGGGTTATCTCCAGCCCATGAAAACCAATGTTGTGCGTTGGTACTATGGGGAGATTTTTAAAGATTTTTTCTCCTTATTTTGATCCACCCTGCACCCAACTATTTAATTGAAGATAATGCCAAAATTGAAGCCTACAGGAGGTAGGAGTGGATAGGTGGATTTAGTGAGCCTAACAAACAGAGTCGGAGGATGTGCAGTTGATGCCAGTGCTTTCCATTATAGAGGTTTCCGGTTTGTATTCTATTATAGTCATCAATCCCTCCCCCAATTTTTGTTTCCTTTTCCTTTTGTTTTCTCTCCCTTCCAAGGATTTCATTATTATAACGTGGTACATAAAAAATTATTTTATCTCAAGATGAACCCCAACCAATGAGGGTTGCGCATCCATTGCACCAAAACCACAGGAATGCAGGTGAAACACTGTGATGACCGAGACGGATTGATTCTCTATCGACTTACTACAGATCTCGGGTCTCATTCAAAATGTCAAAACTCACAAAAACAGAAAAAAAAAAAGAAAAAAAAACAAATTCAATCAAAGAAGGTGAATTTCCCTATTCGCCTTTACCAAAGCTTCGAAAATCTGTACCAGGCAACACCGATATTTTTCAAGTTAATGGAAACTCCAAGAGAAAATGCATAAAGATTTTAAACCCCCTGAAACAAGCTTAAACCTAAACCTTAGAGGTTTCTGGTTTGTAATCGAATAATTGTACTGAAGTCGCAAATTCCCCCCCCCTCATTTTTCTTTTGTTCTTTTCTTCACTCTTCCAAGGGTTTCATTTTTATAACATGGTACCTAAAAAATTATTTTATCTCAACATAGAACCCAACCCGCCTCCATTGAGGTTGTGGATCCATTGCACCAAAACCGTAAGGAATGTGAGTGTAACACTGTGATGACCGAGCCGGTTTGATTCTCTATCGACTCACAACAGATCTCAGGTCTCATTGAAAATGTTAACTCACAAAAAAAAATTCACTCAATGAAGGTGAATTTCCATAATCACCCCTACCAAGAAAAGTTTCCAATATCTGCACCCAGGCAACACTATTTTTCAAGTTAATGGAAACTCCAAGAGAAAATGTATAAAGACGTTAAGCCTGAAACAAGTTTAAACCTAAGCCTTATTTCGCCATCGGGCCAAATCCGTTCGAAATGCTTAATTAAGTCCGAATTAACAACTTAAGTCAAATTTCGACGAAAGCGGATGGACGTTCGAAGGGTTTCGTCGAACGGTCATAAGCCTCTCGTGTTTTGATGTTTTTCAAGTAGGGCTAAGGCTTAGGCATGCATGTGAAGAGAGCTTAAAGGGCTTAAAAAAAGGGCAAAAGCCACCGCCCTTTGGAAAAAGAAAATCCAAAAAACTGACAAGACGGAATAAAAGATTGGGGAAAAAAGGATTAAACGAAGTTTTAACTAGAGGCGAGACGGCGCCAAGTGTGACACGAACACAAAGTTATTTTTACGATTTACCGACTTTTCATATCAAAACGTCCCGTTGCTCGCCTTCCGTCTATTTTTCAGAATAGAACATTTATCGCCTTTCCTAAAAAAAACATTTACAAGGAATAAAAAAAGGATACTTGTTGTACTGCCGTCTGAGTGGTAATGTCCGGCGATTGCGATTCTTTAAGGAGCTGAAGAATCTGTCTGAGACCTTCTTCTTGGGGTTGCCAAGCCATTTTCATTATGATCGTCCCTACGTTTGGTTGTCGTACGACTGCAAGTACAAACGAACGATACCGTGTTGGGTCAAAGCAAACAACTAAACACTTAAAAATGTTGCCTAATAAACGACTAGCGGACTCGCATTTAACTAAATCCAGTGTCCACTGGAAGTCCTAAAACCAGAAACAACTTTACACTTTATAGAGCAACCGGCCGCTTATTTCATCACGTCGACTCTGTGGTGGGGGATGCTGAACATCACGCGCCAATTTTCAATTTAAACGCTTTTATTGAAATGAAGTTATTACTGTAATGATTTTTTATATATATATATATATATATTTTTTTTTTACCAGAAACGTGTTTAAGCTTCGGCAGCTCTCAATTGATAACCATTAAGGTCCCATGAAAAATTGGAGAGTTATTTGAGTAGAGCTCCTTTAAGGGATTAAAACCGGAAATGGCCTATTGACTATACAGGGCAGTAATAAAATCCAAAATAACTTATGGATCATTAATTTGGTGGACCAAAGCTCAACAAAAAGTAGCTACTAAAACATTAGTCAGCTTACAAAGAAGCTATGTATTACAGGGGCAATGAGAACAACCCCTACAAGTGCATTAGGAACTCTGCTAAATAAATAAAAATAAAATAGTCAAAATAAAATCATTTAAATCATGTCCCTTTGCGGCTTCCTCGAGAGTCCCGCAAGGGTCTCATCTTGGACCAGTTTTGTTTCTCTTATTTATTAATGATATCCATCTTGCTCTTCCTTCTGCTCAATTTTTATTATTTGCTGATGATCTGAAAATCTATTCTATAATCACTTCTCCTTCCGATTGCTTACAATTACAAAATTCTATCAATAATGTGCTAACCTTGTGCTCTAATAACAAACTTGCTCTTAATGTTTCCAAATGCTACACAATTACATTCTCTCATAAGAAACAACCTTTTATTTATCTCTATACTCTCCATGATGCTCTTTTAACGCGAGTTAAGGTCGTAAAGGATCTTGGTGTACTTTTTGATCAAAAGCTCAAGTTTAAAGAATATTTCTTCAATAAAAAATAGATCTATGAAGATGCTAGGTTTCATCATCCGGAACACCTATGAATTTAAAAATCCTTTATGTTTTGTCTATCTTTATAAAGCTTTTGTACAACCCATACTAGAATATGCTACACCTGTTTGGAACCCATTCTATCTAAATTATCAAAAAATTCTTCAATCTGTACAAAACAAATTTTTAAAAAAACTTTTCTACAAACTCAATCTTCCTCTGAATTCTGCCTACCCTGGAATCCGCTCTGAATTTAAACTTTTCGAACTGGCACTAAGAAGGGATTACTTTGATATTGTTTTTGTATTTAAATTATTAAACCATCTCATTGATAGTCCTTATCTTCTCTCTCAACTACAGCTACATATCCCTTCGTACTCTCTTAAAACCTATAAATTATTTTATATTGAATTCCAAAGCTCTAACTACATGCTCTCTTCTCCTCTACACAGAATGATGATCAAGAGTAACAACATCTGCAATAGCATTGACTTCTTCAATAGTTCTGTGCAATCTATGAAAAACCTTATCCTACAACCTTAGTTGAATGCTTTTATATTTCATATGTACAAAATTATTACAATTTATTTCATTTACTGGTTCAACTAATTCTCGCACTCTAGTCTTATTATATATTTACAAAGAGCATTATTTTCATTAAATATGTACCTAATTATTGTAGTTTCAATTGTCTTTCAGCTTTATTTTGTTTTCTCTGCCTTATTTGGTTAGTAATTATGTCTTTCATTTTTGTTGTTCAGTTTTTACTCTTTAATTGTATTTTTATATTTATCATTTATATTACCATTTGTATTATTACCATGTATATACGTCCTTATTCTTTTTATATATATTATTTGTATTTTTACATATATTATTTATATTTTTTGTTATTGTAAAATGTCTTTTTTATAGTGGATTTCGATCCGTAAATAAATAAATTTAAAAAAAAATAAAAAAATAAAAAAATATCCTATAAAATTTAAGTACACTACATCCGACTCGCTCTTAATTAGACGTGAACCTGTTAAAGATCATTATTGACAGTCAGATAAACTTTCACACACATTAATAAAACTATTGCTAAAGCAAATAAAACTTTAGGCTTTAGTACACATCACACTATACATTTTTGTGATCCAGACATGCTTACAATTTTATACGGTTCCACTGTAAGAGCACTATTAGATTACTGTTCACCTCTTTGGGCTCCCTTCCAATCCACCCGTATCAGTCACATAAAAGCGGTTCAAAAAGATGTTTACATCTGATACATTGCAGAACAATCAGAGAATACAGAGATACACTATACTCACGATTAACGTCGAATCTGAAATTGACGACTGTTCTGTACAGAAGAAAATTATAGATTGTTTATTATTACAGATTGCTTATTAGTATATACATTATTACATTTCTTAACTGATTGCCCACTACTGCTTAACCCAACTAACTTTCATATTTTATATTATCATACGAGAAGTCAAATTTCATTCTCTAATTCAGAAGTAATTATGCCAAATTTTGTTTTATACCAACAATAAAAAATTTGTTACTCGTTCAAAAATATAGATATATTTAATGACAGTTTAAGTAAATTGAAGGAAAATTTTATCATTGTAGCAAAATTGCAAATATAATTAATAAATATTGATTTTTATTATCATTAATAATCGATAATTATATAGTTTTAATACATATTTAAAATTGTTTCAATTCACTTTAATTTTAATTTTTTTTTAATAATAAATATTTGTAAATTTATGTACAGTTATAACCTTTATACTATTATTGTATACATTTGTAACTGGGAAACCATAAAAAACCAAATCAATAAATAAATAAGAATCTAGACTCTCGCAAAAACATAAAACATTTCTTGCATTCTCCTCTTCTACTTGGCATAGTGTTTCTTCTGTCTCTACTCCTATACAGTGTTTTGCCTTCTTAGGCACCAGTGCCTTGTCAGGAGCAGGCTGCTGCAATTTCTTTTCAAACTGTACTTATCAGTGAATATTTTTTGGTTCCCCTGATATAAAAGAAATCCGAAAGAAAGAAATCTGCTCTTTCTTTCTGCTCCCATCAGTATGTACATACCGTGCAGTCTCCTTATTTATCTCTTTTAGTTTTATAATATCTGGAAGCATGGAAGAGCGGAGCCAGTTCAGCTCAAATAAGATGAATCTCAATTTAAGGTCAATAAAAGTTCTCAAGCTCTCACATATCATGAGCATCATCAATAAGCCATTAGAGGATCAGAATCGTAGAAGAAAGGTCATCCTCACTCCATTAAGAAGCCATGCAAGGTTGACATATGGCTTACTTTTGGGCCAAAGCCCATTTATGTCTGGCCATTCCTTGATTCCAAATAGAGAGTATGTAGGATAGGGATAAAAGAGGTAACACTAGGTCCTTTTCACCTCAACTTGAGTAGATCTATTGTGCTCCTCCATTTTTGATAACTCACTGGCCAGCTTCAACTAATAAGTCAAGTGTAGGATCTTGCTTGCAGCTTTTCTTTCCTAGTTGCAAGAATCTACACCCACATAGACCTTCACAAAAACATAAAACCTGTTCTGCGGTCTCTTCTTCGTGGCAGTATCTGCACAGTGTTTCTTCTGTCTGTACTCCTATCCGGTGCATGTGCCTTCTTAGGTGGCAGTGCCTTGTCAGGATCCCATTCAGAATCTCTTTGTATGTCTCATGCCTGGGGTATTGTTCCACCAGGTTTTGGACTCATTAAGGATCCACTTTTGTATGTATAGTTTTTGTGGCAATTTGCTGGGCTCCAATAGGATTCAAGGCATAGAGAATTTATATTGGCTTCTTTTTTGGCCAACCTGTCCTTTTTCTCATTGCCTCTATGACCCGAATGCCCAGGGACCCATGCTGAGGTCAATTCATTGGTGTCACCGACTTCTGACAGGGATTTCATACAATGCCATACACTTTTTGTCTTTATCTCACATGCTTTAACCTATTAAGACCTTAAGTGTCAACGAAGAAGGGTATCTTCCTGGTCTTCTTTTCTGGTGCAGTGGTCAATTGCCATGATTTCAGACTGGAAAAGTGTAGTGTGTTTGCCTAAGTTAAAGTTAGTTCAGTGTTCAGATTCATCCTGAGGACTCCAGCTCCCATGCCTATATCTGTGTTTTAGAGCTATCAATATACCAGTAGGAATTGCCCTTCAGAGGTATTCCTTGCACCCACTATTCCTTTTCTGGTACTTTTTGTACTTTTACCTTGTACCTTCTACTTTTTAGTAAAGTTGTATTATGGATTAGTGGCATCAAATGGTATGCTTAGTACACCTCTGCTTGTATCTCCTCTCTCAGTTTCCATTGTTTGTTAACATGGACTGTCCTTGCAAATGGTTGTCCATTCATGAGCATGTGAGCCGCTGCTCTGTCTTCTCCTTGGGTTAGAATAGGTAGCAGTGGAAGGTTTAACAACACCTCCAAGGCAACAATTATCATTGTACTCATGGCTCCAGTGATACTAACCCAAGCTTGTCTTTGAGCGCCACTTAATAGCCTGATCGCCTTAGCCTGCAAAGTCTTGGTCCACCGCACCATTTTCCCCATTTGCCAACATTGGTCTTATGACAAAGATATAGAAATTTTTAGGGTTTAATCCCCAGTCTTTAGCTCAGAGCCTTCTGCACCAGCTATATTGCATAGACCTTTCCTAGGTGCTATAGCCTTTTCCTTGCTATTGTGGAGAAGTTGCATATATCTTAATATTTAGTTTTCTTTTATGAAGCCCAGAATTCTTCTCATAGTTGGTAATAGTATCTAGATCTATATTGCATAGGTCTTTTCTAAGTACCAAAGCCTTTTCCTATCTATCAGTGGTGGGCAGTTGCACAGTTAACCATTAAGGTTCTATGAAAAATTGAGAAGTTATTAAGTCACACAGCATAGCGCCTTGGAAGGCTATTTATTACTGGAAATAGCCGGGTATCCAGAGTTGGCATATAGTGGTCAGGCAAACAGCCATTTGGCCATATGATGTTCCACCCTATCAGCTTGGGAGGAAAGAATAGGAAAAGAGTTTGTACATGAATAAGGAAGAACATGGGTGTGGAATGGTATTAGATGAATTAAAATCTATCCATAAGAATTTTTTAATAAACCATCGGAATAGCTGCATTTCTAAAGTAGTTTCTTAATTGAAAAATTAAAAGTGCTATGCAAGTGTCATCAATGTATAAACTGTACATTATTTTCAAGTAAAATAAAGCAACTAAAAAAAAAAAAATACATAAACCTGAGCATGAATGATTTGTGGCCATAGTAAATATTTTTTGGTCAAAATTGCAAAGCCAAAGAGTACAATGTGCCAATAAATTTCATTACATTATTTGTATATAGTTCAAATAAACATAAACAAATTCTTTCGTGCTATTTATTCTGTTTTCTTAAACAGGGGGTAATCGATTTCCTTTGTTGAAGAAAGGACAACACCAAAATGAGGAACTCCTTCTCTCACCAATTTTTTCAATTCCTAAAATATTAAAACAATATTTGAATCAAAAACTAAATATCAATTTGAATATTTATTATTACCTTGGTATCTTGAATACATTTATATTTAAATGTTGTGACGACATTTTCCAAATCATAAAATGGTGCCAGACCTGCAAGGTTTTTGAACATCCTTTGTTTCAGCATTTTTGTATTTTCCCTAAATTATTACCAATTATTATTTGAAGTCACGTTTTAAAATTTGTCTTTTGTATATGTCGAATATGAGCCAAACCTGAAAGTATGCGTTAATGGATAGTAAGGGGTGGGAAGAGCCGGCTCTAAATTCCTTCGTGGTAATGGTAAAGGTGTAAATTCCATAGATATTTTGGTTTCAACTGTTACAATTTTTACATAATTGAAATACGTCACGACAAACTCAGTTCTCATCCATACATCTCTAAAACATAAATTAACATTACATATCTTAAAACATTTAGTAAAACTATTTAGAGATCATGAGATGCAGACTGGTGGCATGATGGTGTGATCTCTAAATAGTCATTAATTAACGGTCACTAATACTACACGTTTAGTAAAACTATAAAAACAAAATTTTATAAATATTAATAGTTTAAAAAGAATGTTTTACCTAAACGTTTCAGACATACAATCTGGACCGTCCCAATCTAGATTTGCTTGAGTGTGCAATGTTTGAAACAAAGAATACGCCTTGCTCACGCTTTGTGGAAATTGTCTTAAACCAGGGTAAATCTTGTTTGATGAAGTATCAACCATCTGATCACTGCATGGATATTTCAAGTGGATAGTTTGCAAACACACAAAAGACTCCAGACTCCAAACTTTTAAAACCTATAAAAATAATAATAGTAATACTGATTTATATAAGCTCAAATCTGCACATGCATGCACATCCATACACCCATGTACAGAGTTGAGCCTATCTCTTCTAGCAGTCCACTGTCAATTCCCGCTGTTGTGTTTTACAATAAAGTACGGGCAGCCATCGAGATTTACCCACCCAGGGTGTTGACAGACTGAGGTCAGACCTTGGTCTTATCCATCCAGCCACTTGAGGTTAGGATCGAGGGGCTATCAACAGCTAGGTCATTTCAGCTCCCCACGCATCATTTCCTAAATCCACTCTTAAATATAGTCTTAATTTATTTACATACTATTCACTCTTGTTGGAGTAATCGATATTCATTCATAACCTTTAGATCTATTATATAACTAACCTAATTGAGTGTTGATGGTGTTGTAAATATTCTGTCTTCGACCCTCTCACACTACACATTTTCTCAACAAACACTAGGTAACAAAAATATCAATACTATAAACATTAAAATAACATTCATCCAAGTATCAAAACAGAGGACCCAGATAATTGCTGCCATTATCAAACACAATTCTTATATCGGGTGGCATTCCTGCGTGCTCTCTGTATGGAGCCAAGGAATTGCACCCTTCAATTAAGTGGGACACATTGAGCAACCTTTCTCTACATGCGGGGCACATATGCGGATTATGGACTAAAAGTGTCTGTGTGTCAAACTCGCATGGCCTATACTTAATTGGGTGAGGATGACCCTTCTTTTCTATGAGGTAGATCCTCTGAGAGCCAGTGAGGATGACCCTTGTTCTATTAGTCAGATCCTCTGAGAGCCAATGAGGATGACCCTTCTTCTATGAGACAGATCCTCTGAGAGCCACCTATCAAAACTGCTGCTAATACATGAGATCTTCTCCGTCGATCTGGCCAACCATCGCTGCCACTTTCAATCAACACCCATACAACACTTTTGAGGGTAAAATAGTGAGCCCTATGGCTTCCTTGTGCGAACAGTGATTAAAGATTTAATCCTACAAAAATTAAGTTTTTGATTAACCACAACATTTATAGTTAGTGAGAAAAATTATCATGCAAAAAACCACAAAGCTCTGAATTAATTCTTAACATAATGATGTATTATACAATAAATAAATTTGATATTAAATATGTGTATCTATTTGTATTTATTGTATTTATATTAGGATGAGCAGAATGAAAATGTGCTTTCTAAAGGAAAACAAAATGGTAATTTTTTTAAAATCTTATTTTAATGCAAGTTTTTCCAAAGGGATAACAAGAGCTCTCACAATAAAAATATATATCTAGAAAATTGCTCAAACTGCAATTTTGTTTCAAAATATATTTTTACTAATTTATTATATTAATTGAAAGATTAATACTTCATGTTAAAAAACATATTTATTTATGCAATAACAGATAATCAATTGAGAAAAAAGAAGTTTTTACCCCTTTTGCAGAAAGACTAAGAATAGACTGGACATGTTTCAAAATGCAAACATCGATAACTGGTTCTTTATGTCCTTTCAATATTTTGATTGGCTGCAGCATTTGAACTGGATTCCAAAGCATTATAAAATGGTCTGTGTTTGTTGTGGCGAGAAGACAAATTTTTCTTGATAAATGAAAATGTTTTACACCCTTTAAAACAAACAAGAGTTACAAATTAAATAACATGATATAATAAATTGTTTTTAAAGCACCTTTTCAAGTTTAAGTATGGAAAGAGTTCTTTTCCCTTGTCTCTCCTTTATTACAACGCTCGCTGAAGGATCACTGCTACAACTAATAAGCGAGTCGTTTTCCTCAATGTAAAACACCTCCAATACTTCTTCCTGATGCACCCCTTTACAAATTCTGATCTTAGCATAGTCATCTTGATTGGTTATATCCTTAAAACAATTAGAATACCGTAAAATGTTGTTTAAAAAGTTCGCTTTATGTGAGTTATTAAAGAGATCAGACCATCCAGTTATAGGTTAGTTCGTGCTTTAAATGTTTCTGCTTGAAAAACGCCTTTTGAGGTTGCTGAAAACTTATTGAAATTATATCTCCTCTATCATCACCAATGAATAATATAGACTTCTTCTCAGAGCTCAATATTGAGTAGTGGAGGCAAGTCGGAGAATTTGGAATACCTGTAATTAAAAAAACAACAACTAAGCAATCAAATCTTCAGAGAATCCTTTAGGTACAGTGCTGCAGGGGAATATTTATTTGGATTACTGGAGGGTATTAAAAAAACACATATATATGTACAAAAAAAAATACAATATAACATTTGCATGCACAAAATGTTATACCTTTGCTTCTTTCTCTTTTTCATTAATTTTTAGGCAGTACTAAGCATTTCATTTTTAATAGTGGAGGGAGGGATTCACTGAACAAAATGAATTCTCGAAAATTCGTATAGTCTCAGTTGATCTTGGTATTTCGTATTATCCCTCTCTCATTCACTCAATCAATTAATCACTCTCACTCACTCATTCTCTTACTCTCTCATTCACTCACTCACTCATTCTCTTACTATCTCATGTACTCACTAACTCACTTACTATCTCTCACTCTCTCTCTTTTATTTTTCTCACTCATGGTCTTACTCTCTCATTCACTGTCCTTCTCTCTGACTGACTCACTCACTTTCTCTCTCATTCACTCACTAACTCACTCTCTCTCTCTCTCTCTCTCTCTCTCTCTCTATTTCTCTCTCTCTCTCTCTCTCTTACACTCACTCATTCCAAAGTTCGGATTAGGGAGAGAGCACTTTATATGATTTCTTAAACAATTATAAACATCAAATTGTAAAATTATACCTTCAATTGAAAATTGCAGTTTGTGAATTAGTTGAGATATATTGTATATGAAAAGTCGTCGATTTGACGATGATATGAACATTGATGATGTATCTGATGCATAACAAGCGCTCGTGATCCAGCTGCTCCTTTTACTCGTGTAATTTCCCATCGGTACTTGATAGCTTTCTTGTAATACAAATCCATCGTCATATATTCCGACTTTTCCTAAACTTGATATAATAATGTAGCACGCACTGTGAGGTGTTTCAGGCAGCAATATTTTAACAATTTTACTCTGCCAAATAAAATCATGTCTGTATTAAGAAAAGCAATTTAATATCTTCTGTATCATTAGGAAAAAACCTGTTTGTCTAAACCACAATTTTGTACATTTTAAAACAAACAAAATATTGTTAGTTAACCAAACAATAATTTTTTATTTATTATTGGTAATGTTTTTAACATTGCTTTGAATGGTCAAATACTTGGAAAAGTATGTATGATTGGGGAGGAAATACAGCCTTTTGCCAGTTGCCTTGCGGGATTGAAGCTTCAGTTGCAATACCAGGTTGCCTTTTTGTCAATTATACAAAGAAAGGACAAAAAAGCTAAAAGGAAATAAGGAAAGACTGAATTTAAGAAAATTTAAATGAAAAGAAACTTTGTTGTGCTCAACGATGAAGTTTTGAGGTTAAAAGAAAAGTAGTAATCTAGATTGGTGTTACAGTCCTTCGTAATCTAAAAAATCTAAAATAAAGGAAATAAACAGGGTTGAGAGCAGAAATTGTAGCATGAGAAAAAACAAGAACTTCGTTGAAAGGTGCAAATACGAAACTAAAGTATGAAAAACAGAAGGAGTCAGGGAGAAAATGCTGTAAATGCTTTGGTAGGATTGGGCTCAGTATTAAAAAATAAATAAATAAATCTTGTAGTCTAGCATATAAATGATATTGTAAATTATGACCTTGCTTCACTATAAAAAATACAAATATGAGACAATGAAGTATATCCTACTTTAAGATTAATTTAAATCTTTTAGTTAAGAGGTTTTTTTTCCAAACTTTTAAAGTTTCTTTATTTTACTTGTAAATAACGCATAGTTTATGTATCTATAACTAGCTTACATGGCACTTTTAATTTTCTTTTGATAAACTACTTTTGCAATGCAGCTGTTCTGATTTAAGATTAAAATTGAAAAATTCTTATGAACTTTCACCCCGAAGAGTTGTCACTCGTCGGTGTGCTGACCCTAGTGGTTTATACCTCAGGATAGTTCACCTACCCCGCCTACCCCATTATGCAGCTGGGTAGCTAGGATCACCCTTAAGCTAGATGCTCAGGAGATGTCGCTTCCCAACCAACAAGGACTGGCTACAATAGGTGCTTTCGACAGCTAGCTCATTTCATCCACCAACGGATGCAAATTATAATCTAGCCTAAAACTAACATCTTTAATACAGTCGCACAAATAAATACATTCACACATATACACATTCTGTTTAGTCGATGAAACACTTGATATTCCTCCATCGACTCACATTAGTAATAAGTAATAATCTAAATTAGGCTCAATGGAATATTTTAAATATTCTGCCATTGATCCTAAACACACAATCTGCTGGAGGGGCGATGGTGATGATCTATTTCACCATCAGCCGCTCACCAGTCTCACTAATAAATGCACACACTCAGACAAAACACATAACCACAAAACACATACAAGAAATACATATACGATTCAAAAAGTGGAACAGGGCACCCAGAAACTCGCTACTGTGCCCAAGAACCATTCTTAAATTTGGTGGCGTGCCCACACACTTTCTGTCAGGAGCCAAGGCATGACAATCTTCTATTATGTGGGCTTTGGCCCAGGAGCAGGTATTCATTTGTCAGTCACGTATGATCTATTCTTAATAGGTAAGGTAAGGATGATTCATCGTTTCTGGCTCAGGTTGTGGGGGGCAAAAAAGCTCTTACGGGTAGATATTTCTGACTGTTTAGGAACTTTTGAATAGTTTTGGTTGATTTCTTGTTTAAATTATTCAGCGATTCTTATTTATTTTGAATAGAACAATAATTTCCTTAATTTTGCCTTGTTGTTTAAAAGTTTAGCGTTGAAATATAAATAAAGTTTGTTCGTCGCCTATCATCAGCGTCTGCTTATCCTCGCTGTTTGTGGTAGGTTTTGGAATCTCACCATCTTCAGTGATGGGTTTGTGTATTTAAATTTTGTTAGCAAACTTATAAAGCAGATGAAAATTATTGGAATCAACCATACTGTTTATCATCCTACAGACCTCAAAAAATCTCAGGATAATTGATTGTAATCCCTGGGTTTGCCCATTCTTAAATATTATAGTAGGTGCTATTGTGTTATATATTTATTTAATAAATAGGCATTCTAGATATATAAACTATATTTTTATGTAAACATTCACAATTCTAAAATAGAATGGACTGGTTGTAGATCTTGCTTTACTTAGTAACTCAGAAATTTACCATGTATGAAACCATAAATTTCGTTAATGTAAAGTAAAAAAAACTTCAGTATTTGCTTCATTATTTAAAAAAAAAATGTATTAAATATTTTTAAATAGACCATTGAAATGATAATTTATATCATTGACTACCTTGCAATGTGACATCAATATATTATTCTTCTCTTTAAATGTGTATGCTTCTCCTGGTTCTGGCTCTTTTTTGTCTTGACCACCTTCTATTATTGCATCAAGAAGTTGTTCCCACCAAATAACATCATGCTTTATTATTTTTTTTTTCTGGAGCATATCAAACAAATTAGCAGCTGCAGTTTCATACGAGGGAGTTCCTATATGCAACATAATAAATAAAAAATCACATTCTTAAAAAAATATTAGTTTAATTATTTTAAGAACAATAATGGTCAAAGCTTGCTGTAACACACCAATAACGCTCTTGACGGCTGCGACAAAGGATTCTTTAGTTAAAGGTATCCCCCTTGATGGCTGTCGAGTCATTCCGACATCGTACAATTCCATTTCAGAAAGGATTCTCGAAAAATTTTTCCCCTCGGGGAAAAAATAATGTTTCAGCTCTTCAAGATCACTTGCATCTATCTTATCGACAAGGGTGAAAGTTTCCTCAGGGACAGTAGTACATTCTGTGTACCTAGAACAAATTTGAACTTTTCATTTTGCCTGGTCTGGATATTTGACATGGAACCTTCACATTACTGCATCTACCTAGACTATTGTACAATGTCAATATTCTACTGTTTATAAGTGCTTAGAAAGTTAAGATTGCTGAAGACAGATAAGGGTTGAAGAAAAAAAGCATATTAGATGATGGAGGAAATACGTGGATGATAAAAGAAACTAGGCCAGCATTGTAGAGGAAACCAGAGCTGTTCAGAGTGTAGCACCAAGGAGTAGTAGTAGTACTGGTAGATAGCTTGAGAGATGTTGTTTATAGGACAATATAAAGCTGAGTGTCATCAGCATATAAATTAAATTGGGAGAAATTAACTAATGGAAGATCATGTAGAAACATGAAAAAGAGTAATGGTCCAAGAATCGAGCCTTGGGGTACTCCAGCTGAAATTGAGAGAGAGAAGAGGAGATAGAATTTGAAGCTTTAACTCTGAACTGGATTTAATTTGTTTATATCACGAATCATATATGGAATTCTAGTTTATGCTCCCAATTGATGTTAATATGCTTCATTGTATACAAGTACAGAAATATAATTTAGTTTGGACATAGTACATTCCCCCCCAAAAAATCGCCATTTACCTTTTTACATAATTCTTCTCCTCTTCGTTCGGTTTCAAAAGGGCGTCTCTTAAAACGTTTTCCCACAAAGAGTCGTCTTTTTTCTCGTCGTTTTCCATTTTAAAAACATAAATAATTAACTGGAAAAGTTGTTTAGCGTGTCCTGCACGTGAACGAAGACGCTATTTGTTGCTAAGGGAACGCCGAATACGGGAAACGGCAAGATTTTAAAAAAAGTATTTATGTCCTGTGGTAAATTTTTAAAAAGGAAAAAGTTTCTTGTACAAAAGCCGCCGCGGATTATATCGAGACACTCATTCATTTGTCAAAAATGTATTATTAAACATTCATATAAAAGAAAAAAAGGCAAAATGACAAAGGAGTGAGAAGGGGCAACTTTAATTATGACATAAATAAAAATACTGTGTTGTTCCCAATTTATGATTTTGTAATAAAATTCCGGAAAAAAATATAAGGTGTAAAATAATTTTATTGCTCCATACAACAAAAACTTATTGTGATTTCGTACTTGGATGCAACCCTTAGGAATACGCTTCAGCGAAGCCTTAGCAAGGATGACATTGGGAATGGTACTCGAATTGGGCAACTGGCCGACTCCGCCCTGGGTCTTTCCATCCAAACTCATCTGGGAAGATCTCGCCTTGTTAGCCAAGTTGTTTTACTTGGGCATACCTTTACTGAGCTAGGTTCTTGGAACTCAGATAAGGTACACTGATTTTCACTTGTCTTCACAAACGGGTCTAAGTACGACGAGGGTGTGGCATATGACATATATCATGAGGCTGCTCTTCCTACCTAATCTACACTGACTCCCTCAGCACAGTTACTGCTGTCCATGACAGATCCTCAGTTGATTCTCTCGTTGTGCTCTGGAAAGAGAGATACCACAAACTGGAACATCTCGACAAAACGGCGGTTGTTTTTTTGGGTACCCGGACACATAGGTCTGCAGGGTAATGAAAAGACGGACAAGCTGACTAACGCCAGGACTTGACCATAATACGGCACCCTGACATTAAAAATGCAATAAAAAAAAATTATTAAAAAAATGGGGTGCCGGTGGGCCAAGTCGACAGAGAAGCTCTCATATATCAAGAGCACTGTCGATGGGTGGCACTCGTTGGATCTGCCCCCTAGAAGAAAGGTCATCCCCACTCAATTAAGAGTACGCCATGTGAGATTGACACACAAACACTTACTTTTGGGTCAAAAGCCTGCATTTGCCCAATGTGTCTCACCTAATTGAAGGGTGCAATTCATAGGCTCCATATAGATATTGGGTAGGAATGCCACCCAATATAACAATTGTGCTTGAGCATGGCAGCAGTATATGGATCCCTCAGCTTCTTGGAGGAAACGGGGATGTTTTATTATATATAGCATTGATAGAAGTCTCATTGAGTGAATATTAAGGGTGAATGTATTTATTGGCGTGAATGTTTATAGTATGTGGGCCGATGGAAGAATATCAAATATGCAGAGGAAGGTTGCTCGATATGTCCTACTCAATTGAAGCATGCATTCCTTGGCTCAATATAGAGAGCATGTAGGAATGCCACCCGATAGGAGAATTGAGCTTGAGCACAGCAGCAAGTATCTGGGTCGACTCTTCTGATTCTTAGAGGAAACAGGGTTATTTTATTGTTATAGTGCTGACATTATTGTGTCCCCTGGTGTGTGTAGAGAGTGAATGCATTTATTAGCACGAATGTGGAATATTACCCATTGTAAGTACCCCACAATTAGATTAGTTATATAATATGTGTAAAGGTGAGGCTTGTGAATAGGAAAATCTATTTAAGAGTGTGTGGGAGTGTAAATGGCTTTGGATTGAGACTGAATGCTTCGAAGGCTAGTGACCTAGCTGTTGATAGCTCCTGTAGCCCAATCTCAGTGACTGGTTGGATAAAACCGAGATCTGACCCCGGACTACCAACACCTGGGGTGGGTGATTCTCAAGGCCTGCCAGCAATTTTTTTTGAAACACCAAAGGTGAAATTGCCGGTGGACTGTTAGAAGTGCATATGTGTGTACGCGCTTGTGTAGATTTCAGCTTATATAAATCGGTAACTTCACTAATCACTATATTATTTCACTAACATATTATTATGGTTGATGGGGTACTCAATATCCTTCTTACACTACACATTCATGCTAAAAAATACATTCAATCTTAATATACAAAAAAAGATATCAGTACAACCTTCACGGACCATGCAGGCTTTGGCCAAAAATTGTCTATGTAAACCTTGCATGACCTATTCTTAATCTGTTGAGGATGATCCTTTTTCTACAATTCAGATCCTCCAAGGGCAACCTATCGTCAGTGCTCTTGATATGTAAGAGCTTCTCACGCATCAACTTTGCCATTTCCTTTTTATCCAATTTTTTAATTGGATTTTTAGCATCAGAGGGCAGTATGTAAAATTTAAAAATATATGAAATAATTTAAATATTTACCAGTTCGTTATAATTTTGTAAGTGTTGTGGAGTTTAAAAGAATTTCATAGTAAGCTAGTAATTTAATAAATTATAACTTAAACAATAATTTATTTACCACAATATACAGCCAGCTTTATAAAATAATTCAATGCATGATTACTTTTCAAAATTAATTACAATCTTTAAAAAATTAATAATTTATTTCTATCATTAAACAAACTTTATAAATGACTTTTTTTACATTTTCTTTTATTCACACAAATTATAATACATGGAAATAAATTAATATAAGAATAAATATAACCCTAATGAATAATTTTTAAATTACAGAAATAAACGTGGGCAAATTAAAACCCGACATTTTTCCCGTTCTTTTTTGCCCTGTGTAAATCTTGAATTTTTATGAAGTGTCGCTTGAAATAGTCGAAGTCGAGGTTGTATTTATTGCCATTATCTGGAATTTCGGATTGCGAAGGGGACCCTTTTATATTCCTAAAACATACAATAAATATGAAAATATACCATCCATCAACATCAGATCCATAAAATAGAAATCTCTTAATTTTACTGTATTACCTCGTGTAATAATAGAAGTGAAGTTTAGGCACACATTCGAGGCGATGCCTCAATATGTGGAAAGTCTCCGACTGCGGTAAAATCATAAGTAAACCATACATCGACCGGATGAGATAATAGTTGTGAGGGATTTTGAGCAGTTCTAGCCTTAGATCTGGACAAATAATAGCTTATCACAATTTACTGGCAGTGATTCCAAAATACGCAAATTGGTTTTGTAATAATAAAAAAATTATACACACAGAAATTATGTAGTTTACACTTAATTAAGGTTTTTAGTTGAGATAAAAAAGTCACTGGCACGAGCGGTATTCGAACCCGAAAAATGGCAAAAAGGAGGGAAAATTCAAAAGGTGCGGTTGAGATAGGAAGTTAATGTCCGAGCAGATCGAGGTCATGATAGCTCAAGTGGTAGAGCAGGGTGTATCTAACCGAAGATCGTAGGTTCAAATCCCACTCGTGCCATTGACTTTTTTATCTCAACTAAAAACCTTAATTAATTGTAATATATTAATTGGTCAAGCGGACCACAAAATTAGTGAATTTAAAAACCTTAATTAATTGTAATATATTAATTGGTCAAGCGGACCACAAAATTAGTGAATTTAAGGAATTATGTAGTTTATTATTTTTTGAATTGAAATGTTTATAAAGTACTCTTTACATTTACATAAATGACATCAAACAGTTTTTTTCAATCACTGTTTGCTTTAAATTAATTAATTTTGCTTTCGTTGTCAATTTGTCAAAATTTGTACTTACAGTTAAATATAGGTGATTCGATGAGTTGTACTAAACGATCAATTTCTACTAAAAATTCGACAGTCACTTCATAATTAGCTCTGATTGTAATGTTAAAGAAATACACAAATTGTTCAAAAATTATAAATAAATAGTTTCCAATCCATGGTGGCGGGTCTCATTTGATGATTCGGATGAGTTTTCTATTTACTTTTCCCCAGTTTGAAGCAGTTTTTAGATTCAGTTTGAAGCGTTACAGTATAGATCTATTAACACCTGAGAAAATTGGCTGTGAACTTTTTAAAAACTTTTTTGCTTTTTAAGATGTAATACTTAATAAATTTTACATTAAATAGATTACAGAATTGATGAATACTGTTAAATGCTAAAATGTTTTCAGATTTTATGGGTTCTGGGCAGAAAAATTTCTTCATTTAATTTTTAAATAATTTTTGTTATTATAACAATATAATGGTAAATATAGAAAGTATTTTTATTTTCAGGGTTTTTAAATTAGTTTTTCTAATTTTTTAAAATGGAATCTTACTAAGAAGAGCTGTGCTATAAAGCAAAAAGGTAACAATGGTACGAAAAGTAGACCTTTCTCCACTTCCAGATGTTTCTCATGGATAGATTTTTTTTTTTTCAATACTACCAATTGGACAAGAAGTAGCTAAATGTAAATGTATGAGACTCACTTCAAAAAGTTAATTTAAATAAAAGATAAAATTAAAAAAAAAAAATATATATATTTTTTTTTAATTTGATCTTTTATATAAATATATATTTTCACAGCTATTTACAAAAATTAGAACCTAAGGTGCTGTGCTGGTTCCATAATGTGTATGTTGCCTGAATTGGCTCATATGAGACCCACCAGAAAAAGCTAATTTAAATAAAATATAAGACTTTAAAAAAATTACCAAGTTTCATAATTAATATTGAGGCAATGACCACAAATGTATGTAAAAAAAATTAATTAAATTAAAAAAAAGGGGGAAAATTGACAGCGTTTCAGGCTTCCGCATTTGTGTTAAAATATAAGACTTGAGACATGTGTCGCCCAAGGTAATTAGAACAAAGGATACAGAATTTCAATTAAATCACAGACATGGGCATAGTTTTGAGTGATAAGGCACAATGATATTGTAGCGACTGGATTATGACACCAGGTTTCATAAAGAAATTGAAAAAGACCTTCGTTTTCCTAAAACAAAAAACAATAAATTAAAAAACATGCCATGAGAAATCAGCCAATGCTCAACATAAGGGAAGTGGCAAAGAGATATCGAGGTCAACGTATGTTAAGGAGTGGTGGTTTCTTGAGGTGGGAATGTGTAGAGGGCTCGAGCAGTAGCATTAGGATGTATCGAGGGGTTAGTTTGAAATTTTTTTAATAGGGAATGGATCAGTTTTAAGTTGTAGATAAGACTTGGATGTAAATCAGTTTTTGTTGTTGATGTACAGTGCATGTACAGTGATAGTTTTTTTCATAGTGAACCTACGTTGAGTACTTTTCTTGTCACATTTTGCACCAGTCTTTGATAAGCACAAGGTGTTCTTGTTGGATATTAACATGGACAGAATTTGAATTAAGGGCAAAATTGCGGTATCACCTAGTGATGACGGTATTGGGATGTATAGGAAGGTCTGTTGTATAAATTAATGTTCAAATAAAATTTAAAAAATGACTAATAAAAGGAAACTGATTGCTTACTGTATTTTTTAATTGAGTTCTGAGATGATACAATTCAGAGGATGTAAGCAAAATTGTATTTAAAGTATCAACCATTACTCGAGCAAATTTAAGGTCTTCCTCATCCATTAATATAACAGCAGTATTCTTATAAATATCTTCCGCGCTTAGAAGAACACAAAGTTGCCTACAGAATAAAAAAAAATTGTTTTCTATAATTCTATAAAGTGTAAAAATAATTTTTTTTTTATTAAAGATGACAAAATTATTACCTTATAATAAAAGAACCCCTTTCTTCTAGAAGTTGTCTTTCTTCACGGAATTGTTTAAGAAGACTAACAAGAAATTTATCAAAATATGGTGACGGTGTACTAACAGGAACTGAAATAATATATTTATTAATTGTCTTAAAGAATTGCTCTATGTACTTATAATGTTTTAATAATAAAAATTTAGGTCAATTAAATTATTTAAAAAATATACAAAACAGTAACAGTATAAATTTCCTGCACCTTACAATAACTAAAACTAACAACTTCAGCATATATAGAAAACCAAGTGGCTGACTGTTGACTCAAAAAGCTGACTCAAAATGGCAGCACTAAAATAAATGAGTCTAAAATCAGTAGCACAGATAAAAGAGAAATTTAAAAAATTAATTAATTAAAAAAAAGACAAATTTGCAATTAATTCGATTTGGTCCAACCTACTCTCAAACCTTTCTATCTGATCCAATTCAAAGCTTAACCCATTATCGCCCTGTGGCAAGTACAACAACCACTTCAAAAACTCTGCTCGCAGTCGCTTTTTTCAAGAAACCGTGGCATGGGAGTTTAGTTAGTAGCTACTAAACTCACTTTGTGCTCCTAGTTTCTGTCCAGAGTGTGTGGAAGGAGGGATTCTTTCATTTGTGGTCGCTATACTTGCCACTGTCGTTTCACGCAAGTTATAGTTCGAATTTCATCACCTCCAAGAATTTTTTATTCTCCTGACTTTTCTCGATGTTTGAACGATTGAAATTATTTATTACCCGGTGTTCGGTCAAACACGCACTTGGACAATTCATTTTCAGTGGTTCATTGATGGTGCTTTGTCTCCTGTATTTTTTCAAGTTTTTAATACTTCATAAAAATTCAGATAAATTTTGTCTCTCAGTTTTTAAAGTTTAATTAACTTATTTTATTATGTTTTAGTGTTACTACATTTAATTTGATTAATGAACTATTCAATTTTACCGGTTTATATTTACAAATATTATTTTTGTTAATTTATCATTCATCTTCTCATGCAGACAGCCTTTGCCATTGCATGTAAAACTTTGATTCTTTTTTAAATAAACTTTTTTTTATATAATAAAAATATGTCATAACAGTAGTAATCATTATTATTATTATTGTTTTTCTGAAACCTACATCACACCAGACCACATCTCACGATTTCTGAATAATTATTATTATTATTAATTAATAGTTTATTATTTAAAAAAACATAAAGTAGAGGATGTATTGGCAAAAACGTGTAATCAAGTAAAGTAAGCCAAGAGGACATAAGTGGTAAAAAATTCATACTTTGTGATTCTGGAGAAATTATCTGAGCCAAGACTCTTATTACTTGTTGTACAACTTCATCCGAGTGATCAGACAACACTTGCAAAAGTCTAGGAAATATCGCATCCACTTGACTGAGCATCTTAAAAAATAAATAAAATGAGAAGTTTATATAATTAGTTTTTATAATTAAATTCAATTTAATTAAGTACCTTCTTAGGCATACAACATTGAAGATAATATATCCATTTCAATGACGCTACCTTCGTCTGTACGTGCGTATGTAACAGTTGTTTTTTTAAAATGCTAAGAAGTGAAGGAAGATCCAACTCATTCTGAAAAAATTGAATAATTTTAATCACCTCTATAATATGATTCTTAATCTTATCGATTCTGCCGTATTTCAAGTAGTTAACAAATAAATTTCAAATTAAACTTTGTTATCTTAACTTTGCTGAAAGTTTTGTAGCCCTTCGTATTCTGGATTTCGGTCAGATTGTTTCAGCATTTATTCTATTTTATATTAATCTGTCTAGCAAACTGAATTTCAATCGAATTAATGAAAAAGGACCTACCACGACCTCAAGTTGCTCTTCGGACTTTTGATCGCTTGACCCTGGTTGGATTGGTTTAATAAGTTCCATCAAACTCGTATTTACTAATGTCGCTATGTCTTTTATCTCTGGTGAAAAAATTAAAATAACAATTAAAACTCAAAAGCACAAGATGAAAAAGAATCATTATAACAGAGTTAAAATTACTTTTTTTGTTGTCCCCTTCGTAAGCAAGACAGGGTAGTATGGCTGTAAGAATTCCAGATGTATAAGCTAACATCTCCTCTCCAGAAAGTTGGATAAAGTCATTAATCCAAGTAAGTGCTGTAATCTAGATTAAAATTTAATTATAATTAAAATTAGCTTAATATCGAAATAAATGAACATAATTAAAAAAGCAGAGTTTGAATACGCATATTGGACTGAAAAATTATATGTGCAATGTTATGAAATGAGGGTAAAAATTAATTATTTTCCTATTAAAACCTGATCTTCACACTAGCATATTAATCATGGATATGTAACCCAACCCATCCCTAACCCCTAACCCTAATTCTTCCCTAACTCCAGCCTTATTTAACCTAACCTAACTTAAAAAAATTGTTAAAAATGAAAATAAGCACAGAAAAAATGGTCTCGCTTACTTGTAAAGTTTCATCAGCAGATTGAGAATGTGTAATAAGTACATTGATCATTTTTGTGAAATCCACTTGCGTCGGGTCTTTATTTATGCTCCTAAGGAATTCTGACAGTACATTTTCACACCTAAAATGAAATCAACCATTCCTATAATAAAAACAAACATGTTGGTCAAAAAATGAATTAATTAAAAATGAACGAATTAATTATTCATTTTTCTAATTATTTTTGACCATAATACTATTGTACCAATTTACATTTATTTACCAATACTTAGAAAAAAAAAATTGTGCATCTCTTTCTGTACAGTTGGTAAAAACAAAAATAATATAATTAATTTAAAAAAAATAATAATTTCACATGAAAAACACTGTGGCATGTGAAAACCGAGTTTTTTTATTTTCAATTTTTGTACAATGCCTTCATGTTTTTGTATATTAGCCAGAGTACTAAAAAATTAACAGATACTTTTTTTTTTTGGGGGGGGGGTTAGAAATTCTAGGGGCAACAGTGGGAATCAAACTCACGATTACGGGATATATGAGCAGACAGTCTGACACGCTAACCCCACTCGGCTATTATGGTCCCCATAATTTTTTAAATTTAAATTTTAATTTTTTTTAAGTCTATTGTTCAGATTTTTATTTATTTTATACACTGGGTTTATATTTTTACCGAATACATAATTATGAAATTGGGCAATTAAATCTCATGGATAAACATGAAAGAAAAGAAAAATTAGTTAAAACACGCAGAGGGCCGGTGATGACCTCAGCTATTTGTCAGTCATTGCTCATTGTGTTAATATTTTTTTGGTAACAGTACATCTAAAGTGGAGTAAAATGGCTACATCTAATGTGAGTAGAATTTTGTTTTATCTCAATCTGCTCAAAAGTTACAATTTTCTAGTGTTTATTTAAGAAAGCGCATTTCTTTACATAAAGCACCGAATTTACTTTCAGATTAGTCCAATTTTGTTCTACGAATTGCCAGTCTACTTACAAAATAATTGAACAAACATTATGAAATTTGGGAAATGGTAATTTTGGATCAAGTTCTTTAAAACATAGCTCACTTACATTACATTTTTAAAAGTGTTAAACCAGCTAAACCCATCTATACTTTATGAGCTTTCCAACAGTCTATTCAAAATGTATCCTGGGAATTAAATGAATAACCCAAGAGTTGATCGGGCATCTAAATTGATAATGGTTGGTAAAGATACATCTTCCAGTAAAAAATGACTAACTAATGACAAATCCGTTCACAACGTTGAGATAATTTGAATAGGCACATACATAATCAAGTCAATGCAATATCGTTGGTACAGAGCACAGCAGTCCCAAAGGTCTCAACAAGCAACGATGCTTCTCACACTGCTAATTATTAATTAATTACATGCCCCCTCATACTCTCATCCAAATTTTTTTTTAACACGAGTTGACAACTTGTGTTGATCATAGATATGAAGGTTAGATTTTACTACTATTTTAAATATTAAAAGGAAATCAAAATAACAATCTTGAATAGGGAGGGCAAGCATTACTATAAATAAATGTGTGGTAATTAGTGACCGTTAATCGATAATTATTCAGAAATCGTGAGATGCGGTCTGGTGTGATGTAGGTTTCAGAAAAACATTTTCTTTATCGTGCCAACATTTCGATCTTTATTGAGATCATTTTCAGGGCTCAAAGTGTTTGTCTTCTGTGTAATTGTGCCATTCTTGCGTGTCGTGTTGAGAGTGCCAGTGAGATTTTGCTGTTTAGAAGACAAACACTTTGAGCCCTGAAGATGATCTCAATAAAGATCGAAATGTTGGCACGGTAAAGAAAATGTTTTTCTGAAACCTACATCACACCAGACCGCATCTCACGATTTCTGAATAACTATAAATAAACATAAATTTTAAAAGGTATTGGTCGAGATAAAAAAGTCAGTGTCACGAGCGGGATTCGAACTCACGACCTTTGGCTAAATATGCTACTTCTCTACCACGTAAGCTATTGTGACTTCGATCCACTTGGACACCAACCTCCCAATGTCAACCCCACCTTTCGAATTTTCCCTCCTTTTTGCGGTATTTCAAAAGATTAATTAATTGAAAGCAGTTATTTGATCAATTGGACCATAAAATCTAATGAATTTAATAAATTTGAAAGATATTCCATTGGGATGATGTGTTGAAGTCGGCAATTAGCGAATTTGAAGTTTGATTTTCTCCGATCATTCTAGTCAGTAGGTAATATACATTTAAAAGAGACTAAACTGACAAAAGAACACACAGATCAACCATTGAATAAGTCGAAATACTGAAATGTGCCTGACAGACAAAACTAGAGAGATAGGCAGGCCAGTAAGATCAGAAAAAATCAAACTACTGAAATATTATCGCTTTATCACCAATTTTACTTAAGAAAAAAATTGTGTATGAAAAGAACTGATTAATAAAAATAAAAAAATATTCTTTTGACGAAAGAGTTTTTTTTTTCACATATTGAATATAACATAAATAAAAATACTTATACTTACATGCTTTTTACTTGTGGGTCGTAAAGCATTGTAAATAAGCCATCCAGAATTTCAGGTAAAAATAAAATTAATTGAATATCTGGTACAGCGTCCAGAACTGTTACCCATGAGATAATGTATTGACGGGCGAATGTGTTTTTCGAGTACAGTCGTTCTCTTAACAACGGCATAAATCCAACAAGATCAAATGTAGCATTTTCCGTAACAATATCCTGTAACGAGATGTAACGATACATAAAACAACACAAAAAAGCTAAGGAAAAGTTTCAGTTTTGAGACTGAATTTATTTGACAAGAAATTTTCATACAATTATTATTAGTTTTATTGTGAGTTTTAAGAATTATCATAAAAAACCTTAATAAACACAAAATTGAAGAAAATATACTTGTAGCAAATGTTTTTTTATCAGATCTAATTTTAAACAATAGTGTGAAAAAATTTATAATCAGTCTTATTTTTCTATAGGTAAATTATAGCAACTATTTTTTTTAAACATTGTTGTTTCCTCTCAGAAAAATGTCAGAATTGTTTTCTGTTTTATAACTTGGTCATATGAAAATTTAGCAAAACCATCTATGTATTTTAGACAAACCTTCATAAGCCTATCAAGCATTTCTGACCCATTCTTTAGAACCTGATCCGTTTCGGTTACCAATTTGCTAAGGCCAGTAAAAATATCAGCAAAATATGGCAACACGGCACCTCTTGCTACTTTAACGACATTATACAATGCTTCACAAGCAAAGTAACGTATCCGAGAGTCATTATCGCTGAATACTGAGAGTATAGGTGTAATGAGCGCTTCCGTATATTCCGCAGAATCCTGAAAAAAAAATGTTCTTCATTGAATAATAAAGTTTTGTTAATTATGTAGCTCTTATAAACAATCAGTACAATTGCAACACAAAACTAATATGACAGCACAAGAATAGTGCCACACTTTATGCACTGAAGATGACCCTTATAAAAGTCGAACGGCAAAAAAATGAAAAAGGTGTTTTTCTAAACGACCTCATTCTTGAGGGCTCCTCACGACTTCAACAAATTATGAAACAACAGGTCACTAAGAAACACATAATCAGTACAACTTATCACTTTTTTTAAAGCTATATTTTTTCACTTTATTTGGCTGTAGATAATCTAATTTGTATCCAGTAGCAAATTAATTGTCTAGAAGATTCTTGTCCTACTACAATACATACCAAGAGGTGAGGAAACACATTTGTAAATATTGATTAAATACGTACATTAAATTTTACGGTGATCATTAGCATTTTCGACTAATTTCAAATTTTATCTTAAGTACTTTATAATGGGTTTTTTATGGCATCATTATTTGTTTAAGCTGTGGTAGTTATTAATTTAACACGGTGCTGATTCAAGAAGAAAAATTCATGTAATATTTTATCAATATTTTCAACATACAGCACAATTGAAAAATTTTGATTTCTGAACAAGAATTGAACAAATAGTCTTTCTATATCTTCTCTGAAATGATACACGCTTAATTGATAAACAATATAAGATTTTAAAAAATTGTCTCTATTTTAAACTATTTGAGGTCAAATTTGATTTTTTTTTGTTTAAAATTTGTGCCACAAATATTCTTATTTTCAGTTTAGACTTTGTTCTCTTTAGATATTACGATGGTCTTATATGTATATCTGGTTTGATATCCTCAACTTTATAGAGAAGTTCAACTGGCCACCCTTTTTCGTTTTGTTAAATGTATTTTTTTTTTTTTTTCCGATTTGAATGATGTCATACATAAAATAATTATCTGGTCTTATTTTAAATTGAAAAACTTTTATGATTTACAAATTGACTTGTACGTTATTTTCTTAAAATTGCTCCAAAACCTTCTGTAATAATATTTAAATGTAAAAATATGATCCTGATGAAAGGAATCTCTTGCTGGAGAGATACCATAACTGGAGAAATGGTGGCTGTTGTCTGAGTACCCAGACACATAGGTCTGGAGAGTAAAAAAAAAGGCATAAGGTCGTCCCAACCTTAACCAATGTGATCTGGCCCTTGGATGCTAAAAAATGCATTAAAAAACATAATTAAAATAAAGTGGCGTCGTCAGTTGGCTGGGTAGCAGAGAAGTTCTCACTTGTAAAGAGCATTGTCGATAGGTGGCCCTCGGAGGATCTGACTCGTAGCAGGGTCATCCTTTCTTTTCAGTCAAAGCCCGTGTATGTGTTCGGCATGTAGAGAAAAGTTGTTTGATGTGCCCCACCAAATTGAAGGGTTGCATTCCTTGGCTCAATATATAGAGCATGCAGGAATACCCCCGATAAGAGAATTGTACTTTGAGCACAGCTGCGGGTATCTGGTCATCAGTTTTGATGGTTCACCTCATCAACCCTCAATGTAGGTTAGTTATATATATATATATATATATAGTGGTAAAAAAGGTGATTGGTGAATATCGAGTAGCCCATCACACTGAGTGCATGGTATTTAATAGGAAAGAATGTATTTAAGAGCGAATGAGAGCATCAATGAGTTTGGATTTAGGAACTGGATGCGTTGGGTGTTGAACTGACCTAGCTGTTAACAGCAACTGGAGCCCTACCTCGGTGGCTGAATGAATAAGGCCTGTCTGACTCTAGATTGCCACCTCCCGAGCTGCTGGATAATTCTTGAAGCCTGCTGGTAATTTTTGTAAATCACAAAAGCTGGAATTGCTGGTGTACTGTGAGAAGTGATAGGCTCAACTATGCACATGTGTGCATATTTGAGCTTACATCAATCCAAAATCCTAATCCAAGCATGTCGTAGCATCACATGGGCAATGCATACTTGACACAAAACCACGATGGAAACTCCTCTTGATCTCTCACCCTTCGATTCTGCCAACAGACTCAAAGAAATAAAATCAGATCTTGGGCGAAGATATCTGATTAGAATTAAAATAAATGAAATAGCTGTAACAGTACTTGACAAAATGGGAGGAAAACTCAACTTTGCCAGACCCTTTCAAGTGTCATAGATAACAGCGATCTTTGGAAGAAAGGCAACCCTAAGTTTCAGGGAAGGGCCCTGATATGGTACAATGATGGATATAAGATTGAACAAGGAGTAAATGTATTCATAAAAGGGTCTAATTACACCCTAGCAAAACCCCTTGGACTAATCCCAACAATCTTCCAAGATAAGGTCCATGCTACTCAACAGTTGAAAAAAGAAAAATAAGAAAGGTTAACAAATTAACATACTTTTTGATAGTCAGGCAGTTATAAAGGCACTAGTCTGGGAATGCCTAAATTACCTAATGAAAACACAACAAGGTTATCTTGTTCTGGGATATGATGGTATAGAAGGAAATGAAGAGGCTGACCAATTAGCCAAAAAAGGGACAGCCCTCTACTCTAACCCATGGGACCGGAATCACAACATGCAATGGAATATGTTCAAAGTTGGAACTGGAAAAGACAAAGAAAAAACAAGCACTGGATAAACACACCAGGTTTGAAGCAAGCTAATAGATTTATAAATTTCTCAAAAAGAAGGTAAAGATGTTCCTCTCTCTGGGCTGGTAAGATTTGAGCCCATTGCCCTTTGAACCAACTGAAGATGATGGGCTAAGCAGAGACTGACATATGCCGGTTGTCAAGGGAACCCACAGGCATCAACAAATATCCTTTGTAAGGCACTAGCCTGGACACAGTATAGCTACTTCATTAAGGTAATTCTCACACCAAAAGAATTGTGTAAAGAGGCCCTAAGGAAAGAAGTTAGTTTTGAAGGGGTCAATAGTCTAATAAGTCGCAGTGAACTCCAAATACAATAACAATCAGCACAAGTTAAGAAATGTGTTATTATTACTAATATAATAAGTTGCATAGCAAGTTGAATGTATTTTCTCATTCAGCATTTTATTTATGAACTAAGAGAAAAAAATTCTGTATCCATTTATAAATTGTAATCTTTTGTTCTCATGAGATGTCAAACATTAAAAATATTTACAATCACTCCAATGTTTGGCTAAAACATTTAATCTTCAGAATATGATAAACCTGAGTTGTAATTTTTTTATCTTTTACCAAGGATTTTTAAATGTTTTGCTTTCTTTTCATATCAAAAGATTAAAACAAAATGAATCATTGGAAAATAATGTGCGGTGATTTTTTATATTTTTGATAGAATTAACAACCAACAAAAATGTGAGATTTCTTCCTGTGGTGTGCGGGGTGATAAATATGCTTGATAGTTACCTATCATGTTGATCTGCCCATCTTCAGTCTTTCACCCACTCAGAAATCACCTGGACAGTGAAGATGGCAAAATGCCAAAATGTGTCTGAACTAGCAATCAGCAAGAGTGGGCAGACAAAGAATATAAGTAACTATTAAACAATAACCATCTAAATACTTGACTTTAGGAGACCATGGTGGCCTATGGTCCAACTCTACACTACGTGTTCTGGGTTCGAATCCCAGCAGAGCCCATGGAATTTTAACTGTGAATAAAATTTGTATTACAAAGAGATCTGACCACTCGTCTACGACACCCAATGGGTAGTTATTAAGCCATCCTTTATGACAGGAATTACTTTATTTTTTACTTGGCTTTTGAATCATCCATTTGTTCTAGATATTTTGAAATTTGTACCAAATGGACCCTTAGATCCAACAGATTTTAAGCTCTATTAGCTACGTAATAAATACAATCACTCTCAATGCTCACTAGGGGATTCAAAAATGTCAATACTTTATACAATAAACAACCATCAAAGCTGAGGAACCAGATACTCACAGCTGTGCTCAAGTACAATTCTCATATCGAGTGATATTCTGCACATTCTCTACATTGAGCCAAAGAATGCAACCCTTCAATTCGGCGGTGGGACACATAAAAAACCTTTCCCTACATGCTGAACACATACACGGGCTTTGACTGAAAATTAAGTGTCTATGTGTCCACCTCCTCGCATGGCCTATGAGCCGGGTGAGGATGACCCTTTTACGGGTTAGATCCTCCAAGGGCCACCTATTGACAAAGTTCTTTATATGCGAGGCTTCTCTGCTGTCCCAGCCAACTGATGCCACTTACTTTTCATTAGGTTGGGACAACCAGGCCTTACCCGCTTCTTGTGCCTTTTTCTTTACCCTCCAGACCTATGTCTGGGTAATCAGACAACAACCACCGTTTGATCAGAATGACATTTTTGTATTTAAATTTTTATTTATGAAAGTTTTGGGGCAATTTTATGAAAATAACTTTCAAGTCGATTTGTAAATCATAAAAGTTTTTCAATTTAAAAGAATACCACATAATTCTGTTATGTATAACATCATTAAATTTAAAAAAAAAAATGCATATAACAAAATGAAAAAGGTGGCCAGATTGAACTTCAACTCAACCTGTATTGACCGCACGTAAATCGGGTGAGGATGACCCTTCTTTGATGAGTCAGATCCTCCGAGGGCCATCCATCGACAGTGCTCTTGATACGCGAGAGCTTCTCTGTCGACCTGGACCACTCACATTGCCGTTTTTTTTTTTTAATCATGTTTTTTTATTGCATTTTTGCATCACAGGATGGGATCACAGTGGTTAAGTTAAGAAGTTGGTACTTCCCAACCTTAGCCGCCTGATCTGCCTTTTTGTTGCTCTACTGATCACGGAAGATGGAGAACCTGTCGCGGAAACTAGTCTTTGTTATCTTTGCCATTTGTTTTATGCCTCGTTACAAATTATATATGTGTTTATTCTGATGTGTACACCTTAGTCAATGTGTATTTTGTTTCTTTTGCGTGCATACTTATGTAATAATAAACTAATAAAATGGTTCTTATTTTCAATCACCTTTCCTAGAGCGACACCGACAGCAGCCAGACCTATCAGTCCTCCCTTCCGGTAGTTTATGTTCTGCGAAGTGGTGAATTCCGTTCCCAAAACTTTAAGAACCTTACGGATTTGGACGGTGTTGTTGACGGCTACAAATTCTTTCACCATCCTGGAGAAAAAAGACAACAAATAAAAAACCACTGAAAATTTAAAAAAAAAATAAATAAATAAATATAGACTTTTCAATTTCTGTCGCTGCTGCTTTCCTCTTGTCATACTGCTTGTCGATCAACGCCCTGACGCATGCAACACTCAGTGGAGCGTGATCGTTTGTTCCCCGGTCTGTCATATCCGTTTAACAACTTTTATTAACCATTTATTGTAATTAATAATTTATAATTATAAGAATTAATAGTTTGCCCAATCGATTCGTCAATTCCAAGGCTGGGGGAGAAAAAAGTATCACCGCTTTTTCGACCGCGTACAAACAAATATTTGAGTCAAATAGTGAAATCACAATACTTTAAACCTACAGCACTGTTATCAGAAGCGATTATGACGAACGATCGATTCGTTCGTTCATGAACGAAATGAATCGGTCATCACTGTCTCAAAAACTTCATTGAACATATAAATACGATGCAATATAATTTTTTACACAAAAATTGTAGTACAAAGAACACTTGAGAAAAAATCTGTATAAGTGCTACCATCACAAAGTGAAAATTTCAGAATCAAGTCGAAGGTGAACAGGGGGTTAGACAATTTATATATTCACACATAAATATTTTACTTGATACATTAAATTTTAACATGTATGCAATTTAATTCTCGCTAAAGCAACAAAATTCTCACAGATATAGCTAAAGCTTTTGACACTGTTAATTACAGAATATTGCTGTCAAAACTTCACTCATAGATTTGTTGTGTACAACAATACAAATTGAACCATCATTTACAAAAAGTTAATCAACATACTCAAACCACCTTCATTATTTCTGTATACTTCACTCGTACGGCGTGACTGGTAGTTTAGTGTCCTGGATTGAAAATTATCTGTTGCAAGGAAGCTAATTATAAAAATAGGATTGTATCGTTCAGTTTTGTTCACTATTTATTCTGGGATCCCTCAAGGTTTGTACTTGGATCCACTGCTATTCCATTCTTTAATGATGTTGCTATCTTTCATATGTTAATGTTTTTATGCTGGAGGATGATTTAAATATCTATCTATAAAATTAATAGCATATATGATGCAATGGTATTCCAAGAAAATTTACAAAAGTTTCGTTCGTTGTATCTGAACATTGATAAGTGTAAAATTACATGCACTAGGTCCTCAAAAAATTCATAACATTCTTTAGAAAATACACAGCTAGCAATGATCCATTCAGTTAAGAACTTGGGAGTTATATTCAATCAACGCTCTCATTTAAATATCATATTGATTATATCACTGCAAAATTTTGTAAATTATTGAGCTTTATAAAACTAAAAAATTTGACAACATACAATCTTTAAAGGTAGGCCTCATCTTGAATTTTGTACTCCCATTTGGTCTCCTCATTATGCAATATTAATACAATTGAAAAAAATCCAGCATAAATTTTTTTGAGGCTGCTCGAAGCCCCCGATAGCAGAGCCTATTGAGCTTTTCTCTGCAGGCATGTTTTTCAGGCTGAAGTATAGGCCGTGCAACCATAAAACAAGGTCAAGCATATGAAAATGGCCACTGCAAACAAAACTGAACAAATCATCATTTGTTACTTTAACACATATTGGGTTTTTGTAGATTAATTAATTATATACAAACATATTGAAAATAAATTATTAATTCAAAATAAAAACGTAAATATATTTTTCACATATTTAATAACATAGAGTGGTAAAAGCTGCAGGACTGTATGAACAATTTTAAATATGCGACCAAATAAGGAATTAACACATATTTGATTCAAATTTCGGCCTCATATTCAATTTAATTTTTATATAAAATATTAACGTTTAAGTAATTAAAAAATTATTTCATCACATGGTTCAGTTGAACGGTTTATTTTTGTAACATTTCTTGATGGATGCTAAGCGAGTTTAATCTCACAATAAACGTCGTTTATAAACATATTTATATAAATTGGTTAGGGATGGTTAATTTATTTATATAAATTATTATTTTTATTTTTTAAGAGTTAAGCAGGGGCCAGCGACCGGCACCGTCCCCAGTTCAAAAAATTTTGTCCCTCCAGCAAGAAGCGACTTGGTGCAATATGATTACAATTAAGTCGAACGTTAGAACGGTAGAAATTTCTATCAGTTTGAATTGACAGGAAGTGGTAGGACAAATGGACGAATTTTTGAAACGCCCGCTGGAAAATCCCCATCGAGTAGATGCATTTCTTGCCTTCTTCAGTCAAATAACAAAATTAGAACCGAAAAAGAGAAGAATATCAGTGGGAAAAAAAGAATTTTGTAAATATCCTAAGTACAAAATGGGAATTTTTTATTGTGTTCATGTTTTTGGCCGCTAGAAAGCGCTGCGTTTCAAACGCTCCTTTATTCCAGCCAGCTATGAGTTCCAGTCGTTTTCTTTAAATATTTACACAATTTATTACATTAATGAATATTCATTTTCTTAAAATTTGTATTGATGGTTTTACAATCGTACAAAGAAACAGTGAAACAGCGGCTTAATGATGAATGCTGGAAATATTTTCCAAATCTGAACGTACAAATAAAATAATAGTAATAGTAATAAATAGTAATAGTAATAAAATAATAGTAAAAGCTATCAAAGTTTATCAAAAACCAAATATTTTTCAAGAAAACAAGGGCATAATTTTTTTCTTTCTTCAAACTAATATGAAATTTCGTTTTAGCACCTAAATATAATTTTTGTTCGAATTTATTGATTTTTTGACCCCTAAAATTTTTCAAATTTTTGAGAAGTCATCAGAATACGTGATTGAAACGGCTATAATTCAAAAATGGCTACAAGGATTTTAACGTCAAACAGACCATTTGAAAGAAGAGGTCCGTAGCTTTTTAACGACTTCTATACCATTAAAATATATAAAATATTTCTATAAAAGAATTCATAAAACAGCAAAATTATTTATCAGAAATTACCTCATTTTTTTAAAATGGAAATAACAGTCTGATTTTAATGTTTGTACAATTATAAAATGCACGTGACAATTTCTTTAAAACGAATTATCAATCATGAAAATCGGTCCTCTAGCTTTTGAGAAAAATGATGTTAGAGCTTGCACTAGTGATGTCAGTCACGCAGAAAAACGACGAAATTATCAGTCAAAATATTAATTTACACTGATTTACGAAAGTCTGTATCTAAGGGTTTTATAACGCTAGAATCACGACAATGCGATCAAATCTAAGTTTTGGCCATTTTCTCACCTACTTTGATTACAGGATGTTTCTTAAAATATGCAAAAAAAAGCAGTATTTCGTTGATTTATATTTTTAAATCATATCAAACTAGAATTTTCTGCGTAGTAGAACATATTGGTTTTTATGTTAACCAACAATGAAATTATTACACTAAAAATAATATTTTTTCGATCTCTCAGTAACGATTTATGCTCATTTAATTAAATTAAATTTATGCTTATAATTTTTACTAATATTTTAATTTATACAATAAATTAATTCATTTAACGAGAATTATATTTGGTCCCTCCTATTTCAAAAATAATGGATTCGAATTATGTTGAAATAACCTCGTTTTTTTCTGTTTTTTAAATGTAAATAATAGACCTATTTTAATGTTGGATAAATTATAAAATGCACTTGACAATTTCTTTAAAACGAATTATCAACCATGAAAATCAGTCCGCCAGCTTTTGAAAAAATCGTTGTTAAAGCGTATAGTAGGAATCAAACAGAAAAGTCGTCGAGATTATAAAAAATTAATTTACACGAAAATCGGTATCCAAAAGTTTTACGACAATGGGATCAAAACCAAGTTGTGACCATTTTCTGACCGACTTTGCTTATAGGATGTTTATTAAAATATGCAAAAAAAGCAGTATTCTGTTTATTTATCTTTTTAAATCATACCAAATTAGAATATTCTTATTATTATAGAAATTATTACACAAAAACCCTGATTAATTAAGAATTCCCTTAAGTCTATTAGTGAGTAAATTTAATTAGATGAGCATAAATATTTATGTAGTTGATTTGAGCAAAGGAGAAAAAAAGTTGAGAGTAACAAGCAAGTAGAAAGGCAAAAGAAAAATATTAAAAAACAGAAAATTTCATCTTCCAATTTTTTTTTGCGAAACCAGGGCCTAATCACAAGAAATGTCCGTAATACGTGTCCTTTATTTTGGAGTGTAGAATCACCAAAACAAGTTTGGTCCAAATCAGTGACCCATCAAGTAGGTCGTCCCCTTGTTAGGTTTTTGAAGTTAGAAGGGATAATTTATTTTTACGAAACTATAACTCTCAAAATATATATACTCGAGATTAAACTCGAAAATTGCTTGTTTTAAATTTTTTATTGTCCTATAAAAGTTTTTTGAGGGGTTGTTTAAGGTTGATTCGCGGTGATTCATTAGAAAAATTTTCGCTTGATCTGACTTTATTTAATTGAATTATATTCTATTTTTATGAGCAGTGGATCCTTTGAAAAACAGGAAACGAGAGTTTAAAAAGAAAATTGAGAAATTCATGTTTTTGTTAAAGATGGTGATGTCACAGTGACGGACGAAACTTTGTGACGAGGTGCGTCACCATCACTGACGACGGTCACTTGAGACTTTGACTCGGCCTCGATCCCTTTGTTGATAAGTGGTTGTCGTATTTGCAATATCCAAACATGTTGGATTTGGACTGTTTTATTTAAAGCCGGATTTTATCAGGAGCTCAATTCACCGTCTATGTGTAGGATTTTAATGTTGAAATGTAACCATCTCCTCCGAAGCTGATCGTGAGTATGAAAATTCATTTCCGAGCTGGCTTTTTTTTGTGTTTTTTTCCCCCCCGAGGAACCTCGGCGTCGGCTTTTTGTCCGGTTGGATCGAGTCGGGTCGAATACGACGTTGGGCCGATTGAAATTGACGTTTTAAAGGGTTTTAAGGGTCGTAACTCGGGTTTCCGGCTTCTCTCCAACGGCACGTCTCGTTTGTCGTACGTACGTTGTTGGTTGTCATCGGCGGATTGAAGACCTGAGACCGGCCGCTTCGCCTTTTGTCTATCCGTCTGCACTGTCACAAACGAAACCCATTTTACGAAAGAAACGACTTTTTAAAAATAAAAAGATTAAAAATTCCAAAACTTTTCAACTTTGAGTGGGTCTTTTTAAAATCGTAACATTTTGTTTTTCATATGAGAAAAAAATTGTATTTAAAGAGTATTTACTATACAGGCCTTCCACAGAATCCTTTAGGGTTTAAATTATTCTTATTTGTTAGGGTATCAGTGCTTTTGTTACTGGTTTGACTGTGACACAATAAAATAGTAATTCCAGCCATAGGAGGGCTTAACTCTAACTACCAAATGGGTGTTGTGGAAGAGAGATCAAACCACTTAACAATACACTTGTCATAAATCAAAAACCGATGTGCTGTGCCAGGTTTCACACCCAGAATAGCTAGCATGGCAAATACGAGTCGGATAGCCTAGCCACTGGTCCACCGGGGTTAAACCACATTGCATTACATTTTTCATAGCATTATCAATTAAAAACCATTGGCTCACTGGGATCCGAACCCAGAACTGGTAGCATGACAAACACGAGTCGGATGGGCTAGCCACTGGTCCACTGCGGTCCCAAAGGTAAAGTAATTCCTGACATAGGATGGCTTAACATCCAACTACCTGTTGGGTATCATGGGAGAGGGGTTAAACCACTTTACATTACATTTTTCATAGCAATATCAATTAAAAAGTGGGGCTCTACTGGGATTTGAACCCAGAACCGCTAGTGTGGCAAATAGAAATCAGAGGGCCTAGCCACTGGTCCACCACGGTCCCAAAAGCATAGTAATTCTTGTCATATAGAAGGACGTAACGTCCAACTGTCCATTGTGTGTCATGGAAGAGGGGTTAAACCAGTTTACATTTTTCATAGCATTATCAATTAAAAAACGGGGCTCGCTGGAATTCAAACCTAGAGCTGGTAAGTAGCATATGAGTCGGATAGCCTAGCCACTGGTTGACTGCAGTCCCAAATACAAAGTGATTCCTGTCATATAGGAGGACTTAACGTCCAACTGTCCATTGAGTGTTGTGGAAGAGGGGTTAAACAACTTTACATTACATTTTCATAGCATTATCAATTAAAAAGGGGGCCTGCTGTGATTTGAACCTAGAACCGCTAGGTGGCAAATAGGCATCAGATGGCCTAGTCACTGGTCCGCCACGGTCCCAAAAGCAAAGTAATTCTTGTCATATAGAAGGACGTAACATCCAACTGTCCATTGTGTGTCATGGAAGAGGGGTTAAACCAGTTTACATTTTATATAGCATTATCAATTAAAAAAACTATGGGCTCGCTGGTATTCAAACCCAGAGCTGGTAGGTAGCATGGGAAATATGAGTCGGATAGCCTAGCCACTGGTTGACTGCAGTCCCAAATACAAAGTAATTCCTCTCATATAGGAGGACTTAACGTCCAACTGTCCATTGGGTGTTGTGGAGGAGGGGTTAAACCACTTTACATTACATTTTCATAGCATTATCAATTAAAAAGGGGGCCTGCTGTGATTTGAACCTAGAACCGCTTTTTGGGTGTCATGGGCAAGGGGGTTAACCACTAACATACATTTGTCATACTATTATCAATATAAAAGCCATGGACTTTGCCGGGATTTGAGCATGGCAAATTCGAGTAGGACACCTACTCGGCCACCGTGAAACAATATTTCTTACGATGTTAACTGTAAAGTGTCATTAGTTGAAATAGATCTCAGTATTCCTGAGAACGTCTTGAACTTTTTAAATAGCAAAGTTCTAGTTCTGTCAGTTCATGTTCTAATGCCAACTGCATATGCAGTGATTGATGAGTTCGGAAGTGCAGGGATGTGTTAAGTTAGCTACGGTTAAGTCGGTGTTATTTTTATTGAATCATTATTAAACTTGTTTAAAGATACCTTCCCAAGTCAATATCTTTAAGTTAACCAACTGGAATAACTTGCATCTACATGTATCTACAGTTTCTTTCTTAGCTTACTGCCTAAGAACAGTTCTTTTTTTTAGATAGAATCATCATCTGTGATGAAAAAATGATGTACCATCAGCTTAGGCATTAATATTAATGTTTTTCTCCTGAAAACGAATGTAGGACTTTTTTTCTAAACGTAACTATTTTCTCGATAGCCAAAGGTCGAGTTATGTGCAGCCTCCAGGTCAAAATCCCACAGGTGGGACCTACTGTAACCATTCAAAATTTGAAACTTTTAATCGTGTTCATTGAAAAGGCCTACCGTCCTTGATTATGCACTCACACCCTTACTGCAAAAATTACGAAGGACGAATTAATCGATAGTGGATGGGGAATTTTAGACCTGTTGCCTACAGATAACAACCTTTTCTGATATCTCAAGGCCTTAAGTAGAAATTTTTTAAAAATTGTCAAAGTAATCAGATCTGTCTTTTTATGACTATGGCAGGAAAAAAAGAAGGGATTTAATCAATTAATAAAATATTATTTACTATTTACCTTTTTACTTCACTGGGTCGTTTTATTGAACCACCATTTATTTAAATAAGATGTGCAATTATTAGTACTGTAATTTTTTTAAATTATGGCCTTTTATTGTAAATTGTATATTACCTTTTATTAATTAAGACATTCTCTATTAGATTAAATTATTGTATGCATTTTATATGTTTAATGATAGCTAGGTTATTTGCTTATTTTTTCTTTTTTTTAAGAGGTGCGGGTAAGGGGGATGGAGGTGTGATGCAGTCTGAGTGTGGACGCTACCTAAGTTCTGTGTCTGACTTATACATTGGGGACGAAGTGTCTGTACTCCTGGAGGAGATACGGGAGCTAGAGGGGCCCGGGCGGGGCCCAGATGAATTGCAAGACTTTGAAATCGCCGGCAGTCAGACAGGTGGCATAGATACTCCAGCGGATGCTACTACAGTTCATTCATGGGACTCGCACGCTCATTACAAACACCACTTACCAGGCTCATCCCCCACCCATTCCATATTTTCTGGTGTGGTGCTTTATTGTGATGACACTCATCTTAAAACATCTACAGGCATTATACGTTTACTATTGGTGGTAAGCTTCAACTTTTCGCTTTTACTTTCCTATTCAAATAACGTGAATAATCCAATAATCCTTACTTTATAATATTAATAATAAAATAATCCCTTTCAGATATCATCTGTGGCATGTTTGGCATGCCTTTGTTCCTCTGGCACAGTTACTGCTGGGCTATTTATGTTGCCATTGGTCACAAGATTAAGGCTAATGATGTTTAGTACTGTCTTCAGTGTTCTCATCACATTGCTCTTCCTGTTTTTAGACATATCACATGTTGTCTACCTCTTCCCTTTCAATTGGGGAAAATTTGTAAGTACAAATACAAAATATAAGTAATAATATAGTACCTTTTAAACTAAATTACTACTGAATTTATTTCCAGAATGCAGTAGTTTATTTGATTCTGAGCTTATTGTACATACTAAGCTCATCCCTGCTACTTCATCTGCTCAATATGTATGCAGAAACTTATCACTGGGTGCCAAAATGGACAAATCAGCAGCTTCTTGTTACAGGCGTAAGACATTTTTAACATTTCATGTTGATTTGATTACTGAATTAAAAATGAACCAAGATCTAGGGACCCGTTTTATACATTGGTGTGAATAATATCCTTAATTTGAGTGAATGTAATATGGAATACCAAGTACCACAAACACACCAGACTTATCGAACCAATTATGCTAATATAGGATAGTGAATGCATGATTTTTACTATGTATGAATGTATTGATGTGAAGGAAAGGAGGGTGTCGAGGTGAAAAACCGCATGGGTTTAGGTAGTACATAATTTTAGCGTAGTTGAAAGGATATCAGCAGTTTATCGAGAACTCTTGAGTCCCACCAAACTTAGGATTAGGTCTTAATAGTATGTATTTCAATCGACTTAGGACATTTTAACCACTTGAGGAAGGGTTAAACATGCAAGATAGAGAAAATAAAAATGTGAGATATACAAAACATGAGGAGCTGGTAGCTAGTCAGTGTGGAAAAAAACAAATAAAAAAACAAAGATCTAATAGTGACAATTTAGTAAACTATGTGAATATGAAGTTTTCAACATAGATATGTTTTTGAGCAGTATTAAAAACTATATTTTACCTGACCATTAGAAGTGTGGGTATGCACATGGATTAGTGTTAGTTATTTAATTAGTTATTGATTTATTATTAATTATTATTTCCAATTTTTCTTCTCAACTGTCTGCAAAATTTGGAAATTGGTGTTAGTGTTAGGGACTTGTTAGGTTAGGTAGAGTTAGAGTTAGGGGTGGGTTAGGTTAGGTAATGTTAGGGTTATTGTTAAAGTTAGAAAGTGGTTAGATTAGGTAGAGTTAAGAGACGGGTTAGTTTAGGTAGGGTTAGTGTAAGGGACTGGTTAGGTTAGGTAGAGTTAGTTAGGGGTGGGTTAGGTTAGGTGTTAGGGTTAGTGTTAGAAAGTGGTTAGATTAGGTAGAGTTAAGAGACGGGTTAGGTTAGGATAGGTATTGCTTAGGTTAGCGTTAGACACTGGTTAGATTAGGACGAGTTAGGTTTGTTAGTGTTAGGTAGGAATGGTTAGATTAGCACATTTGTAACCACTGTAATTATATTATACCATTTCATATTCCATACCAGATTGTTGCTAAAGTGAATTCATGTCATTTAAAATTCTATTTCTTGTTGCCACTGAAGTGAATTCACGTCATTTTAAATTCTATTCCTGGTTGTTGCTGAATAAATTCACTTAAAAAAAATATATAAAAAAAAAATTTAAAAAAAACCAAAAAAAAAAAAAAACCGATTGTTGCATCTAGAGTTGCAACAAACAAATTATTTGTACTATGTAGATTAACAAAGTTAACAGTTAGTAAAACATCTTATACATATGTGTATAGTACGTATACACATACACATATACATCCATATATAATGCCAAAAATTATATTGGCTGGAAAAATTAAGTCTCCCAATGACAACCTAACCTAATTTGAAAGAAACAAATGAAAAAATAAACACTGAGGCCCACGGCATGGTGACCTTTATTACGTTTTCTCCCTCAGGTGCTGGGATAGTAACACTTGTGTCATACACCGCCTCATAAATAAGCAGGAGTAACTGAAATCGAAGAGTAACCATCAGTTTGAAGTTCTGAAGCGGCTTAAAAATATTGTTGAACTAAATATATTAGGTTGTTTACAAGTTTAAAATAATTTACCTTAATAATGGAAAATAAAGAAATATAAGCTGATGAGATTTCCGAGATCGAATCCACAGAATTTATTGCTAGTATTGATAGTGAAACAGGAAGTGATATAGAAATGCAATTAACACAGAGAAATAAAATGCAGTTATATGACAGCAAATTTAGCAACAGTAACTATGATACAGATAGTCAGTGGAGAAAACATTATCCAAAAAGAAACTTAGAAATGTTAATGGGTAATTCATGTGTCAAGGTATATCCAAATAATCCACAACATATAAGAGAAATTATGTGACTAGTAATTGAAGATTATTTTATCTACCGGTCATAATTGAAACTAACAGATATTATGATCCGATGCAGCGCAAATACAAATAAAGTGCAGATTACTAGTCAGTGTCTTTTTTGAGGCAAGTACTGGATATGTCTGCAAATTTTAGCTGTATTGTAGAAAAGTAGATAATTTAGAAAAAATATTTCACTTCTTTTAAATAAATACGAAAACTTGCATTAGCTGAACACTTGAAGAAGAAAATTTGTATTTGTGGTATTGTAACAAGAATTTAGTTTTACGATTTTACAAAGGAACTGAATGATCTCAGTTTGAAAATCAGTGAATCTGTTTTTTTGGTGTAAAGAAGATATTCGAATGATATCCACCATATATAATGCCGATATCGTCAAGACTGGAAAAATAAATTAAAAAAAAAACTGGATAGCAAATTCGATAGCCTGAGTGCATAATGAAATACAATCAACAATGAAAGGTGTTGATCTTGCTGATTAATAACTTTCATATTAATCATTTTTATGAAATTCTATCAAATGGGCAAAGAGTTTTCATGTTTCTTTTCATTGTACACTTCATTTATTTTGTATCAAAAGCTTAATCCAAATATCAAAATAACTTTTTTGACATTTTCACTAACTCTGGCAGAAGAATGGTTTCTGTTATTGAACATCATGATTTGGAAAATATACCAAAGTACTAGCTCAACAGCAGTGGGCCGAGCACCTCACCATGATCCTCCTGACAGACTCTCAGGGACTTATTAAAACACCTGTTGGAAAGTTCCCTTATGCAAAATTCATTGTTTTTTATTTATCACACAAAACAGAAATATTAAATTTTATTTTTCATCTTTGTAATCCCAAAATACGTGTAATATAATGAAATAAAGCAAAATAATATCAAGTAGTCTATTATACCATATATCTACTTAGATCTACCTTAAAAGCAAGTATACATAATTGTGAAGGTCGTTTTATTGAATGATATTAAACTGGGAAGCCTCGGGGTCTCTGGTGGTTCATGGTGGCAGCCGGCAGGTTGACATCAATTCCAGGATGCAGTCAACACATGGCAGATGGCTCAGCCGAAGCAAAAAAAAACATAGTTTATGTAGGGTTAGTGTTAGGGACTGGTTAGGTTAGGTCAGGTTAGGTTTGTTAATGTTAAGGTTATATATTATGCAGGTGACCAAGACACGAGGGGTTAAATGCCTGGGTAGACTCGTACCCCACCCCGTAATGTTAAGGTTACAGTTAGTGCTATGGACTGGTGAGATTAGATAGGGGGTAAAGTTTGAGTTTGGGATGGATTAGGTTAAGTTGAGTTAAATTGGGTCAGGTTAGAAAAGGTAAGGGTAGTGTTTGGGACTGGTTAGATTAGGTAGGGTAAGAGTTTGGGATGGGTTAGGTTAGAATTAGCGTTTTGAGTTAGATTTAGGGTTTTAGGGTTAGTGTTAAGGACAGGTTAGGTTAGGTTAGGTTAGGGTTAATGACGGGTAAGATTAGGTTGTTTAAGTAGTAGAAGTTTAATAGTAGTTAGATTAGGGAGGGTTAAAGTTACAATTAGAGTTTGGGTGTTAATAAGGATTAGGGTTAATTTTAGAGTTAGTGTTAGGAACTCATTATGTTAGGTTAGGTAGGGTTAGGTGTAGTGTTAGTGTTAGGGACTGTTTAGATTAGGTTATTTAGTAGGTTAGAGTGTGGGACAGGTTAGGTTATGTAGAGTTGGGTTTAGTATTAGCGTTAGATTACATATACTTTTTTTAATGTGTAATACGATTTGCCAAGTTTATTTATGCAAGTTGTGAAAAATTGATCATATTGATGTAAAATATGATAAATAATGATGATGAGAAAATGAAAAAAAATAATATATCTTTTGTTGAATTTTTAACTGCACAAATAATAAGTGAATTATTGATACTATTACATAATCTTTAGATAATATTAGGTAGTTTAATAATTAGAGTTTGGAATGGGTTAGATTAGGGAGGGTTAAAGTTAGAGTTAGAGTTTGGGTGTTGATAAGGTTAGGATTAGTTTTAGAATTAGTGTAGGAAGTTGTTACATTAGGTTAGGTAGGGTTAAGTGTAGTGTTAGTGTTAGGGACTGTTTAGATTAGGTTATTTAGTAGTTTGAGTTAGAGTGTGGGGCAGGTTAGGTTTAGTATTAATGTTAGACTACATATACTTATCTTAATGTATTCAAATGGGAGAAAACATACGATTTGCCAAGTTTATTTATGCAAGTTGTGAAAAATTGATCATATTGATGTAAAATATGATAGATAACGATGGTGAGAAAATGAAAGAAAAAAGTAATGTATCTTTTGTTGAATATTTAACTTCACAAATAATAATGCGAATTATTGTTACTATTACATAATCTTTATAAAGTAGGCTTAGAAAAGACGATGACCTGAAGGTGCAAAGTCAATATAAAGTTAGATTCATCCATTTTTGTATTTTAACATTAATCATTAGGCATTAAAGTTTAAAAAATGATTCGTGCATTAAAATAATAACATTCACACAGAGATATTGTGTGGAAATTAATTGAATGAATACATTAAACATTTTGAAACTTAAAAAAGGCCATTTTTTATTATCATTATTATAATAATAAATGTATAACAATATATTGACTTTTTTGTTTTGTTTTCTTTCTTTAGATTTTGGGGTATGTTTGTGCATTGGAGTCTCTAATATTGTGCGTTGTTAGTAAATGTGAAGGAGGTCAATATACACCTGTAGAAGAAGAGCCTAGTAGTATGACCCTCCAAGAAAGACATGGTATTACCAGGGATTCACCCACTCCTACAACACTGCCATCAGGTAAAGATTTTGAAATATAATTAATAACGCGACAGGCAGCGATTTAATCATTCGTTCGATCAAAAATATTTCTGTTACTCCACAGACAGTGGAAATAGGGAAAAACGATCTGATTATTTTTAACCCTCAGCCAGCATGTTTATATACACCTTATACACACATACGGTTGCTCTTGTATGACAGGAATTACATTACTTTACTAGCATCATACATGCTCATATTAGTATACTGTACAATAATTTTATAAACAAAAAACTGGTTACATGTTTTGTTGAATATGTGTATCTTCTTTGGGACCTGGTAAAACTGTTATAGTTTTTCTTTTTTAGATTTATTGTTACGTCTTGATTTGATCTTTTTCTAGTAAAAACAAATCATCTATGATTTCATTAACAGACTGTTCGTACTGGTTGGGGTGATGATAAATTGAAAGTCAACTCCTAATACCACTTTTCATCTTCTTCATTCAATAATTATTAAAGAATGCTCCCAATAATTCTTCGATTCTCAATTGTTATTATTTTAATACTGTCAGTTCACTGTATATTGTAAAATATTTTTTTTCTCTTGGCTTCAAAAACTATAATTTGTGTATTATTTTGTGAATTTTAGATCGGTACTAGGGCTGCCGAGGCAGCTAGTAAAATTTGCACTGCGTTCTGTGATAAAACAGTAAGTGAGTGCACTTCCCAAAAGTGGTTTTGGTAGACTTATGTCTTGAATGATGAATTAAGAAGAGCTGTCGAATTTCATTTGAGTCCATCTGGCAGGAGCTCTCCAGAGTTAAACATATGCAATGAAACCATTCACTTTAGCTTACATCATTTTGGGAAGACGTGCAATGGGTCCCTCATAAATTGACCGATGGTAACAAACTTCAGCCGTCTTGTTTGATTTTTTGTCATATGCAATGAAATATAGATGCTGTTTAGTAACCGTTGTACCATCAGCTGCACCAAATGACCCTTGGCCCATTGATGTGAAAAGGTGATGCTTTGTGTTTGGTGGAGTGCAGTGTGCTTGCATATTGTTTCATCACCGAATGCAGTGCAAATTTACAAGCTGCCTCCCCTGCCCTAGTGTGGAACTAAAATTCATACAATAAGCACACTCTAATTATGGGTTTTGGAGCCATGAAAAAGAAAATATTTTATAATTTACAGTGAACTGTTCAAGACACTTTTTCTTAATGAACTGGCACACTTCCTTTTCTCCTTCAGATATAAAATATGCAATTAAAAATCTCCCCCCTCAAGAAAGCTCCACGATTTGACCTCATTATTTGAAAACTGAAAAAAAAAGCAACAGTTTTCAGAACCATCATTTATAATGCAACTCTCTGTACAACTGACTTCCCGATGCCATGGAAATTTTCCATGATTCACCCAATTCCCTAAACCCAACAAACCACACTTTCCAAAGTCCTACTGTCCCATCAGTTCACTGTCAATTCTTGGTAAACTACTTGAAAACTCTTTTATAAACAGATCCCATCATCGAATTATCTAATATAATCCATCAAATTTGGACAATGGAAATTTGGGCAACACCATTCTACTGTTCAACAGTGCCATCGCATTGTGGACAACATCGCATCTCCCTTGAGAAGAAAGAAGCTCAGGGAACTTTCATTGTCGAACAGGCTTTCAATCGAGTTTGCCACCTGGGTTTGTTCTGGAAACTCAAGGGCATCCTACCCTCTACATACTATTTCATCCTAGGTACTTTTCGGGGTTGGTCGTATCCTCACACTCTCCTTTGTACAGAATGGATGTGGGAGTCCCTAAGGGTAGCATCCTCAGCCTTCTACTATACTCAGTATATGCTGATATCTTTTTCCATCCTAACATACACTGATGACACTGCATTCTCTCCTCCAATTCCGACCTTGTCGTAGCTCACTGAACCCTCCAAACACACTATATTCGATTGAACAATAGTTAAAAAAATGGTGAATAAAACTAAACACCACAAAGTCCCACAACATAACCTTCACCCTCCCTTCTCATGTACTCCAATCTATTATTACCTCATTCCCTTCCTACTGAAAACATCATCTGGTATTTTGAGCTGATCTAGATAAACGACTGACCTGGAATCCCTGTTCTGATTACTTAAAAGACTACTAGGCAACAGATCTAAACTCTCTTTTGACAACAAATTACTCATATACAGCTAAATATTGCGTTCAACCGAACCTTCCATTCTTCGCAGAATCCAGACCCTACACACAGCATTGATTCAGATCGGCATGTTAAGAGTGCCTGAAGATGATCTCAATAAAGATTGATATGTTGGCACGATAAAGAAAATGTTTTTCAAAACCCTACATCACACCATACCGCAATCACAATCTCCAAATAATCACTAAACACCACACATTTCTACCCAGTTCTTTGTTTCTAACCACACCATCCATAATGACCTAAATGTACCCTTTTAAATGAAGTTGTAAAATCCATCTACACTAACCTCCAATCCCCACATACACCTACTTTCTTCCAGCTCTCTTCCAGCAGCAATACTCCTTGACATCTAAAAATGCAGTGGCCTCAAGACCGGCTCTCAGAGAGTGCGAGTAATTAAGTGAAGATTTCTAATTTAGGATTGCTCTCTCTGGATCCTACTTAATGTCTTTTCATTTTTGTTTTTCTGTTAATTTGGATTATCTGATTATCTATGCAACTCATTATGATTTTTCCAGATTGTTGTTCTATTACTCAATTTAGAAACAAAGTAGAGTAAAGAATAAATTTTACATTTAACAATTTGTTTGGTTGTAGTTAATCGGTACTGATGTTTTGTGACCTCTTTGTTCACAGATTTTGTATAGTACGTTTATGTGTATGCAAGTAAAATGTTTAAAACAAAAAGACAAATTATATTTATAATTAATTATATGGCATTTCTTTATAAAAATGTATTATTTAATTTAATTTTTAATTTTTTTTTTTTCCAGCCAACATGTGTTGAATTCGTGTAACCGTCAAAGTTCATGATGGATCTCACAAGATTTATTAAACTTCACAAAATTTTTTAAAAAAAGGTAGTTAGTGCATCCCATATGTTCTGTGAGTGATAATGACTCATTTAAACATAATTAAGCGAATATTATTTGAAGGCAAATTTAGAGCCGAACTCATAAACCACATGGGCCTTAACTGTGAAAGATGAAAGAAGAAAAGGAAACTTTTTTTTTATTGTCATACCTTTCATCTATGTATAACATTTTATTATTTTACCTAAATTTTGCATGCTTATTATCACACTCAGAACTAAAATTCAAAATTGTTAACAGTAAATTTGTTATAACACTCTTTAAGGCATAGAAAGTTATTTTATTTTTTTAAGAACTTGCTAGATGGGACTGGTTGAGAAACGTATTGAATTTTCTCTGATTTTTCACTTTGCCAAATTCTTTACTATCTCTTTCTCTTATCTACTTATTGTAGTTGTCAGGGTGATTAGAAATTTACGTAATACCTGACAAGTAGCAATAAATTTATTTTATGCGTTCTCGTGCCTTGAGAAATGCCTTTGAAAAATTGGCTTATAAAATGAGCTAAAATCGTCTCACTTTTCCGTTATCTTTATGCCCGTATCGAAACAACTGAAAATGCTTTATCTTTTCAAGGTATCTGTGATTAACTAGAATCATTAATGTTAAATCTAGTTTAAATTTCTAATCCTTGAAAGTAGTACTCACATCCTTGTAAAAAAAAAAAGTTAAATTTTAACAAATTAGCAAACTGACAATACAATTTATTTGCTGTCTCTCTCTCTGAAAGAAAAATTGATTTATTTAATGTGCTTTTCCTTTTATTTACCTGTTTAATTAACTGCATAGTGATGAAAAGGGAAAATGATAATTGATTGTGGGTATGAATTCAGCTCTTAAAAACAACTAAACTCTGTTGTACGTTGCTTTCTTTTTATATTTATAGCTTTTAACGGCACAGCAGTTTTTTTTTAATACATTAAATTTAAACCTTAAAAAAATACTACTAAAACCATTTACAAGAAGGTAATTACATTGAATATTAGTAACAAATATATAAAAGACCAAAAAAAAATTTAATATTTTATCAATAACATTGTTGTTAAATCACATCTTCCGATCACTCTTCTTGTTTGATATGCTTTCACTAGCCATGCCTAATTAGAACGGAGGTAATAGATATTGTAGATAACTACTATGATGAAAAGAGAACTACACCAATTGAGCCTGTGATTTTAGTCAGTATCCAGGTTAAGCTTTATTATAAGGACATTCATTCAAAAATCATTCATTTTGTGTTTATTTAGATATAATTTAAAAACAATCCATGCCTGGCATTTAGCTATCGTTTATTTCAATCTAGTCACAATTGAGTACAAAGCATTGCAGTATTGATTTAATTTATGTTAACCTTGAAAAGACTGTGGATTAGAAACACTTGCTAGATATTTATAATGAAAAAATATGACAAATTTTTAGATTAGCAGTATGTTGGATTTATAATATATATATGTATTTGTTACCGACATATACAAGAAAAAAAAGGTAATTCACAGATTACATTTGTAAAGATTAGCGAATGTACTTTTTAGTCGTGGGTCAAAAAAGTATCGGCACACTCCACTTTTTTCTCTTAAATCTCAAAATATAAAGGTTAATTGTTTGATAGTGAATTTATTTAAACACTAGCTTCCACTTATTAATTTTTAGTGGCAATAAATTGAACAAATTAAAAATAAGATAAAATTAGTAAATAGTATGTGTTCATTTGCAGAAGACCACCTGTTTTGTACAGGAGGTGGAAAAGATGATTAAAATAGAAATAAAAAAAGAAAGACTTAAATGAAAAAAAAAAAAAACATTGAGCAGCAAACCTATAAAATAAATATAAACATACCCCGATGTAAAGTTTCCAGGAGTATTTCTTTTTGTGGAGAGGAAAGCAAAGGAGCCAAGAAGAAGTGGAGGAGAAGACTAGGTTGTATGTAGGAAGGCTCACGTATTACTTTCAACAGTAATGACGTTTTGCTTTATGGATGCCCTTCTTTTTGATTTTACATTTGCACAGTTAAGATTGTGGTTGAAAGGCAGCCAACATAATGGCCGTCGTGGCAAAAATGCTATTTTTCATAATACAACAAGTTCTTCTATGGTTTCTTTCTGCTATAATAATGAAAACTGTTAATTTACATTCCTTACATGCATACTGAAAGTTGTGTTAGAAGTTGATGCAACTTCTGAAGCTATGCTAGAGGCAGAAATAAAGGGTGTTTTTGCCACTATTTTGTGAATTTGCCTTTTTTTTCTCTTTAAGAAAACTTTTTGGCCGCCCGGAACAGTGTTTAAGACCGAACCCATCTCATTGTGGTCGATTTGCAATTTCACGATAACTCAGTCCATAAAAACGTAATTTAAAGACAAATGTGCAAAGACTCACAATGCTCTTGTGTTTTAGCCATTATTATTGCTGCTGAATTGGCCAGAAAATAGCTTAGAATAATGATGTTCATCCTTGTTTGTGTTTATTTCAAATTGAGAGGGTTAAATTAAAGATTTTACATAGGATAATTCAAAATTAAGAAAGAAGCAATAGTTTTTTTACCCTTCAAATTCATACTCTTATCATTTTCATCTTATTTTTAATTTGTTCAATTAACCAAAAATTAATAGTTGGACGCTCTTATTTTTTTATTTTTTTTTTTTTTAAATAAATTTAGTATTGAACCATTAACCTTTATATTTTTGAGATTTAAGAAAAAAGTCGGCAGTGCCAATATTTTTTTGACCCACTGTATTATGAGGTTGAGAGGTGTCATAAATTAACAAAAACAATGACCATGACCTGACTTCATTTAACTCAATTTATGAACTGTAAACCAAAGTGTAAATACAATTAAAACAGAGATTATAATACGCAAAACTTAATATCTCTATGCACGTAGTGCAAATGTATTTCAAATAATTTTATACTGTATGCATTCCGATTTTATTTTTTAAAGTTGTAAATTTTGTTTTGTGATTGCAGTCTCTTTGTTGTAGCTTACGTTAAGTACGTTAAAAGTCAATATAAACTTGATTTTATGACAATACGAGAACCAAATGTTTTCTGATGATGGTGAAATTGTATAATTCTAGTCCCTAAAAAAAATCTAGTCAAATAATTTTGTATGTCTACCAAAATGATATTTGTGTTGATGATTTTATGATGTGTATATGAATGTAATCGAAGGGAAGCCAGGAAAATAAGGATATTTTCATTCATTATTTATTTATATTTAGATAATAGTTTGAGCTTTCTATTATTTTGTCTCTTATTTAAGTGAACGTTGTACAACATTGCTTAGACTGATCCCAAATATGCAGAACTTGTCGTTCTGATATTCTCTTCAATATTGATTGAGTGGCATTGTGTTGTATGACGATGATTTTATTTAACAAATGGCAAAGCTGTTTTATCGATTAAGTAAAAAGTATACATTTTGTGTTCATGGATAAATAAATGATGAAAAAAAAAATTAATGACTTTTGTTATTTTTGAATACAAAAGCAAATTTACTTCCGTTTTTGGGTGTACAAGCATTTATGTGTATAAAACAAAAATGATTATTTTGTTATGAGCTTTGCCATTGCTTTAAGTAAATATAATTGTAACTATTTGTAATTTTTTGTATTTGCTTTTACAATTTGTGTGTGAATTTATGAATTTATGTAAATTTCTTTTCCTTTTTTTTTTAAATCCTTTGTAGTATCAGTTATTTATAGTTCTGTTCCATTTTAAATGTGTAGAATGGCAAGTAATTATTTAAAAGTACAGATAATATAGCTGCATCTGAATGTCTTATTTCAAAAGATAATGTAATAATGCACATTTTTAAGAAAAAAAACCAGTTCATTAACACAAAAAGGTCCAGCACTTTATTTACTGCACGTTGTCATTGACAGTTTATTCTTTTGACTTTAATCTGTGACATTATCTAATAAATATAATTTTTTTTATAATTTTTGTATGTAATATAAGTGTGAGGCAACTGTAATTAGATTAATGATTTTTATGACATTTGATTTACAAAAAAATAAAAATATTTTATCTAATTTATTTTTTTCATTTCCTTATCTGCACCAACTTCCTCAGCTGGGCTACTGTTGTCCAAGACATAGCCATTTACTTGGACAGCCAGACAGCACTGAGAGCAATTACTGCATCGGTTGAAAATCCAGTAGTTTAGAACTGCTTTAGAACTCTGTTAGATACTAGGGAAAACAAAAAAAAATTACCTGTCTGGGTACCAGTGCACAAAGGGCAGAGGGCCAACAAAGAAGGCAATAAATTGGCTAAGGAAAGTTCGATGAACAATGGATTAAAAATAAGTACTATGATCAATGGGAATGGAGTACAGGACAGATGAACACTGGATCAAGGTATGGTCTTGAAGTAAAAAAGCAAATTCAGTCGTTAGTTACTGCCAAGTTTTCGACCTCTCTTAAGGTCATCATCAGGGCAAGCAATCGTAAATATGTCTACAGATTGACATATTTAAGTTTGTTATAGGTGATCTTAAATTTCCTTGAAGACCGACTCAGTCCTAACATTGTCAAGCATTGTGACATGCTGTTTATATGGAGTCAAGAACACCAATTAAGTGGGACATGTCGAGCAACCTTTCTGTACAAGTTCTTCCCCCATCACCGTTTACACATATTATGTAACTAATGTAATGGAGGGTCGAAAGGTACTTTATATTCTACCATAGGCCCTCTCAGACCACACTTTCAGGATAATAAATACATTCACACTCAAAATTACACTATGAGATATATATCGGTACTATATATTATAAAACAAAATCGGAACAAGGAGCCCATATACTGGTGCCATACTAATGGTTCTCATACCCAGCGGCATTTCTAAACCCTCTCTATATGGAGTTAAGGAATTGCACGCTTTGGTTTAGTGGGACATATCTGGCAACCTTCCTCAACACACCGTACCTACATACTCAATATTCCTCTATTGGCCCGCTTACTCTACACATTCACGCCAATAAATACATTCACTCTTAATAACAACGGGACTTCTATCAATACTATATACAATAAAACATTCCTTTTTCCTCCAAGAAGCCGATCAGGGGACCCCCGATACTAGCTGCCATGCTCAATTCTTATATTAGGTGGCATTCCTATACCCTCTCTATATGGAGCCAAGGAGTGGCACCCTTCAATTAGGTGGATTTAGAAAGTGCTATTATTATTAGTATTATATTTATAAGGTTTTTACATGAAGGGTGCTTAAACCCCTGGTTGTACCTTTAAAATAAAAAAAAAATGTTTAACTAATGTATGTACAGAATTGAGTCGTATCACCTATCACTTCTCACAGTCTGTTCCGATTTTTTTAATTTGGAATAAATCACCGGCAGACTTGAGAATCACCCACCCCGGGTGTTGGCAGTCCAGGGGCAGGATAAGACCGTCCATGCCCAGCAGACCAGAGGGGTGCTGTCAACAGCTAGGTTTATTCAGCGCACAACGCATTCTGTTCCTAAATCCAAACCCATTCATACTCTAACACATTCTTTCCTGTTTACATTCAATTAATTAGGGTGGTGCAGTACTCGATATTACTCCATTACCCTTTACACTTATTTATAACTAATGGGGCACTCAATATTCAACCATCAACCCTCTCATACTACACATTCATGTCACTAAATTCATTCTTAATACATGTTAGGTAAACAAAAATATCAGTATTATATTTAATTTATATATAATCGAACAGCCCTGTTGCCTCTAAAAATCGGAACTTGGTAATCAGATACCATGCTCAAGCATAATTCTTGTATCAGGTGACATTCCTATACGCTCTCTATATGGAACCAAGGAGTGGCACCCTTCAATTAGGTGAGACACATTTAGCAAGTGCTATTATTTTGTTTATAAAACTAAATTTATTTCTAAGGTTTTTACATGAAGGATGGTTAAACCCCTGTTTTATCTTTAAAATGTTTAACAAATTACCAAACTCAAACAGTATAAATATGGCATCTATTTTTTTATATAAAGAAATAAAACGAATTGTAATGTAAAATATTGCGTTTTGAGTATAACTAAGGTGAAATAATGTAGATTAGTGAAATAAATTTAAATTTTTTTGCGATAAAAGAAAAAAAATTGAAAATTTGAAGTGAGGGGCGCATTTCTTTTAAATATGTATTGCATGTTTTGACGAGTGATCGAAATTCGGCCTGTACGAATAATAATATTTATTTTTCTCTAAAGAAATAAAACAATGAATAATTATGAAATATTTTATTTTAAGATATTGTTGATAATAAATGTTTATCAATTGACAAAGGCAGCACTGTAGTCGTAAGATAGCCTTCAATTGTTAAGCTCTCGTTTGACGTTTTTCTAGTTTACATATATTATACGTTAAATGTGATTTATTTTGTACGGAAAAAGGTGGAGAAAAAAAAGGGCCAACTCTTTCAAGACGATAAATTTAAATCAAATGTCGAAATTCAAGAATAGACCCGATCCAATATCCGGCTTTAAAGCGTAAGTTGAGCGAACGGGCCCCGAGTTGGACGTTTTATATCGGTGTCCGGTTTTTTCCCCCCGAAGGCGGAAAAATCAAATTCTCGATTTATTTGTATTATCGAAATTCCAAAAACCGGCCACTAATTACGATAGTCTGTGTTTTTACAGGTAACGAATTCCGTTACGTCGTCTCAAGTGTCATCGGTCCTTTTTAATCAGAAAAACCCAGGACGTGTAACAATCTAGAATGAACAGTCAAAGTTTCACTCTAGCCGAAAGACTCATCCCTTCGACTTACTTGCAACAAGCAGCATCGTCGAAAAGGTCCAGAGAAAACCTAATACGAATTTTGATCGAACAAGTAAGTTTTTTTTAAATTATTCTTTTTTTTTACATCTGCATTCTTCGATGCAACAAGTAAAACATTATATTTAATATATAAACAATATTAACGATAGCATGGAAGCTTGAACAGCAACCATTGATTGATGGTAACCGTTAGTACATCAATACAATAAACGAGATTCAATGATCATTCTAGACCGATGTCAAGTAGTGAGGTTGCTTCGCAAGGCAACCGACGCTTCAGTCTTCTGTTAAGGTGGATCCAAACATGCGGTATTCGTCGAATATTTGCCAAGTCTCGAGATGCTCTTCTCAGTGTGCCTGTATATATACACATGCAGCATTTGTACCACCACCCAGTTTGTGCGGAAACGTCGAATTTTATTTGCCAAGAGTTGAGAGAGTCCTTGGCTTACTACCAATTGTGATGTAACAGTGAAACTGTCATTCCTGCAGCTGCGTTTACTAGTTACGAACTCAGTCATAAATCAGTCACAGAGTACTGTTGCCCCATATAACTTTTGGTTCGTTTCCACTCATTGAAAACCTCATTCCAATTTTAGTGATTCGGAAGAAAAACATTCTAAATTATTAGTTCAACTTTGTACAGATCGAGGAAGACTGTTAAGCTGGGCCTATCCTTCTCTAACCAACTGAAACAACACAAAATTGTTCCTTCATAATATACTAGTTAGGAATCGTTTATTATTGAAAAATAAATAGCAATAAAAAGGAGTAAATTCTTACAGTTGATTGTGATGATTACTGTTCAGTTGATTCCCGAATGTGTGGATGCTTTTGAGTTCTATTTTATGAATATTTGTGCACTTGGAAGCGGACAAGAAAACCGACAATTAGCCGAACAAGGCGTGGACCCATCCCCACTAGTCAGGATTCGGCGAACCTTTCCTTGGCATTCAGCGAATCCTACATGTCTGGAGCGACCTTTAGGATTATTAAGTAATGTGGAGTACTGGGATGGTACTTTTTGTAGCGGGATTAGGCTAGTTGAGTAAGAAGAGAAACATTTTGGTCGGTATGGTGTGATTGTAAACATAGAAAGGGGCATTGACTGTTGTTCTGAGGATTTTAGATTGAAGAGATTGGATTTGATTGAGGTTGGAATTGGATTGGAATTGCAGTCCCTTAAAGTTCAAGTATATCCAAATGGGGGCCTGGAGGGCAATGGAAAGGTTTCTTTTGTTTGTCAATATGAATTTAAATCATCTCACAAATAGTTGTTTTAGCATGATAAATTATATGGTACAGTCTGTGCGCTTAAGTCGTGTATGGGGTTTCTACATCAGTTATTCGTCCATATATAGTCAGAGCACATATCGTTAATGTATACTGGTGAGAGCATTTTTTTGTTTAGTGGAATATTATGTATGCTAATTTATTTCATTGATCTCGATTCTCCACTGTCAGACTCAGGATTCGAGGATATGTAAGTGATTTTGGAGAAGCTGTGATGGAATCTTTATCAGGAGAAAAGATTGTGGTATCATTGGCAAAGGTGAGGGTGATTAGGTTGCATAGGTAGGTAGGAGGTATAAATTAAGTAAAAGAAAAGAGCGAGCACACTGCCCTGTGGAACACCTGCTAGAATAGGATGAGGACAATGAAATTTTGTTGGATACTTGAAAGTAACATTTGTTAAGATAGGATCTTAGGATAAGGTAATAGGTAGCTGGTAGGATGTTCTTCAGTTTACACAACAAAGTGCCATACTTGGTCCAAGCCCAAAGGCCTGGTGTAGAAGAAGAACGAACACAACTGGGCAATATTGTTTAGTTCAATGGATGTGGAAATAACGTCAATTATGCGATGTGGCTGTTGTGCAGTCAAGTGGCATCTTGGAAAGTAAACCGAATTGGTGATAGGGAATTGAGTTTGAAGGAATTTCCTCGGAGTGTGGATCAATAGGGGCTTTTCCAAGACTGATGGGTTGGAAGGAGCTAGGAAGATGATTAGGTTTTTACATTTTGGGAGCATCCTGAAGAAAATTTCCAAAGGGTGGGGAAATGGGAAATGCGTAGGACGGCGTTGAATAGGTAGGTTATAAAGATAATGGCTTTTTTAAGTAGTTGGGAAAGGATGATGTGAGTGATTAGGTCGTAATTTGGGCTTGCTTTTTTGCGAGGTTTAGGATGGCCTGCTTGACTCATCAGGAGAGAATGGTTTTGTAGGGAGGGAGAGAGGTTATGGTTTGTCAAGTTCTTTAAGTATTTTTTCAGAATGGTGGAGATCTTGGGTGTGGATTGAATACTGCAGAGAGGTGTTGGGCTTTGTCCTCTTCGGATTTGGCCCAATTTCCATCTGTCTGTTAGAGGGGTTGGGATGAGCTTTTATATTTGAGGATTTCAGTTGTAGCAGTCCATAGTGATTTGTTGTCAGTAGTGTCTGTGTGTAAATCAAGTATGGTTAATGAGGTTATGAAGTTAGTTGGATACATGTTTAGTCAAATGATTAAAAAGTCTTTTATCAGAGGGGTATCGAGTGCGATGTCATCTAGCTCTTGCTCGGTGTTTGAGGGATATCAGTTATCTTAGTTGTAGGGGTAAATTATATCGTCAGGTTGCAGTACTTCTTGGACTAATGTATAATATGCAGTCCCACATACTGTGTTGTATTGAGTTAGCCAAGTGTTCTACATTGTAGTCTAGTTTCAGAGTGGTTTTGAAGGAAGTATTTAGGTTCAGTTTTTGTTCGAGAGTTTCTTAAAACAAGTCCAGTCTAACAAGTAAGTACAATTTTAAACAATTTCGTTTGACTCCAGAATTGTGCTTTCTGTGAATATCTGATTCGTTTTCCTTTCACATAGTAGGTCCGCAGAGTGATAAACCTGTAGTTTGGTTGATTTTGAGCATCATGGGACCTATGTCCAGTTTAAAACTTTGAATTAACTGAAAATCAAACTTCTCCTTTATCCAGTTTACAGACATGATTTTCTTACTACCAACTACACACTGGGGACCGCGGTAGCCGAGTGGTTAGCATGAGAGACTCACGCCGCGGTCGTGGGTTCGATTCCCACCGTCGCCTCTGGCCCTTTTTTCACAATAACCCCCCCAAATTTGAACACACATATACGAATTGTCACATGGCTAATATGCATAGTTCATAACGCAAAAAAAANATATATATAAAGCAATTCATTGATATTGACATAATTTTTCAGAGAAAATGGCCTGAAGAAGGATGGGATGATGCAACTATTGAATTATTTTTGGCTGATTTGGCTCAGATGGACAGCAACAACTTTCCAGGAAACAGTGGTGTAGGGGAGAGAGAAGCAAGATTTGCCTCAGGTGCGAAGACGAAATGAAAAGAAATGATAATTATTTAATTTGAACAATATTTTAGCTCTAGTTGCAAGGAGACATTACCGATTAGGCCATGGCATTGGTAGGTCTGGTGATATTGGTGAAGTACAACCAAAAGCTGCTGGGTCCAGTTTGTTAACAAAGCTTGCGAACGCTCTTCTTCTGGATACTTTACGATTTATGGGTATACAAATTTAATTAAAAAAAAAAAAAATCAATTTTTCATTTTAATTGCAATGGATTGTAATTGTGGTATTACATATTACATTTATGAATAATATGTTCAAAGTGGGCTTGTACAATTTTCAGGTGTAAATAATTCTGCGGGATGTTTCCTTGTACCTATGGCAACAGGGATGAGTTTAGTCCTGTGCATGCTGACGATAAAGCAAGACAGGCCGGGTGCCAAATTCGTATTGTGGTCTCGAATCGATCAGAAATCGTGCTTTAAATGTATACTGACTGCAGGTAATATTTGTAACATTTTTCTTAATTTGTGTAGTACAATTTTGGCATGTATGCTTAAATGTGTTCATTGCTTATTGACTAATTTTGTAATGTTAAAATTATTTTGACTGTGGGATTGTTTATTGTTAAGAAGGGTGTTTATTACGTAATTAATCATGATTATGATGTAAACCAAGCCAACATCACATCAATAAGGAAATCTCAATACTAAATCTAATGAAATATTTTATGTATTTCCCCTTTATAACTTTTTTTTATTATTATGTACATCTTAGAGGTGGAGTGTTGGATACAACTAAAATAATAGACAATATTTTTTCAGATTAATCATTTTTCTATCAAATCTTAAAAAATAAACAAATCTTAAAATTTTGTGACTGAACATTAAATTTTGAGTTTTCTGGCAGTCAATAGTTTTAGGTGTTGTAATTATTGGCTAATCTAGTTAGGGACGGAATTTGTAGGAGCTCATAATGAAAAACCTGTGCTTTCTTGAAAAAACATTGAATCATGAGTGTGTCACTTTTTGTAAATGATGGATCTACTCAAGATTTGTTGTTTACAACAATCTGAATTTTGATAATTAAATAGTCATCGTCAGGTTGAAGGAGTTGAAGTCTCTCGATATGGTAAGAGTGAACCCTTAGGAGTGGAAGAATTAAATTAATTGGAGGTAGGTTGCTAGAAAAAATAATAAAAAAATTAATTTTACAATAAGCAACAATCAGACTTAGCCCCTCCACCAAAATTGAATCTTTTAAGTTTTCATTGCTTGCCATACGTTGGTGAACTATCAGAAAAAGTATATAAAATTCTTAAATGAGAAGGTTTTAGAGGTGCGTGCTCACATCTCAGAACCTAAAGACAAGGTGACAACTTGTTAAAAAGCAGGGTTTAGAAACTTAATTTTGATGATTGCGATACTAAATGTATAGGACAAAGAAGAAGCAGAGAAATTAAAATGAGAGTTAAAAAACACTTGCCTAAGTCGAACAAATTTTCTGGATTTGAGGAATTTAGATAAATGAAACAAAACACAATTTCAATACAACAGTGTTACAAAGTTTCAACAAAGGGAGTGAACTAGATTGGTTTGAGAAATTTGAAATAAAAAAATATACAGTTAAACATGGAGATTAATGCATAAATAATATAATAGAATTTGATTTACCCCCTATTTTAAACATGTTTCTAAATAATATTTATATATAAATTAATCACCTATTTGAAATTATTTAATTACAGTATTTATTAGTACAATATTTAGTTGTGTTGTAATACTCGTTCAAGTTTGAGTGGCATTAAAAATCAGCTTCTCACTGGAACGTCGTGTTGGCGGTAGATCAGCAGCTTCACTCTTACAATTCATGTTTAGAGAACTCCTTCAACATGATAATGAGCATTTGGATTGATTCGAACAACAAATCTTGAGTAATCCATCATTTAAAACAAGTGAATCTACATACTCCACCTTCATCATTTTATCATGGATGTGTTATCAACCCTACCTAACCTAATCAAAGCTTCTAACCCTAACCTTAACCCTACAATAACCTAACCAAACCTGTTTTTAGTCCTAATCCTACCTAACTTAACCAAACTTGTTTCTAACCCTAACCTGTTTTTATCCCTAACCCTAGCTAAACCTAACCAAATAAGTTTCTAACCCTAACCCCTACAATAACCCTACCAAACCTGTTTTTAGTCCTAATCCTATCTAACTTAACCAAACTTCTTTCTAACCCTAACCTGTTTTTATTCCTAACCTTACCTAGCCTATAGTTGGAAAGGCTAGTTCTACTCTCCAACTGGCTATAAGCAGCAATCTGAATTTTGTGCATTAAGTGATCATCCTAAATGATTTTAGGAGCTCTCACAATGAAAAACTTGCACTTTGCACTCACTTTCCAGAAAATACATTGAATCTATCTCTAAACTCTACCTAACTTAACCTAACCCATTTCTAGCCCTATCTAACCTAATCCCTTTCTAACCCTAACCCTACCTAACCTATACCATTTCTACCACAACCCTTCTTAACCTAACATAACTTGTTTCTAACCCTAAACTTACTTAGCCTATCTTTATAACGTAACTCGACCCATGAACACTCCTAGTAATGCAAAATCAATGGTGCAGAAATGTTCACTAAAACAATTGCGTATCAAACCCAAAAATATATCAGTTAAAAATCATAGTAGAGCATTTCATTCATTATATATTATTGTTAAATAATGGTATATGTATTTATTTAACAGTGGTACTTTTTGTGCCATGTGCTGCTGAATTTTTTAAGTCATTAATGTTTATTTTTTTTATGGGGGTTTACAACAGCAGAGCTCATATCAACCCTCAGAGTATTGGTGTGTTAAAAAAAATTGTAAGTATGTTGGGTTCGAATGCAAGGCCATTGGNAAAAACATAGCTAGTATTTGCCTTATAGTTCCAGTTGAATTTAAATCATTCAATATTTCTAATAAAATCTAGATTTAAAAGTTACTCAAATATTTTTCATTGAGTGTATTTGATCTTAACAAGCCTTGCCTGTGATACTGTTGCTTTGGTATTTGATTAACAATTATGATAGCATGATTATACAGTACTCAGTGATTTATTAAATAAAAAGTTAACTTAAAACACATATATTAACATATTTAAAATTGAATGGTAAATCGATATTGTGCCAGCAACGTTAAGGTGTTGGCATTTTTGGATTTACATACTTTTATAACCTCCACAGCATCCTGTCGTACTGCTTACATTAACATGCAAAAGTAGACTATTTTCAGTTATCCTTATTCAGAACTCTTCCAGTTCACTTATTTCTGGTTGAGTGACTACAACAAATAATTTTTTGTTCAAATGTTTGAAATTAGTTGTTAACAGAAATTTCTCAGCTATGAAAGAAATTCAAAATTATGAAAACACCAGGCCAGGTACTAGGAACAACATATCTTGGTAAGATTTTATTGTGACCAACCGCAAACCATGAGCAAAGGAGTTTAAAGCTTCTGTCTCTTTCATTATTCTTGAAAGTTTATTTTTGCAATCCTTTATAAATCTCCATACAGAGGCAAGAGGTACAGTGAAAGCCCTCTATAAGCGATGAAGAAGTTTGTCCATTACTGAGGGTTGCCCGTTCAGAAAGGGGTTAAAATAATATTTGAAAAAAAATTTGTTTTAAACAATATTTTATATTTTTCAATTTTCTAATAAATAAACCCAAATGCTAACAATACATTACTGTTTATTTCCATTGTAGAGGGGATTGATTAGTCTGATATGGACTGATTGTTTTCTCTTTCTTTCTTTCTGGGGCTTTGTAAATATGTCCATTAAGAAGAGGGGTTTTACTGTATTTAATAGTAGAACAGGTATTTCTTGTTTAAAAAATATTTTTATTTATATTAAGCTTTTATTTTTTACGTTTTTGTTATTTTGTTGACTTTATGAAATATAATTATTTATTTTTTTTACATTTTGTGTATTTTGATTTTTAAACCTTTCCCAGTCAACGCTTTGAATTTCTCCTTATTTTTCTTTTATCACTATGAAGATATGTAAATAAATATAAAAATATACTATTTTAAAGTTACCTTCAATAATTACAATAATCATGTAATGTTTCAATTTTATGTAAATAAATAATTATAAGTTTATTTTTATATATGTGTGTTTAAGAGTTACAATAAACATCTTATCATGATAACAGTTAATTTAGGTATTAGTTTTTACGCATTCTATATTACATAATGCGTAAACTTAACAAGGGGGCAAAAATAGAGAAAAACCCAACTTAGAGTGCAAAATCTTAAGCAAAATTATCCTGAAGAATTGTGGTTTATAATATAGCATTGTTGCATGCTTTCTTTTTTCTAAAAGACCAGCTTATAAAATAGTATTGTGTATTACCATTTTAAATTATTCTTAAAAAGGGTCAATAAACAGTTATTTAAAATTGGCTCATAACAATATTAGTGAAGCAAGTGGACAATTGTTTAATTAAAAAAAAAAGTTAACATAAATTATAATTAATTGCTATTAATGTAACATTTTCACTATTAAAAATTCATTAAGTGTTTATTTGTATTCATTTAAAATTGCTTTGGTGCATGCATAAATTCATTAAGCCATGGTAGTTTTCATATTTATATATCATTTTTTGGAATATTTGTTTTTAACGTTAAAAGGTTAAACCCAAAAATTCTACAATTTGTTTAATCTCTATCTAAAAGTTTTTTATCGTTGCAAGTAATTTGTGCGGTTTAATATTTATAAATTATAACAATAAACATATTAAAAGTTAATCCCCGATTGAACAGACTCCAAGAGACAACTGGACCATCACATGCGAATAAAGGTTTGTCTAGAATGTTAGCAATAAAGGTACAACAATGTACTTGGTCATAATTATTTTGTGAGATTTAGGCGACCGATCACTTGCCTATCCTTGCTGGGCTAGTCTGTTAGATGAGTTATGACTTCTTACCATCTTATATGGCCTTCAAACAATAAAAAAACAGACTTAATCCACCAACACCGTGATATGCACCCCACCCATTACGACTGTATAAAAGAAACTTGACTTCACAAAAATTACACAGTCAAACGTAAGATGATAAGTAGCCAAAATGCGTTTGACAGACCAACTAAGTGAGGAAAGGCAGACCTCAGAATGACCAAATTTTTATTGTGTTCGAGTTGCCTGTATTAATTTCTAAGAAAATGAAACATACATTTTAAAAATAAAACGACTAATTGTAAGAAACTAGAAAAAAGCATAACAGATATTTAGAACAAAATGTCTAAAAAGTGCATGTGAATAAGTAATTAAGTGGTTATATGTAGTTTTAAAACTAAAAATTGAAGTTTGGACATTATAATCACTTTGCCCTTGCTTTTTTGATCAGTCTCATGCATTTTGATTTTTCACCATGTTGATTTCATGTAAATGTGAATTGACTGAAGATGGCGAAAAACTGAAACGTGTCTTGACAGACCAACAGTAAGGATAGGCAACAAAATTCAATCCCCAAACAAAATACATACAAAATTTGATAAATTTGAATAATTGTGAAAATAAAATTAATAATTGTAAGCAACTAAAAAAACAGTTATAGGTATTTGGAACAAAATGTCTGAAAAGTGCATGTAAATAAGAAATGAATAAGTGAGGTAATTTATTTTAAGACACATTTAATCATGAGTAAAAAGATAATTGAAGTGGCGCATTTAGACTTTTCCCCATCTTATGTTGGTTTTATCCAAAGAAATCACGAATTGACTGAAGTTGGCAAGAAGCTGAAACATATCTGACAGACCAAAATAGCATGAATAGACAAACCAGAATGATGAGTAACAACCAAATTTTGCATATTTATTTTGTTTGATTGGACATTATATATATTATTTTCTAAGAAAATGAACTATAAACTTTTTGAAAATAAAATTAATAATTCTAAGCATCAAGAAAATAGACTTAAATAGTTAAATAGAATAATCGGCAACGACAAAAAATGTGCATAAAATAGTAGTTGAAGTTTGGACATTTTTGACCATTTTGGTCTGCCTATCCTCGTTTTTTGGTCTGTTAGACTTAGACATTTCAACTTTTCACCATCTTATTTTTTATTTTATTTTTTCTAAAGGAATTGTGGAATGACCGAAGATGGTGGGACGAGAAATGTCTCTGTCTCACCAAAACAGTGAGGATAGGATAAGCTGGCCAAAATCAGAAATAACTTAAAAATCTCTAGGAAATTAAAAAAAAGTTGCCTACTTAGAATTATAATGAATGTTAAATGTGAATCTGAACATAGGAAAGTAATACAGTCTATTATATTTTTTCAAAAATTGTAAATGACAAAGTTAATACAAATTAATTTTTAAAGAATCTTTTTTTTTTTTAACTTCATTTTAACTAGGCAAGATTTTTTTTGGTCTTACAGTTCACATGTTTATGGTTGTGTGCCATATTTTTCAGTTATTACTTATCCAATTACAGAAATCTATCAACTGTATTTAACAACAAGTTGGTACTAATTTCTTCCATTTTTTCCCATAATTTTGCAGTTTGATGAAAATTTCATCTCAATTCTTACTTTGAACATGTTTTTCGACATCAGTGCAGTCAAAGAATTGTCATTCTCCCTTCGGTTTTCCTTTCCTTTGTAAAATTCAGTATTATATGATCAAGCAAAAGTTTGAGTAGGAATATTAGAAAAAAAATTTAACGACAAGATATAATTTAACTTTCAGAATGGAAACAATGACTATAAATTATAATAAATGATTATTTGATTTATAGCACTTCAGAATTATATATTCTCATGCATGTTGTTTTTCCAGGACTGCAACCGATAATAATCGAACCAGTGATGAGCGGAGATGAGTTAAGAACTGATGTTAATGCTTTTGAGACGCAGATGACAACATTAGGCTCAAACAACATAGTGTGTGTTTTGTCTACGACAAGTTGTTTCGCTCCACGCGCTTCTGATTCTCTTGAGCAAATTGCTGTCCTCTGTAGCCGGTACAATATTCCCCATTTAGTCAACAATGCCTATGGCCTACAAAGCTCTCGTCTTATGCATTTAATACAAGAAGCTGCAAAGTAAGTCTAATTTATTTATTTTTTCAACGAATACTTGGAATAATCAAAATGTTTGTATTTTATAGGAAGGGAAGGGTAGACGCTTTTGTCCAAAGTTCTGACAAAAATTTATTGGTACCTGTCGGTGGTGCTATTATTTCAGGCTTTGATAAAGGGTTGCTGGAAAGAATTTCACGGAATTATCCTGGTTGGTACTTTCTATATAATTTGTATTGTATAATTGTACAGTCACTAAATACCACACATTTGAAAGACTATTGCTATGTAGATATCCTAATTATTTATAAAATCATTCTCATCAATTCGGCTTCCGACCCCATCATTCCATGATCCAGCAAGGTTTCAGAGTTTACACTATTTCCTGGATATAGCCCAGGCTTTTGATAATCCCTGCTTCTTTTATAAACTTAGGCAATTCCTACCCAAGCTTTATTAACTTATTCTTGAATCCTTTTTAACTGACCACTGCGCCAGGGTGAGCGGCAATGAGTACTCAGATATTAGACAGATACAGGTGTCCCACAAGGGAGCATTCTTGATCCCATCTTTTTCTCCATTCAATGTTAATCTATACATCCCAGTATCATCATTACCACCTGATAACACAATTTTGTCGTCTAACCCGAATCATAGAACCAAGCAACCTCCAACATCCAAGAAAACCTTGAAATTATCAAAGACTTGTGCAAAAAGTGGAGGTCTGAATGAGGAAAAATCCAATATACATCAATAGCTAGGATTGGTCTCCTCTGGCAGATTTCCCTGAGCATTTTCCCTGAATTTTCTTCCATGCCCTGGACGGTGAGTCAATCGTACTCCTCGTGAGCCACAAATCCCCTTGCAGATATTCGTCCTGTTCACTTAACCACAATCCATCACCATTCCACTATCCAGCAAGGTTTCAGAGTTGACACCATTTCCTGTATTTGGCCTGATTTTTTGAAAAGGTCTGGCACCCAGACATCCTCTATAACGATTTCTACTCTTTATATTTTATCCTTGAATCCTTTTTAACCGACCACTGCATGAGGGTGAGCAGCAATGAGTACTCAGACATTGGGCAGATGCAGATGTTCCACAAGGGAGCATTCTTAGTCCTATCCTTTTTTCTAAACTGCTCACAAATGATTAGGGATATTTTTAATTCTTATTCTATTAATTTTAATTAAATTAATCAACATATATTCTTGTTAGTTGGATAGAACAAAATAGAAAATACAAATCAAAAACAAAAAATTTGTAAATGTTCATTTTTAATAATGGATTTACTTAACAATGGTAAACATGAAGATTACTCATTTTGTAAACAACCATCTTTTCTTGTATTTTCTCCATTTTAATGCACTTGTATTCTCTTTAACCTTGGAAAAACATCACCTTGAACCAGAAGTTTGCAGTATTATTGTGTGACTGAGTAATCGAGGTCACTGGCAAGTGGATACCGCAGAGGCAGTTGGCGTTTCTCAGAGCATGGTCTCCCGGGCTTTAGCTTAATTCCAAGAGACTGGAAGTGCCAATGGGAGACCTGGTAGTGAATCTCATCATTTAAAACACTAAGGGAGGGCAGAAATATTGCCATTGCTGCAAGACAAAACCCTTTCCATAGTGCTTGGCAGATCCTAAGTGAAGTACAAGATGTACAAGAGACAGTGGGCTGGTATTTACACTGGACTCCATATTGTTGAAGGCAACCTCACTGCAGTCCGTTATGTCCAAGAAATTATTGAGGAATACATCCCTCAAGCGAGGGATCACATTGGCAGGGATTTTCGATTTCTGGATGACAATGCCAGACCTCATAGAGGCAGGCTCATCAATGTTTAGACAACTTACGAATTTCCCATCTGACCCTTCACCCATTGTCTCCAGACCTCAATCCCATCGAGCACATGTGTTGCAGAGAAGCCTTTTCGATCATCATCCTCAGCCAGTTGACCACCTGCAACAATTAGAGTGCTTGTATGGTGTGAAATTCCTTATGAAATTAGTGACAACCTTATTAACAGTATGCCTAACAAGTGCATATAGGTTTAAGCTAACAGAGGACATTATAAACAGTATTAATTGTTTTAAAAAATTATTGTCTCCAATAAACAAAATTATGGAATTAAAACATTTTATTTGGCTATTTTTCAAAATCCCTTAATTAAATTTTACTTCAGTAAAAAATATAATAATTTCTAATAAATTTTAATGCAATTTATAATAAAAATAAAATAAAAATGCTAGAAAATTAAATACTACAAAATTGGCAATATCCCTATTCATTTTTTAAGCAATTTATTTATACTGCTAACATCCTAGTACCATCATTACCATCTGATACAGCAATTTTGTCTTCTAATCTGAATCCTATCTAAGAAGAACTTCTTCTCGAGTCACATACTTAGACAAGAGACAGACATGGAATCCCCTCACAATTCTTAAAAGACAACTTAACAGAAGACTTAGACAACTATTAAAACTTTTAAGGCTAAAATCTGTTTTCACCGATAAAACTCAACTTCTAAGACATTACTGCGACTTTGGACATACGGAGAGGTGTGGAGTTCCACCAAGCGGTACAATATCCAGGGCATATTCCAATCAAAAGTTACTAAATGAATTGTCAAAGTTACTTACTGCATCATTAACCCCCAATATCCACAACAACCTCAACGTTTTGTCATTGAATTAATCCAATCTGACTTCCAAAAGTGGCAAGCCCTCTTCACACTTTCCCATTCTGAAAGGCCTGTCACAACGATGACCTCACCTCCTCTCTATTAATCCCTCATACTGAGTGACAGTGTTGATGGTCATTTTTGAAATTTTTTTTTTTGTATTTTGAACATACAAACTGTAAATAAATTATTTTAAAAAAAGTTTGGTTTAAAAAAATTACATGTTTTGTTTTGTTTATAGGTAGAGCATCAGCTAGCCCGGTGATAGATGTATTTATGACTCTACTATCATTGGGAAGCAACGGATATAAGAATTTAATCTGCGAACGTAAAGAAATGTTCAAATACTTAAAAGAAGAATTAGGAAAAATTGCGGCGAAGCATGGCGAACGAATTCTCGATACGCGGAATAATCCGATATCAATGGGTATTTTATTGTATGAAGATTGTTTGCCGGCTATTGACAAATTTTAAATTTTCCAGCGATGACACTTTCAACGTTGAATGCCGGTGGTGATACCAAGAGAATATCATTGCTCGGGTCGATGTTGTTTTTAAGATATGTCTCAGGCTCAAGATGCATAACTGGAACTGAACATAAAGATGTAGCATCCTACCATTTTGAAGGTATTATTTTAATTTACTTTATTAAAGTAGATTTGGTCAGTGTGATAGGCTTGGCTTGTAGACCCTGGGTTGTCTTTCAAATCCTGGTCTTGCCCCTGGCCTTTTTGTCACACTCCCCTTTCCCCGAAAACACACAACTAAACAATTAATTGAATATTGGGAGTTGCTGTTCAAATCTAATCATTCTGGTTTAAACTGGTTTTTACTGAAAAGTGAAGTCATACAGGGGGCTTAACATCCAACTATCTGAAGTTTTTCGGAGGATCTACGGAAGTTTTTTCCCTGTGTTGACCTCTTCCGTAGATCCTCCGAAAAACTTCATGTTTCCAGCAGGTTGATAGCCCAGCTCATCGATCCAACTATCTGTTGGGTGTCGTGGACGAGGAGTTAAAGTGCTTTACATTACATTATTCTTACTATAATCCATTAAAAAACCATGGGCTCTGCCAGAATTCGAACCCAGAACTGATACTATAGGAAATACGGGTCTAATACCCTAACCACTCGGCCACTGCAGTCCCCTGTTTCTGGTTTCTGGATTCTCTTCTGGTCAGTTGACTCTCCTTGCTTCGGGACTCTCCTTGTCAGTCGATTCTATTTGACTCGTCTCGAATGGATGGACTCTAATGTGTCCCAACTGGATTTTAGTAGTGCATTGACTGGACTGAGTACTTTGATTTTCCAATCCACTCCTTTTGTAGTGGTCCTCAATACAAGGGTGGAGTGAAGGCCAAGCTAATTCCTGAAGCCGGACGGTCAAAGCACTTCTTGCGAGGGTTTGTTGTGACCCCCAGCCATCCGACTAATGCACATACAACACCTCCCAATTCCTGGAAGCTACCATTACGCAGCCCCTCAGTCCCATTGTCAATGTTCCTCTGGTGTAGAGTTACAAAACCCATCCTTACCCTTAATAAATAACTCACTGTCTTTTTGTTATTAATTAGAACTATTCCTAACATTCCTTTGTTTCCTACTGAGTTGGTGACCTAACAGATTTACAGCTTAGCATAAATAAGTACAAAACTCTCTCAGTTTATAAAAAGTATTGCCTTACATTAAAAATTACAGCTTGTTCTCATACAGAAGGGCTTAATGTCCAGCTGCTATTGGGTGTCGTGGACGGTTGGGGGAAACCACTTTACAATACATTTTTCATACTATATTCCATTAAAAAACTGTGCTCTGCTGAAATTCGAACCCTGGGCCACTAGCAAAGGAAATATGAGTCAGATGTCCAAGCCGTTTGGCCACTGCAGTATCCAATTTATTGTTTTTATCAAACGCCAAAGCTTTGCATCCTGTATCCTTCAGGATTTTCTTCTCCCAGGATTAGGAATCTCAGCTAGCATAGGTCTTCACGCCAAGCCAACAAAGGATGTTTTGCTGTTTCTTTTCCTGGCAATATCTGCACAGCTTGTTTCATCTACTCTGAGTCTACAGTATTCTTCTGAAGTTTGCATTTTTCATTCAGCAGTGCTATCATACTAGTCCTAACACGTCCTAGGTTTAGTACTTCTGCAGTCCTTTAATGAACTTTTTTGCATGCCTCTTTCTTGGAATACATTCCCCCTCAGTTGAGGCTGAAATATATTTATAGTTTATTATAGCTCTTAGTGTTAATTATATTAAAAACTAATAAATTTATGAGATGAGAGTATTTGGGCAATACATTTTAGAATTTGAAAATTATTTTTATTATTGGATTCAAATTAAATTTTTGTATTATGTTTAGGATGGGGTGCGCATCACAGTAACTCTCCTTGTCCTTATATCACCGCTGCTGCTGGTATCGGGATGAAGAAATCTGATGTAGACATGTTCGTTCATCGCCTTGACAAAGCGTTATCAAAGGTAAAAGGAAGATCAGCGCCTCCGACGCCGACTTCTGTTGAAGAGTTAGGCTCAAGCGGCAGACGTTCCGGAGGCCGGGTCGTTAACGGTGAATCTGGTGAACAGGGAAGTAGTGCTGGTACGTCACTTGCTAGTAGTAAGGACAGCTTGCGTAAATGATCTTTCAGGTGAACTAATGTATCCTAACATTAATCTGTGGTTGAGACTTGTATATCTTGTTATTAACGATGTATAGAAGAAAAGAAAATAGATATCACTAATTTGTTAATCTAGTATAAGTCTTCAAATGTTTGCAATATTGTTACAGAAATATTTGAAATATTTAACTATACTGCAATCAAATTTTATATTTTAGATATAATTTAGTGTTATAAGTGTAAAAAAGTATTAGAAAAAGTGATTTATTAGAATGTTTGTATTGAAGGTTATGAATGAATCAGCTACACACAATTAACTTTTAGTATTTGGAAATAGGAGTTTCTTTTTTAAAATAATGATAATAATTATGTTTTTGTAGGGTAATAAATTTTACCAACACCAAATATTTTCCCCTTTACACTTCTATCATAATTTAATGGTTTTAATTAAAAAGTAATGACCCATAAAAATTTGTTTAATTAATAGTGTATCGTAGTGTGGAAATATGGACATAAATGTTGAGAATTTATTAACAAGGTTTTGCTATTTTTTTCCCCAGTTCTTTTATTATTCTCAAATTTTGTTGTTAACATTTCATCAACTTGTGGACCAAATGTAATTTCACAAAATCCAATTAATTAAATTGATCTTGAATTGTGCATAACGTGACATGTTAATTTAATTTTACATTCATAATGATTAATTGTATCACCGGCAGTAAAAGCTTCTAGTGAAACCATCTTTTAAGATAAATCGATTGACATTACACTTGGAATATTTGTTAATTTTGAATCGGAGAAAATTCGATTTCCAAATACTAATAAGCACAATCCTGATACGTTGGTTGTAGGGCTTTAATATTATAAGATTAAAATTGTAAGTTTATACATTATTAACAATTTCCTCAATTTATACTATAGCTGTGTATAGTACCATACTGACAACATATTTACTATCGATTTTTTGTTTTTTAAATTTTAAAATCATACATTTGTTACAATAATGTTAGTCAATTAATTAAGTCTAATTATTTAACATGTGTTTTTTGTGATAGAAAGGAGAGTGAAAGATAGAGCGGGAGAAAAAGAGAGTGAGCTAGGAGAGTGAGTGAGTGTATTTATGCCCAAGTTTGACAACGTATAAATGTATAAATAGGCAAATTACTTACCCCACAGCCATATACAGAATGTGTATTAATAAGCGGTAATACTTGAGGGAGGAGATTCAAAATTTCATTGGCAAAAAAATTTTGAATGTGCATAAAACTTGGATGGATAAGTTCATTAAAGAAGAGTTGTGCATGAATAGTTTTTGATTTACAATTAATTCATAAATTCTCAAAAAGTATGTACTTTAAAGGACATTTACTTACTTAAAATGGCTACAATTAATTTTTTATAATTATATTCACTTATAATATTTCTGAATAAAATTCATCATCCGTCAGTGTAGCAAGGGCAAAAAAAAAAAAAAAAAAATCGCCATAAATTTCAATAAATGTTTAGAAATAATGACAATACAATTAAATTAAATATCTTGCCGTGTCAGGAACATCGCTAAGGTTGAAATTACTTTAATTTAATATTCAAACAGAATAAAAAGAAATGCACTCTGCCGAGGTTTAAAATTAACTGAGACTTTCCACAATTAAAAAAAAAAATAAATAAAAAATTGAAAACACAATACTCATTAAAAATAAAATGAAAGGCTCACTGGTGACAAATAAAACCGCTTAGATAACGTTACTAACTGTTCACGTTTTCAATTTTGGGGCCGCACATCCCCCAAAATTAGACAAAAGTAATTTTAACATCATTTACATTATGGGATAGAAAAAAAGATTTTTTTTTTGTAAGGAAGCACCTTTAATGTGTCAGAGACCTTTGACGACTTAGGTGAATGTGCTGAAGGTTGGACGCCGTGGTCGAAGGCTTTGTGAATGATGGCAACGAACAAGAACAGGCAAAGCTAGCGAGGGGGCCCAATAAAGGGGAAACAAAGGATTTTTTGTGGAAAAGTGTTGTTCCCCAACCCAGTAGATTGATCGAAAAGCCAGGTCAGACTGGTGGAAACCCATAGTTAATTTTTAAATTAATTTGTTCATTCTAGTTACTTTGCTAGAAGATTCTGTATACATTTGTATTTTTTAAAAAATAAAAATAACACCTTTATTAAGAACAATGGAACAAAATTGAAATATTTTCTTATTGCACTATCTTAAAATCCAGGATGGCCACGAATCTCATGAGGAGGAAAATCCGGCGAAATGCTGACACGTTTTCTCCTCGGGCATGCTAGATCAAAAATCAAATTGTCTTTTTCATTCCCAAAAACAGGAACGAAGAGAGCTGTTCCTCGAATATATTTTAAAATTGTTAGCTACATTTTTACATTTATAAAAAGTCACATTGCCTACTCTGATTGTTTATTGTAATTTTGATGATAGTTGTATTTTTACTTATTTTAACAAAGTGTGTAAAAAAAAATCATTAAACATGATTGTCTTTTTGCGACAAATGAACTGTAGAATCACCTCCCGATGTATTTCCTCTTAACCTGTATAATATTTGAAAATGTGTCAATCTGAAACTTTACAAAAATTACAAATTATTAAAAAGATTATTTAGAAAACTATTTTAATGAAATATTTACAATCACCTAGGGAATGCTTAAATAATGTTAATGATACTAATACTAATATTATTTAATTACTGATGATAATGTTACTAATAATGATAATGAAGATAATAATTATAATATAGACCATTTGACTAATGGAAAAACAAACTTTACGGAAAAAGTAAATATTTTCAAAAATTAACTCAATTAAATAGAAAAGAAAGTTTATACTTTTGCTTTAATTGTAATGTGCATACTTTTACATTAAACACCAAGGGGCAATTTTAATAGTTCAAAATTGATTAATCGAAGTAGGCTTATTCAATCATTTGTATACAAAATAAAAATTGCTACTTCATGTTAGCTTATTAATGCACACATTTGCTATGAAACGATATTATATTTTTTAAAAGCAAACTTTGTGTATCTAGTTTAAAATTTGTTCAAACTATTTGCCTTTATACTAGGATTGTTGCTAATATTTAATATAAAAGTATGCTTCTTATATGGATCCAATTAGAAAACGTGATGTGTAGATAAATTTCTCAATTAATTTACAAATGTTAACTTTTGAAAATAAAACGCAAAACGTTTGCTCGGTAAAATTTGTTTGTACCGCTTGAATGAATTATTTTAAACTAGTGCATAAATTCCATATACATTAAATGTTTAGAAATTTTTGAAAAATGTATCTTAGAAAAAAAAACGTTTATATGATAACAAAAAGTGAGATGTTTCAATCATGTTATTCTTTTAACATTTTTGCTCAATGATTTATAACATAATTGGAAAAATTTTTTTGGCACTGTTTTTACTGTATATGTTACTGACATATCTTTAGGATGTAGAAGCTAAACAATGATTTAGAAGCGATTCCTCTAAAAAAAAATTTTTTTTTATTTAGTTTTTGTTTCTAACTCTTAAGTAGGGTTTATAATCCTCAATCTCCATCCATTTTATAAAATGGATTTCTGAAGAATTTTTTTTACTTATCTATGAGAAAACAGAAGAGGTTTAATGTCCCTAATGATTTTTTTTTTTTTGTGTCAAAACTGTCATTTTATTGTCATGAAAGTTCTTCAAAACTGCCATTTATTATGTCATATTATGCAATTGTTTGTCAGATGAATTTTAAATTCAAAAACAAATCAACCGTCTTTTTAAATTATCGAACATTTTATTGTATTCATTCCTAATGACAGATTTCGATAACCAAAAAGGATTTTAAAATAATAAAAAAAATTTTTAAGTTTTTATTGCAGATGTTAAAAAAAAAAAATGTTCAGCGATGCTGCTTGCAATTATTGTTGATGGTACTTTTTTTAAACTTGAAACATTTTATATGTTAAAGCCTTGTGAATTGCTTAATGTTGGCGAAGTGTAAGAATAAAAAAAGAGATGAACGCTACCATTAAAATTATTAAGTATAGTTCTTTTAGTATTCATATATTTTTTTATTACATAAAATATTGTATACTATTATTTTTGATGATTTTATTTTTTTTTTTCTTCATAGTGTCACATTATATTTAAATGTCTTTAATACATATTCGTACTTGTTTTGATTAGACCTTTAATTTGTGCATTTATTATTTAAGGTTATTTAACTTGAGATCACCAAATGCTTATAAAAAATAAATAAATAATTAAAAGCATTATACCAAATGACGTAATTACAATTCAGTAAAATGTAAAAGCGTATAATGTAACAATTTGTTATTTTTACATTATAATTATAAAAAATAAAGCTTTACTTAAATAATGTACAGATCAACTTGTAGAGACTATTTCTTGTAAAATATGTAAATAAATAATCAAAACTTTACTCTTTAGATTTTTCTTAATCCTACATATTTCAGTTGATTTTCTTAAAAAATATTGATGTTGGCTTGGACAAATTTTCTTTTGAATATTTTTAATTGTTACCCAGGCTTAATATTATAAGATGTATATAAAAAAATCAGGGATAAGGTGAATTTGAAAGAAAGGAATATGTCCTATTCATCGGATTTTGAAACTATTTCTGATGATTAACACGGTTAATAAATAAAAACATTTAGTTACAACATTAAAGATTATGGCTGGAACAATGAGTTTAGCTATCTACCAGGCAATTGTTGAAACTCATTGTTTTTCAATTTGTACAATTTCATTCTGTGAAAAAATGTATATTCACCTCATAACTCTTAATTTATCTAAAACCAAATGAATTTTTAAAAACAAATTTTGGCAATTCTGACAAGTATTCTTACATTGACAGGATATGAGAGTAATAATTTGGATGTTATAAGCTCTCGGTTACCTGAGCAAAAGGAAGAAAATGAATCTCTCTATGAAAATCTCGACAACGATGACATGACGGACAGTACAAATATCTCACTATGAATAACTACTCAGTGTAAAATGCAGAATTGATTTCAGGTAATTTTCATTTCCTTCTATCAGACAACATTTAGTATCTTTTTTAAGCTATTTTCTTACTTTACTTATTGTTTAATACTTAAGTAATTTTTTACTTTGTTTTCTTAGTTTTGCTTTTATATTGTCATATTTTATATATTGTATATTTCTATATTTAAACATTTTTATAAACTGGAATAATTCCTAACATTTTTAAAAATTGGAATAATACATTATTATTATCTTAACTTATATAATTTTATTTAACATTATAATAAATTATTTTATGTTTTCTGTTTATGCGGAAAGATTCAAATTGAGGTCATATTTTTTAAACTATAAAAAAAATTAATTTTTTTTTTGAAACTGCCAAAAGGTTCAGGATGATACCTCTATGCCCTGATGAGTTCCGCTTTTTATTTCAATTCTCTATTTAAGATGCTTTTTTTCGTCCATCATTAGGATACCCCCCATGTATGAACAGTATGCTACCAGACAGCATTTTTCTAATTGTCTGATTTTATCAATTCCATAATTATTTTCATTTGCTGCCTTAACTTGAGCTATTTGCTACTTTTGAAGGATGTATGGTTAGCGTCCTTTGGCAAACCACCATATTGGCAAGCTTATATAAGTAAGAGATTAAAACGTTTGTGCCCCGTTAGAAATTGGATGGGCCAACATATCCCTGTATCTCGGCTCTGCCCATTTATCCAATAATTTTGTGTACATCTTCCTCTTGGAAAGGTGCACTTCGTACATTTTCTTTCTTTGTACTGTAATTAAGTCAATATTACGCTTAACATCTCAGTAAAAGTTACAAAACTTGACTAGGTTCTATGAGATTTCTCTGGTCTGCATGATGATGGACATGGCGATTTGATCAACTGATCATTGTGGTCTGCCTATGCTAGATTGGTCAGACCAAAATTATCAATAACAATCAAATCGACCAGGTTTTTCATGCTCTCCTTAAGGATATTAAAAAGTGTAAACTTAAAGCTACACAAGAGAACGCCTAAGCAAATTATTAAAAATTCATATTAACTTCATGTTTGAAATTCATATTTTAACATTTTATATCTATTTTTTTTAGGTACAATTTTCAAATTAAAAAGAAGCAACGTAAAGTCGTTTAATCGTACTCATACCAGGCATAAGTAAGCAGATCAAAGTTATTTACTGATAACTAGTTACAAGCACAATATTTTTTTTTTTGGTGAAAGAAGATCAATAATGTGTAGGAGTGCTTGAACGACACTTATGGTCATGGTTAAAGTCATAATTTCTTTTCATAATAATATATAATAAAACTATATAATTTGTTTTTAAATTTCACGTTGTACTAATGGTTTTGTTTTAAATATAAACAATAAATTGCTAGAACAATTTAGTTATAATTTTAATAGTATAACTTAATCTCTTTTTATTGCGTATATATGCTATCATTTAAATCTGCAAAAATAATAGAGGCCTTTAATAAAACTAAATTATTTCAATAAAAAATGTTTATACTGATAATTCCTTTTTTTGTGACAACAGATAAGGTGTGTTTTTGTTAGAGCACAAAACTGATATCTTTGCTGGTCTTATCTGTCAGATGTGTCTCAGCAATGAATCATGAATAATCAAGGATCATGTTAACTAATCCTAACCCTTATTTGAACCCTGCCTAACCTAACCCGTCCCTAACCCTAACCCTAAGACCCTAACCCCTAAATCAATAAGACGAGTTAATAAACAAATACCTACAGACAAAAACGGAAGAGCTGTAATATGGACGGATAGTGAAGTATCTCAATCCTTTTAAAAAGATAGTTCCTACTCACAGTAACAAGTTCAATTTTAATTTTCAGTTTACTGTGAATAGGATATCTTTTTAAAAGGATTGAACACCGCACTCACTCCACCATTCATCATTTCCGTGAAGTATCTTTGTCAAATTTGTCCAATGATAATGTTCGTTATGAAGTCAAGTATGAAATATAACTAATTGTGTACCAACTTAGACAAATGAAACACTGTAGAATTAAATGTCCGAAGGCTCACATCGGAATGGCAAGAAATAAGGAAGGCGAAAAAGAAGCAGCTCTGAATGATCCCTTGCCTGTGTCTTTTTGATTTCCAAATATTGCAGACTTTGAATTTTATTTTTATTAAGTAAGTCTAAAATTAGCTTTTTTTTCGATTAATTTTTATTTAATTCTTAATGTAAATTCCGACATTTCATACATTGTAAATTCATGTAACATGAAAATCCTGAAATCTGCAATAGGGAGCAGAGAAAAATAAAAGCTTTCACTATACGGGTACTATAGTGAAGAAAAACTGTAATCTTAACTGAAACATTAGGTGGAGTTTATGTTAATCCATCATTATCCCTTGCCTCACCCTGTCTAACCTAACTTGTCCCTAACCCTAGTACTTACAGACCTAAAATGCCCCTGATTTTAACTCTAATCCTACTTAACCTGTCCTTAACACTAACTGACTTACACTGTCCGAAAGCTTAGCTCTAACCCTATCTAAGCTACTCCATCTCTAACCCTATCTAAGCTACTCCATCTCTAACTACAACCTCTCTCTACCTAACCTAACCTGTTGTTCCTAATCTTACCACATACTGACCTAAACTGGCCCTTACCCTAACACTTACTGACCCTAAACTTTCCCTAATCCTAACTCTCAATACTTAACCTAACTGTCTCTAACCCTAACATTTACTGACCTAAACTGTCCCTAACTCTAACACTTACGTACCTAAACTTTTCCTAACCCTAAACTAACTTAGCAGTATCTCATACCAAGCAGCCTGCACTATAGCCAATATTCCTGCGATAGATATAAAGATGACAGAAATGTACATTAAAGGTATTGACAAGGAATTTGAACTGGAGGTTGAGTTGACAAGCAGGTTCTGCTACAGGCTGAATCTTATTTTGGTGCCATAGTTAAAAGCCCTTAATAACTAATGGAGTTCTGACTTCAGGATACTGATATATACTGATGGCAGCAAGAGAAAGGGAAAATCAGGAGAGCCTTCATGGCTAAATAGACAAACAATCTAAGAAGGAAATTTTAGGCTAGCAGATCAGTGCTGTAAAAACTAAGCAGATTTACTGATAATTTTAAATTCATTGAAATGGCTAATGCAGTATGTTTTATCTAGACAAGGATAGTGGTGCCTAACAAATTGTTAGGACAGATTCACAGGTGGTGCTAGACTCGATTGTGGATCAGAGAAATCCAGTTGAGCGTATTTGGCATGTTCTGATCTGCATACAGCATCTTATCATCTATGTGTTCTTCAGTAAGGTGAGGGCCCATGTGGGTGAAAAGAGTTACAAAGGAGTTGACAGAGTGGCAAAAGAAACTATAGAGGACTCCACTCTGCCAGAATCCTTCAGCTTGGTACCGAAGACCTATGTGCATGGCTTGGTTGCGGACAACAGTCTCTAGAAATAGAAATAACATTAGTACTAGCTGCAATGGGTCAGCATAAAAAAGCATTTTCCCCCACCATCTCCTTCAAGATTATGAGCAGCATCTGTCCTACAAGATGACCCGAGTTCTTTCAGGGTATGGAATTAAGCTAGTATCTGCACAGATTCAGAATTCTTCAGGATCCAGTTTGCTTTTGTGACGGTGTTACATGCCACACATGGGACCACATCTTGTTCTTGTGTAAACTATCTGAAAAATAAAGAGCTCCTTTTCTCATACCTAACCAAACTCATGCACACTCTCCAATACGAACTTAATGATGCAAAAATGGGCATGCAAACAAAATGTAGCAAAGTTTACTATGCCTAGCGGTCCTAGAGTTTATCCACTTCTCTTTTTTTTTTTTAATTTCGATCCATTCTGTGATGGAGGATTCTGTATTTGTATTTATTATCCCAAGTAAAGGTTTGGGATCTACATATCTTGCAGATACTCCTCAACCAATGGGGTTAGGCTCTAGGTGCTTTTGACAGCGAGGCCATTTCAGCCACCAATGCTTGCAAACTCTACTAACCTAAAACTAACTTCTGTAATACAGTCACATAAATAAATACATTTACACTTATGCATGTTACATTCATTCTGATTAATCAGTGGAATACTTGATATTCCTCCATCAACTTGCACACAATCTATCATATTATAGGATCAATGGATTTTAAATATTCCACCATAGAACCTAAACTCACTTACTACTGGAGGGGCGATGGTAATGCTATATTTCACAATCAGCCCTTCACCACTCATGCTAATAAATACACGTGCTCAAACAAAATACAGAAAATAGGCCTATATTCAATAAATTAAAAAAAAAAAAAAATCATCCACGTCCTCTAAAAAGTCTGAGAACAATTTTTAAATTCGGCAGCATGCCTACACGCTCTCTATACGGAGCCAAGGCATGACAGGCCTCTTTATCTAAATAAGGGGCACCTGCACGGCCCCTTAACGTGGTGCCCGTGGGTCAACCGCGTGTGGCCTATTCTTAACTGGGTAAGGACGATTCCTCGACCCAATAACTAACGAAGTTTTAACATTCGTGAATTTCCCTTTAAATAAAGCGTGATTTGTTTGTTGTTTAATTTAAATTTTAGAAATTGCCAACACTTTCATCGTATGAAGTTTGGCTTGGTTATATGAGTCCTGGTAAAGGGCACTAGTCGAGTAAAATAGTACGCAGTAAGACCCCAAACCACCTACGTACTTATACACAATGCAAGTTTTAAAGCTATAAAATGGTATTTAAAAAAACGTATCGCAATTTTTAGAATTTAGGCCATCGCATATAACGTGATCTATCAATGCACGAACCTGCGCATCTGTTTGCAGAAAATAACCGCCACAAACTAAAGATTAAACATGCACAGAAAGAATATGAAAAACACAATATATTACATATTCTATTCAATACGATATTTAATTTCTTCATAATTTTTAATTATTTTTTAAAAAATATTTCACCTGATTATTTTTTTAAAAATATTTTTTAACAGCTGTTTCTAATAATAAAGTTATTTATTGTATTTACTATAGTAACATATTAATAGATGCGGCACTGTAAAATAGTTTATGTTACAAATTATATATTGCCGTCTGAATTGTTAGCGAGTATCACTGTTTGTGCATAATAGAAAAATGAAATGGCAGTACCACCACTCAAGACGTAATGGTAAGCGGCGTAATTTTTTTTTTGTCTTGTAAATAGCAAAATGGTTGTTGTTGACCGGGTACACAGACACATAGGTCTGGAGGTAGCTAAGGCCGGGACGTCCCAACCTCCGAACTCAGCCACCGTGATCCGGCCCTCTGACGCTAAAAATGTAATGAAAAACATGATTAAAAGAAAGTGGTAGCGTCGATGGGCCCAATTGGCACGGTAGCGCCCTCGTGACACTGTCGATAGGTGGCCCTCGGAGGATCTGACTAGAAGAAGGGCCATCCTCACCCGATTAAGGATAGGCCATGCGAGGTTGATTCACACAGGGTTGAGAAAGTTTGCTCAGTGTGTCCCACCAAATTGAGGGTGTCACTCCTTGCATTTATGTAGAGAGCGTGAAGGAATGCAACCCGATATGAAAAGTGTGCCTGAGCACCGAATATTTGGGCCCCTGTTCAGATTTTTGGAGGAAACAGGGCTGTTTTTCTATGTAGTACAGATAGAACTCTCAATGCATTGATAGCGCTATGATGTTAAGAGTGAATATGTACTATAAGAGAGCCAATCAAGTACCTTATGGACTCTCAATTAGATTAGTTATAGTTTGTGTAAAGGGTAATGGAGGATAATACATAAAGGGTCCTAGATGAGTCCCACTGAAGGGTGTCATACCTTGGATCCATATAGAGAGCGGGTAGGAATGCCACCCAATTGAGTATTATGCTTGAGCACGGTAGCGAGTATTTGGGTTTCCTGTTCCGATTCTTGAAAGGAACTGGATTGTTTTATAATATATATTACTATAGAAGCTTCGTTGAGTGTATATTAAGAGTGAATGTATTTATTAACGTAAATGTGTAGAGTAAGAGAGCTGATCAAATATCTTATTGACCCTTAATTAGATTAGTTATGTAATATGTTTAAAGGGTGATGGAAAAATATTGAGTATGTTGGGCATGTAGAGAATGGTTGCCCAGTCTGTCCCACTGAAGGGAGGCATTCCTTGGCTCCATAGAGAGAGCATGTAGGAATGCCACTCGATTTGAGTATTATGCTTGAGCACGGCAGCGAGTATTTACGTCTTCTGTTCCGATTCTTAAAGGAAACAGGGTTGTTTTATTATATATAATACTGATATTTTTATGTCCTCTAGTGTGTTTTAAGACTGAATGTATTGTCTCAAATAGGTTAGTTGTGTAATAAGTTTAAAGGGTGATGAAGGAATATCAGGTACTCCACCTCCCAAGCTAAGTGAATAGCACATAAATAGGAAAGAATGTATGATAATGTGAATGGTCTGGATTTAGAAACTTCGTTCGGGGATGAAACGACCTAGCTGTCGATTGCTCTTGGAGACCAGTCTCGGTGGCTGGAAGGACCTCGGTCTCATATCCCGGAATGCCAACGTCCTAGGTTGGTGATTCTCAAAAATCAGTATTCAATTTCTTTGCATAAAATTAAAGGGGGTTACTTTTTAAAACTGTGTTCTAATTAGTTGATTTTGAGTAAAAGGGGTGTGACATGACATGACTACAGACACTGTATAATTCATGTAAAAATATCAGTTAATATATATTTTTTTAAATTTTTAATTAAAGTATTAAATATTTTCTATTTAAAAAAAAATGTTTAAGTTTCAACCTTGGTTTACGGTATGGCCTTTTTTTCTTAAAAAAAGTGCCGTCTGCCTTAGGGGGTGGTAGCTTGAAGCTGAATAAAAATTGTAACCCTGCGCCCCTTCCGTTAGAATCTTATTTCAAACATCCCATCCAAAGGTGAAATCTCTCTTCTTGAAATTAATGGTAATATTTTTCTTGTGTTTAAGTAACACTTTTTTTTCTGTATAATATTTATAAATCGGTTGATGTGAGAAGGGTCGAAGGACTTTTTTGCAAATTGCAAGTGAACTGGGAAAAAGGACAACACTGGGGCCGAAACAAGTCCGTGTTTGTTAATAAAGTGTAGTCTCTGTTCGGATTTGTCTTGTGCGTTCGGGAATATCGTTCTCTCCGTCTTGGAAGAAATAGAATCGGTAATTGTGAATTCAGATATATTTCGAATTTAATAATAGAATACTTGAGTACAATCCAATTTTATGAATAGAAAAGTTTTCGGTTCGAAATCCGCCACATTTCGCTGTAAACGGTCAACATCGGCCGGACCACATTCAGTCGAATTTTCTTGTCCTTTCTTGTTCTGACTTTTTTCAGTCCGACTCGGGTTTTTCGTCAATCGAACCGTTTTTCCCCCTGTTAAAACACCCTCGCAATTGTCCCATTTTTAATCGTCCCACTTTTTTTACCCCGTTTGTAGATTTTATTATTTATGTAGGTTATCGTGAAAAGTGGTCTCAAAACACGAATATTTCCCACCTTGGCTCAGTTTCTTTACGATTATTGTCGTTTATCTCAGACTTTTATCGTCTCCGTACAAAAGAAATCGGTCTCATACGCTTTCCTCTGTCTCTTTTCTCCAGATATGAAGATTCCTACGGAAAGTGAAAAGGTCGACGAGAAGAAGGAGAGCTCTTCCGAGACGAGTAAAGTGCAAGATTTCGCCGAGTACATGTGGATGGAGAACGAAGAGGAGTTCGACAAGGAGGTGGGTCCTTAAAATAGTCCAGTTATCTTTTCTGTTTACCAATATTCCACAAAAAACAGTACAATAAGCTTCGTTATGTAACCGAAAATCCTGTCGGAATGGATTTCTTTTTGAGGATTTTCATTTTACTATATTTTCGCCCTTTTTTAAGAGGGTCCGAGACATGTTAAACGGTTTTTTCGAAACCGTCTGACTCCGACCTGGTTTGACCCAAATTTCGCTCCAATGCAATATTTCATCTGGGCTGCCGTCATGTCTCTGTCTGGTGATTTTGCAAAGGGCACAGAGCCTGATGATGACGGATATGGAGAAAAACAAGTACATACAATTTCCAACGCTTTTATTTTTAATTTTTTTTTTAAATAGTAAAACTATTTTTTTTAAATCAAAACTTACTTCTTTATAAACAAACTTGACACATTTACGATCCACCAGGTTCAAATATGAAATTTTAATCAGTTCATATATTACAGCTGTTAACCATATGGATTCCTCCTTCTCGAGTAGGTTATATGCCAAGAGATTTATAATTTTTAAAAACTCAATATCTTGCTTAAGCAGAAATCTATGTTTTTGCTCATATTCTAACGCCAAAATATGTATAACACGATTAAAACATTTGAACATACCGAAACGTTTGAAAATAATGTTTAAAATTGCTTTCCATCATTACAACCACATAGATCATGGTGTAAAATTTTACAGTGTGAGTCAATTTTTATATTACAGTTGTAATTATATAAAAGTTCCTGCTGTTAAATAGGTTATATGCCGAGAAATATGTAATTTTTAAAAACTTTCAATATCTGGCTTGTGCAGAAATCTGCAGCTATTTTTACTCGTATTGTCAGGTGGAAATTAGTATGACATCATTAGAACATACTGGAAAATTGGAAAGTAATGTTCAAAATTGCTTTCCATAATTAGAACTATATGTACCATAATGTAAAATTTTGAAGAGTTAATCAGTCCATACATTATAGCTGTTAACCGTATAAATTCCAGCTATTAAGGAGGGTACATGCCAAGAGATTTATAATTAAAAAAAATTTCAATACCTTGCTTTTGCAGAAATCTGCAACTATTTTTACTCGTATTGACAGACGGAAATTATAATACTATTAGAACATTTGACTGTAGTGTTTGTGTGTAAATGTTTTTTAAATTTTTTTATTTTATTTTTATTTCTTTTGATTTTGTAAGAGGGTATTTCAACAATGAGGTTATTTGAACCTTCAGGGTGCCAGTGTTTTTGGAAAAAAAAGGCCCATTTGTAAGTGTGTCGGGTTCGAACGCAGGGCTGTGGATTCCAACCTGGGACCTTTACCTTACAACAATGAGTGCTGTCTAAACCCCTAAACCATTGCGGTCACCGAAAATTCACCACATACAAAACCTCATAAAATCAACGACGATCAACACAAGAGGAGAAAATACTCCTCCCTGAATTGAATATTTTCTTCATTTTTCCATAGCACCATTTTTGGTGAAATTGTTTTACTCAGTTTAATTTTTTATTTATCTAATGTTATATTTTTGTTTAAAAATATCCAGTAAACAACAAAAATAATTTTTTCCCCCTCTCAGTGTACTTTTACTCATATTGTCTGTCCAAAATTTATATTAACGCAATTGGAATATTTTTAATTGGAAAAAAATGCTTTCTGTAATCAAATTTCAGATCTGCATAATATTAGATGTATTAGGTAGTCATGTTAGCACAAAAAGGTAAAAAAGATAATTTGAAAATGTAAATTAGTGATAATAAATAATTAGTGATAATGACAAGAAAGCTTTATTAAATAGAACAATTTTATAGTTATGCATAATTATCAATAAAATTTTGGCAATTATGATGTAAAAATTTGAAGCGATAATCAATTCATGCATTCCAGCTGTTAATAACCATATGGATTCCTGCTGCTCGAGTAGGCTATATGTCAAGAAATCTATAATTTTTAAAAACTTTCAATATTTCTTGTCAAAAAATTTGCGACTATTGTTACTAATATTGGTAGTTGGAAATTATATCAGAAAGTTGGAACATTTGATCATACCGGAAAATTGGAAATAATGTTTAAAATTGCTTTATATTATTGCAACCATATGGATCATGTCTGCTGATTAAGGAGGTTTTAAACCAAGGAATTTAGAATTTGTAAAAAAATTAATGACGCCTCATATTTGAATTTGAAACTATTTTCACTTTCACTCATATTGCCAGGTGAAAATTTGTATCACACAATAAGAACATTTAGATGTACTGGAAAATTGAAAAGTAATGTTTAAGATTGCTTTCAATAATTAAATTGCAGACATAAATATGTCAGAGAATAAAAAGACAAGGTACTCTTAAATTTAGTTTATTGATATTAATAAATTAATGTATAATTAGGGAAAACTAATATAGAAGAAAAATGCAATGATGCACCTTTGACCTTTTAATATTTTGAGTTCATTTTTTACCATAAAACCCCACAAAATCAGCTTTGGCTGTGGCTTGCTGTTTGGGCGTGTTATAATCGGTAAATTATAAACTATGTTTTGTTATATCATATTTCTAGGCTGTGATTTGTATAAAATGATCCTCCATACACATAATCCATTTCTTAATATGACCAGAAACTCGCAAAACAATCGTTTATTAATAGTAATATCAATAATCTTAGTTACAAAGATGTATTTGTTCTTTTCAAACAATGAATTTTCTTTTGATTTATCATCATTACTACTGCCAATGTACTTTTCAGATAGTCATGGTATTTTTGTTTGAACTTGAATCAAAAGTTGTAGATAACTAACGTTAAATTTACTTAACATTTTAGTTATCTTTAAATTGCATTATTTACACAGTAACTTGGCCGAATTTATCAAATTGCTGTGGTATTTTTAGAAAGTCGTTGGATGAGATTTGTTTTTCAATATGGAATTAATTTCTTGCCCATGACAACTTTGTTTTCATTTTTCTAATCCTCAAATGGTTATCTCGCCTAAATGTTTGACATAATCCCTAATTCTCAAAACGTTGGGATCAGTTGTTGCAAGTTGAATTATTTCTCTTAAATTTTTTTTGGCCATAGTCTTTTAGATTTTTCAATTTTCTAAATTGTATAATAATAAAGAAATGTTGTAAAGGAAGTGTCAATGTATAATTTAATTTTGTTTGTAGTGGTAACAACTACTATATTTTTGTAGTGGCCTGGCCGGCAAAGCAAAAAAAAAAAAAAAAAAAATTGCACTACATTGAAATTTTCAAGAGTACATTTAGACTGTGAAACTTTTGGTTTATAACATGCTTTGCCTGACTTGCATTCAGTTTTTGAATAGTATTTACAGTCCTTAATGAGTATATTTCTTAATCTTAATTTCTTTTCTCCCTTAATCAAATCAAACACTGGTGTTAAAATCTACCATAAGAATGAGGTTTTGTTAAGAATGGTTAGGGTAAATTTGTTAATTGACCACTCTGCCAACTAATTAAAAAATAATCTAATAGTAGTAATTTATTTGTTTCTTTTCTTAGATTTTTCCAAAATATACCTATTATACCAAAATAGGCAATATCGTATAAAAATGCTGATATTTACATTGACGAAAGAATGTAATTGTAAATGCAAAAATATACATATTGTGATACTGATTTTGAAATGAATTTATTTTGAATTCAATGTGTATGAATAATCTTTAAGCTTTTGGCTTCATTTACATATACAAAAGCTGAATTATTTTGCACGTATTAAATGAAGGAATAAAATTGGTTGTGTGCATAAGTTTTTCAGTTTTCTGAAAAAAAGGGCAAAATCAAAATATAAATTTATTTTATTTTTAATCCAAAACATAATTTCCTTCATTTTAAATAACATACTGCCAATGTTCTGGTAGCAGTTTTGTAAAAGTCTGATGACAGGAGAAGAACTCTGTATGTGCAACTTTGAGATCATTTTCGTTCAAAAATTACTAACCTTTTAAGTGGTCATCTAGGAAACAAATAAAAATCGGAAGTTGCAAGGTTGAATAGTACAGTGGTTGGGGCAAGTGTAAAAAAAAAAAAAAAAAAAAAAAAAAAAATGCACACACCCTAATTTCGTAGGGACGACGACAGTGGTTGAGTTGTTAAGGTGACTGACTCATTTGCCATGCTTGCAGTTCTGGATTTGAATCTCAAGCATAGCTCTTATAAGAATTTAATTGGGAACAATTTGAAAAAACATATTTTTGGGTTAGTGACCCCCCCACACCCAATTGATAATAGGATGTTAAACGCGTTTTGTGACAAAAATCACTTCACTTACTAACATCTGTTGTATGTTGTAGATTTGTTATTGGTCAAATTTGGTATATTACAATTTTTTTCATACCCGTTCATTTATGAGCTTCTTTCAATTTTTTTTTATTTATATAAACCGACATTTCTAAGTTGAAACGAATTGCATAAAATTAGTTAAATTTAATTACTATTCCAATCCTTGTAAGTCCAAATAAACCCACTAGAATGAAGTATTTTCCAACTTCAAAAACAAAACAAAATTTTATAGTTTGATCAATGTATTTTTATTTAATGGTGAATTTGTATCATCGGAAATGTCATGATTTCAAATAATCTTACACGAGCTTAATTTTGTTTAGGTTATGAAGCAGTTAGAAGAAGAAGCACTTATGGAGCAATGTATTGAGGCGATGCTTGAAGACGAGTTAGAAAACAAGCCTGGATATGTGTACGTATATTTTTATTTACTTTGGGTACAATATTTTTGACATAAAATGCAAATGTCTTGTATGGATCAATAACCTGGACAAGATATTGCTAACACTTAGCTAAGTTCTTTTGTACCATTCTAAACGATTGTTTTTTTCCAGTGAAAGTTCCGATTTTCTGTATGATTTTCAAAGGATGTGTGTGCAAGAGAAAGCAGAGCTTGCGAAAAAGGTTTAATAAATTATATGCCTCCCAGTAAGAAATAATAAAAATAACATTTGATGAATTTTAATTGTAGAGCACACTGAATCCCAATGCTGCTGAATTTATTCCAAGGGTTGCAGCGGAAACCAGCTCATAAGTAAATCATTGATCTGCAATTTTATACCATTTGGTAAGCAGGTTGGCTATTTTAATTATATAGAATAACATTTGTGTAGAGATTATAGGACTATTTCCTTTTAATTGTTGTAGAAAAAAACTATCAGTGTAAATTTAATTATTGAAAGTCTCTCTTTGCTTTGTTGATTACATCCGCATATTAAAGGGCGGAAAGGTAACTGCACTTGACATTTAAAATGGTAATGTTATTTTGCTATTACAAACTTATTAATGAACTATATTAATTTAAATATAAATTGAGGCAAATGTATTATAAACAAACAAATAAATAATTATATTTATGTTTTGTTAGAGTAGCTGTTAATTTCATATCTAAGCAATATTTTACTACATATACAATAGTCTAATAAAGTAAAAACAGCTCTAATACTATCATTTATGACAAATTTTGCATAAATTATATTTGGCATGTTTTTTAAATTTTATTTTATCACAAGTAAATTTTTTTTGTAGAACCTGGTTATCTTAACCAAAGTTATATGACATTTCACGTTTTGAGAACTTACCATATTATATCACGAGGTTTACAAAATACCAAGTAGTTGTAAAAAAAATGGAACTTGGTTTTGACAATCATGTTCTACATAATTGCAAATTTTTTTATATTTTTTGATGCATAGATAATGCAGACGAACAGATACAAATTTTTAACATTTTAAATAATAAAGAAGGTTGATAAAATAAATTTAATAATAGTTTGGTAAAATATTTGCTTTGGATGTATATATTTTTTTATATTTTTATTTTATTTTTTTAATCTCCATATTTTATTTAAGTCTTAATACTGCTAGAAGTTATTTTTTTGTTTTTTTAAGTTGTTTTCCAGGGGCAGCATAACTGTTTCAATTTTTTTAAAAATAGATTAATAATAATTATTTTTTTAATATATTTAAACTGTTGAACTGTCTCGATTTCTATGTGCATTTCCTTTCTCACTGATATATGCATGACATCTACACGAATGTATTTAGATTCAAATTATTCTAGATTCTAAGAAATGAATAATTTGTATAGAAATTGTGAACAAGAAATAGTCTTACTAATATTCCCATATTTCATTATTTCTAAACAAGAAGATTAAACTTTATTTTTATTATGTATATTTTTTCTTTTTCTCACCTTTTCTTTTTTAACATGTTCTCTTTACTCATTTAGCATCCACATTACTTACTAGGACAACATTTTTGAGAATCGTGACAACGCATTAATTTATCTGCATTTTTCCCATATATTAACAATGTAATAATATTAATTATCAATAATTAATATTATTGATTATTAATGACATTATACTAATCAATCACCTTTTTTTTAATATGGGAATTCTTAAAATATCAGTTTTTAATTGTCAAGTGTGGTTGTTAACTATTTTGATGTACAAATGTTTCCAACTGTAGTATTTGTTAATATCAATAAAAAATAAATTTGTACTTTAGATTTACTGAAAAAAAAATCATAAAAAACGTGATGAAAAATTAAAAAAAAAATCATGAATGTCTTCATTTTTCTTTTACGATTATTATTTATATGCTACTAAGATAAGTTTAATTAAGAAAGAGAAACAGTTTTTATATGTTGTTTTTCATTCAAATTTTTGTGTAATTAAAGATATATTTATTTTAAAATTTTTATTATATGGATGTATATTTATTAGTGCTTTGCTCTAATGGTTCTACAACCTATGCACCAAAGTGAACTGTTGTATAAAATACAGTGGTGGATGTATATTCTTGTATTTTTCCAATACTATTTTTATTTATTCTTTTTTTCATATTTATGATTGTCTACGATTGACTATTCAATCGTGTGCTTTGTTGCAATGCAATTTCCTATGGTCAGAGTATCATTTCAATTTTTACATAATAAAATGCAATATTGAAAGGAAAAAACTAAACTATATTATGTATTATGATAAAAAAAAAGGTGTAGGTAGTGTTGTTATACATGACCTAATGTTTAAAAAATGTGTAATAATAGTTTTACTTGTATTACTATAAAATGTACAGATAATCGTTCAGCATGAAGGCCATTAGGACTTGAATATTTTATTCAAAACGAAAAATGTTATTACTACATGACCATATTATATTTATTGTATAGCTACCAAATAAATATGAACATCTGTTAAATGTATAAATTGTTTACAAAATGTTTGTATAGTCCTTTTTGTTTTTATTCTTTAGAAATAACTTTTATTTATATGATTTCAATGTATCTGGCCAAGAAATGTTTATAATTTTTTTTTAAAATTTAATTTTAATGTACTTTTTTTGCTGTACAATTTAGGGTATAGTTTGATAAGATTGGGTGTTCAGTTTTAAAGTTATGAATTTTGAAAATGCGTGTTACAATTTTCAGTATGATTAAATAAGAATTCTGTTTATGAGGAGAATCACAGATAAAAAAATAAAATTGAAATTTTATGATTTTATTAATATTTTTTATATATTTTAAATAATACAATTTCAAGTAAGGATTTATAAATAGCACACTTTTAATTACATAAGAAATTGGCGAACCTGCAGCTTTGTCGTCTTCCATCCTGGCCTGTTTATTCTCTCTGGTTGTGTTCGTGCATTTTGCCATTTTTACTGGCTGGTATGATGCCAACTAGAAATGCTATGGTTATTTTTTTCTGCTTTAAACACAAGGACAGATAATTTGAAGAGGTGTGCTTGTTTTCTCTCCAAAAATGCAGACATCTTGCAAAGGTAGGTGTGTCGGTAGGTATGAAGTCTTTATGCAATTGTTTACTAAAAGGAGTCCAAAAGTCCCATTGAATAATTAATTATGATATAAAGATTCAATTCAGCCTATACAAAGTCTGCAAAAATGAAAATACTGTACAATGAAGGAGGTAATCAAAGAGACGGGACTTAAAGATGGAAAGAGATGGGGCTCTCGGTGGATAGAGCAAGGAACGGATTGATGGAATGACTAAACGCAGTCGTTTTTCTATTGGACGTTATCTTTATCGGAAGTTTATCTTCAATTTCCTTGGTGAGTATTCGTACATATCCATATTGAAAGTGGAGGGGGATAATTGAGGAAAATAATTTACCTGGGGTAAAGTTGGTTGACCAGACCGTGGGGGTGAAAAAGCAGCAGGAGATTTGGGAAATACGGCTTCCAGAGAAAGGTCTGATCAAGGATAATTATAAAATTTTTGAAGGTGGGACAGAAGAAAACAGGAATAGAAGAGGAAACAATCCAAATAGTAGCCTGGGGCTTTTATTCTTTCGAGTTAAGCCCATTTTAAAAACAGGAGCTAGTTGAGTTATGTCCTGAATTCTTACAATTTGTTAGAATTGTGAAGAGAGTAAAGAGTTATTTTTAGGATTAGGAACTTGAATTTGTATTTATTGAAGTTATGCACTGAGGCAGTTATTTGCTTAAAAAAAGTACCCTATTAACTGCAAAAATGTACTTTTTAAGAACAATTTAAGTATTTTTTAATTCTTTTATTGTATCAAATGATATCTCCTTAAGCTATAGGTTAGTGCACACAAGAGTAGGTCTGAGGGAATGTCAGGACTGTTTGGTATTTTCACAACCAATGGACCTCAAAATTAATGTTTGAAAATTCATTATCGATTAGTAATTAAAAAAAGCAAACTGCATGATTCTATCCAATTTTCATGACAGGTAACTATTTTCTGAACTGCTAAGGTCATTGCTGACCCTCCAGATCCCATTCAGGCCTTTAATTTTTCTTAATTCTTGCCTGTTTAGAGGGAGAAATACTTTTTGGAAATTTATCTCAGCTTGCCTTAAACTTGATGTGTTTGTCCACTGATTGAGTTTTGATTTCTTATTTTTGTGTACATTTTTTTCCCTAGGACCATTAGGCAAGTTAGACATCCAGACTAGTTTAGAGCTAAAAGCGTACACATTTGGTACCTTTATAGAGCTGTCTGACTGTCCAAAAATATGGAAATCTTATTTATTAACTCCGGTAGTTGGATAGCATGGACTCCAGCTTGGAATAATGTAGTTGGAACCAAGGGGTTTTACTAAGGTATAACCCTTTATCCCTTCACCTACTTATATTAGGGCCCCTTCATGAAATTTGGTTTGTTTTGAGTCTCCTTATGTGGTGTTTTCATCCACCAACGAGCTCCATATGACCAGAGTGGTCTGACTGTTGGGGTATATAACCAATACACCATTCTTGGCTTTATTCTTTAGTTTTTGCTGAATAATCTCTGACCAATGCTTAGACGTGTCTTGGCCTAATGCAATATGTTTTGAATAATTTGTGAGCTTCAATTTTGAAGAAAAACAAGTCCCTTTTATAATGGCAAAGGAGTGAAACTTGCATAGACCACTCAGTATAACAATAATTTGAGTGGTAAGCTTAATTTTGAAGCATATATGCTCACTGTGTGTATCATTCAATCCGGTGGTTTGGTGATCCGGTAGAAGAAATTGGTTGTACCTCATCTGTACCCCGCTGAAATTAAACTCCAGGGTCTATTGACAAGATCATTTAAGCCCATTACACATCCAGTTTTGACCTATTTAAACACTCAGTAAATACATTGTTATTTACATACCATTTATGCAAGTAAAGGTGATGAAATACTTGATATTCCTTTAAATCCAAAGAACTATACATGCACTAGTTGAATTAGGGACTAACTGAACTAGTTTAATTAGGGTCAATGGTTACTTAATATTCCATCGTCGATGCTTGCACTATACATTCACACTTATAAATACAATTTCATGAAACAAAAATCTATGTATACAAAAATACTCCTGTTTCCTAGAAAGATTTGCTGCTGTACTTTTGAGCAAAAATCTCATGTCAGCACTCCTACACGCTCTCTTTATGGAGCCAAGGAGCAAACTTAGGTCTCTTCTTCGTTATTCTTCTTCATAAGTTGTAAATAATGTGTCAAAATGTCATTGCACATAGACTCAGAAAGTATAGCACAGGAGGGCTGGCAATAACACATGCATGTTTAACACAACCACACAAATACAATT